GCGGGGCGGGGTTGCGAGCGCTCGGGCCCCGGGGCTGGGACCGCGGGGCAGGACCCGGTCGGGGCTGCCCTTGGCTCTCACCTCTGCCCCGCAGCTGGCTCCCGAGGGCCTCAAGAGAGCTGGGGGTCCGGGTACTGGAGGGAGGGAGCCGGGTTCTCCTGCCCCTGAAGTTTGGCCTGGGGAGCTTCACAGCCAAGAGGCTTCGAGACCACGTTCGGCTGCAGAAGGCCACCAGAACCCCGGAGCCTCAAGGATCCAGATGCCACCCTGGACCTCCCAGTTCTGCGGGCATCTGCGCCACGCCTGGAAGAGCCGGTTGGAGGCGGCGACTCTCAGGAGGGAAACAGGCCGGTGCTCTCAGCCTGGACGGGCAGCCAGGACTGGGCCAGGAGGGCCTGAACCAGGAGCCTGCACATCGCAGCACTCTGGTCAGCGTGCACAGAACCTCTTGGCGCCTGGTTTCCCGGCATCCTGCCCCGGTGCACACAGGTGAGCCCATGGGAGCTGCCCTGTCCTCGAACGGTGGGAGGTCCTCGGCAGGGACACAGGCCTGTTCGGCCACTGCAGTGATGGCCCTGGCACCCACAGAGGCCCCAGGAAGTGCTGGGAAGCCAGAAGGTTGTCAGCGGGTCTGCCGGTTCCGCTGCCCGCAGCCGGAGGACAGTGCCCTGTCCACCCGCGTCTGTGCTTGGTACACGAGCTATGAAAACCGAGGGCCGGAAGGAGGGTGTGGGAATGCACAGACCCCCCTCCCGCCCACACCCCTCGGGGCACTCTGCCCTGTGACTCCAGGAGGGCAGAGCGCACCCCCCTGGGCAGAGAGGGCGCCAGGGCGTGGGGTGTGGGCTGTCCAGTATCAGCTGCAGCAGCGGCGGTGGGACTGGGTAAGGGGCGGCCCCACACTCTGGGCATCTGGCCGGCTCGCCAACAATGCCTCCATTATCTCCCAACGTCCGTGGCCAAGGAGTGGCCCTTGGGGAGGACTGTGGAGGCGGGAGAGGCGGCCAGAAGTTCCCCGCTGCAAAATGGGGCGGTGCAGGGAGCTGCCTCAGTCTGGGGAGGCACCGTGGTCACACTCCTCTGGCCCCTCTTGCCACTCCAGGTCCCTCTTGCAGTCACCGCGGACTTCTTTCCCTGTGGCCGTTCCTGCCCTGCTCCCCTCCCGCAGGCCCAGGCCTGTCCCGGCGGCTTTCACAACCCACCCCTCCCCCGTCCTCCGGCTGGGGCAAAGCAGCTCTTACCCCCAGTCCCCCCAAAGGTGCAGAGGGTGTGCGCGGCGGGGACCCCAGGCCTATCTCGGTCCCGCTCGAGCTCCGTTTCCAGCAGCATCGCGGTGGAGTCTGGTCGGAGCGGGAGTCCCCGAAGGGCTGCAGCTCGCCCCGCCGGCCAGCGCTGTCTCGGGGTCAGAGCCCGGCACTTGCGGGCGCTGTCCACGGTGCTGAAGGAGGCGTCGCGCCCGGGCCCCCGCCCCTTCCCTGTCCCCGCCCCCGGCCCCAGCCCTCTCCGGGTCTGCTCGGGCGGAGTCGGGTGCGCGTCCCTCCCAGGCTGGAGCTGGGGCTGGCGGGCCTGGGCCCCCTCGCTGGCAGAAGTCAGTTATTTGAATGTTAAAAGCCGCCCGGAGGCACCGCCTTCGCAGCAAGCGGGCTGGAAGCCGCTGGACGTGGCCTCCGGGCTCGCAGCCTCTGGAAGCAGCGCCCAGGCAGCCCGGGAAAGCGCTCTGGGTCAGGCTTCTCCTGCCAGACACAGGTGGGGCCTCCACCCGCACCTGCGCCGGCTGGCCGGCTCTTCCCCACCCCCACCCAGCACAGCAGCTGTCGTCAAACAGAAGCTGCGCAGGGCTCCAGAGCCCGCTGCAGACCTGGGCAATGCGGCCTGGGGAAGATGGGGTCCTGACGGGAACTCAGGCCCAGACCCCCAGCCGCATCAATTCCACTGGAGAAGGGTGCGCCCCGTGCTTAGGCAGCTGGGGGTTCCCTGGGGTCGCACATTCTGAAATAACAGAGGGTGCTGTCCTGTGGCTGAGTCCAGATCAGCTCCAAGGAGCCCCTCTGGCCAAGGCTGTCTTCGGACAACCTTGAGATTCAATACGAAATATTCCAGAATTCCACACATCCAGCCAGGACACTGGATGGGAACGAGGGGCTCACACCGCACCTACTTGCATGGTGGAGCACGCTCCTGCTTCGAGAGAACTGGGATGATTTTCTCAAATGTGTTTTCTTTATTCTTAAAATGTACACAATTATAGTTTACTTAAATACAAAATGTCCACTTTCTTTGCAGGTAAGAAATTTCACTAACATTTCCAGGTCAATTGGCTTTTTAATCAAAATCTTTCCATTAAAAATAAATAAACATTTAAATTACTGACCTATTATATCCATTAGTCTCCATACCTCTGACAATACTTACAACTTTAGAAAACAGACCTTACACTGTGCCTACAGGTGGCCCTGGGCCTGGCAGGCCACGTGACATGTGGGGGACTGCGCCAGTCAGCTGCCCTCAGCCAGGGAAGCCTAGAAGCTCTGCCCGACTGCAGGACCCTCGGAGTGGTGACCCCCACTTCAAAGAGCAGCCCCATGTGGCAGCGACTCTCGGTTCCAGAACCCACTTCCCTGGGGACGCCTCCTCCAACGCCGTGCAGAGCCATTTGGCTGAGGGTTCTCAGGCGGACGGAGACAACCCAGTGCCTTCAACATTCCAGGCACAAAACCAGTGACCAAGACCAGCTAGGGGTCCACGACAGCAGAGGACACGGCAAGAAGGAAGGTGAAACAGGAGGTGAAGCAGGGGCAGCCAGGCCGCTGGCCCCCAGCGGGCGCTCCCTGTCCCTCCACCTCTGCACTGGCCATGGGAGGCCAGGCAGGCGGCAGCTGTCCATGTGTCTCACACAGCAAGGACAGTGGTATTACCGGCGCTTAACGACACCCACGTGACCGACTGTATAAGGAAATATGGGAGTATAAAACAGGGAAAGTGGAAAAATATTTACTACTATCCTGGTCACACACGTGTGCAAGCACACAGACAGGCATGCAGGTTCATCCAACCCACTTTATCCAAAAAAACAGCTTGCCAGACAGGCCTCGGGCACAGCGGTCCATGGGGAGAGTCCCAGGAGGGTCTGCTTTGCTCTGCTGAAGTCTGCGGAGGCAAACTTACCACTGCAGTATTTTGGGTTTTACAATGTGTTTCAACTGTTAAATGATCAAAACATCCCCAAGGAAGTCTAGGACGTGCCCGTGTGCGACCTCCTCCCAGTACGGGGCCTCAACCTCCTCTGGGCATCTCCCCAGCGCTTCCTCGGCGCAGCATGACGAGGAACTCAGGACTCAGAGGGGCCGCCGTGCAGGCCTCCCGGAGACTGTAACCATGCTGACCCTGGACAGCCACACTGGGGTGACCCTCACGTCTCTGCCACCAGACAAACAGAAGGCACTGCCACCACCCTGGCCCTTCTGAGCCCCAAGTTTATTCCCCATGGTCCCTGGGTTCATTTTGAGAAAGCCAAGCCACAAAACCCCTGGCCCTTCCAGCCTGCAGGCACGGGGTGACGAGAGCCCTCCGCTGCCTCTGCACCCCGAGTGCCCATGATCACAGGTCAGGCAGGGACAGCCAAGCGGCTGAAAGGCACCGATGGCGAAGCCAGGACCACGGCTGCACCTGCTTCAAGGCACCCGGAAGGCCACTGCTGTGGCTCTGCTGTGTCACCATGAGGCCACCTCCAGGGAGTTTCTCCAAGCGCAGAAGCAGGTCCTGCAGGAGTCTCTGTGGAGCCCTGCGGCGGCCTCTGCTCTTCCCATCCTCAGGCGACGCACACAGGGCTCTGAAGCAGGAGCTGTGGAGGCCGTGGACAGGGACCAGTGCCCTGGGCCACGTGGTAGGGTCCAGAACCAACACATTTACAAAATCCCCGATCACCAACGCTAAAGCTGCAGGGAAATGGGGGGCAGGGTGGTCTGGGCTCTCTGCGCTGAGCTGCTTGCCGCCCTGGCCCGTGGGCGCTACACAGCAGGGTGGTAGAGCCGAATTTTCCACCGCTTGGACCGCACTCGGAAGAAGAAGTACATGAGCATCAGGAACAGGGAGGAGGCCACATACAGCACCACACAAAGGCTCATGTCCAGGCTGGAGAAGCCGACGCCCAGGAAGGGCGCGGCTGCCTCGGCCTCCTCACGCGCCTGTGGCCCCTGGGGACTCTGGGCTCTTGCCTCCAGCCTGTGCTGCGGGCTCTCAGAAAGTCTGGTCCTGGGACCCAGCCTGTGGGCTGGGCGGAGGCTTGGTGCATGCTGGTCCCCCTGGGGCCTCTCTGGGGCAGTGAGTCCTCTGCCTTCCGCCAGCCTCTGGCCCACGGCCACTGTGTCCTTGGCATCCCCCAAGTCTGCAGAATACGTGTCCACCAGGTTGCTGCTGCCGTAGTGCTGCTTCAGGAACGCCAGCACCTGGCCCTCGTGCCAGCTGTCCAGGCCCTTGATTTCCTCGTGGCAGGCGGGGCAGAGGTCTGGAGTGGGCCACAGGACCTTTGGGAACTTGGGGTCCTCACTCAGTTGGCCTAGAAGGAAGATCACTATGGGCAGAGGCTCCACCCAACCTACCCCAGGCCACCCACCTCCTCGCCCTCTGGGCCCAGCGTCCTCCCAGGCACCCACTTTCTCTGCAGCCCTCTGGCGGGCTCCCGGCCGCCGCACCCAGGAAAAACCCCAAAAACTCGCCCACCAGACTCTGAGCAACACCCTAGCTCCACCCCACGAGGACCAAAGACGTCTTCTGTGCACGCCACAGGCCTGCGGCCCACAGCCCAACTGCTCTGTCTGCGGGGCGCCATCCCTGCATGTGGCTGTCCCACACGCTCTGGGTGCTCAGCCTGGCCTGACCCATGAGGACCGTGCAGTACATCTGGGGGGCCCCATGGCCACAGCTGGGTGCACTGAGCCATGCTGGCACTGGATGCTCCAGTGCCCCCAGAGACACCCTGGGACAGTGCCCTGCACTGCAGCTAAGCGCATGGCCAGCGACTCTGCTGCCTGCTCAGAAAGAACACCAGCCAACACCTCCACCAGGCGGGGAAGGACCCGCAGCACCGCCCTGGAGGTCCCAATGCCACGGGCCTCCCCGGGGTCGCCCCCTCCTCTCCCATCCACAGCCACATCCACCAACAGCACCACTTGGGGGTCAGAGACTCGAGCTGCCGCCCCTCACTGACTGTGCTGGCTCTGATCCCTCTCTCTCTGCTAGGTGCACAGAATACCAGTCAGGGGTGCGGGGGATACCAGACCGGCCTGCCCTTCGCTGCTGGACACGTCCCCGTGCTGCCGGGTGGAGACCTGCGTGGACCCGTGAGATGCCAGCATCCTGGAAAGGCTGTGAGCAAGGGCGGCCCCGGGCAGGAGGCGCAAGCCAAACTCCTGGGCTCCCACACTGGGGACAACAGGAGGCTCCGCAGGGAAACCGCCCTGTGGGGACAGCTGGGGGACAGCTGCAGGCAGCTCGTGGACCCAGAGGCCCTTAGAGACCTGCGGGGGCACCCCGGCCCCTGGCAAAGGCTTGAGACTCGGCTGACTGGGACACAGCAAATCCCAGCAACACGAGGAGCACGGCCACTCTCCGTGCAAAGAACCAATTTTCTTTAGTGCTTTAGCTGTAATATGTTTTCTAATACAGGGATTAAACAGAGACCAGGAGTCTACTAGCATTTACCATTCATCTCTATTAAATTTATTTCTCAGTGGAATTATTTTTAAGCCTAATTTTAATCTGCCATTGATTTTGGAATAGTTTAAATTACTTAACTCTAAGAAAATGTTTATGCCCGATTTAGTTTTTTATTTTATTACCCCCCTGCCCCACCCCCACTTTCCCCTCTTTGGTCCTGGAATAGATCCAGGCCCTTGCACATGCTAGGCAAGGGCTCTTCCACTAAGTTATACCATAGTCCTTTGTGTCAAGATCTCAGTAAGTTGTTCAGGCTGGACTCAAACTTTCAACTGTCCTGCCTCAGCCTCCCATGTACCTGAGGTTACAGGTGAGGGCCACAACACCAGGCCCCGTTTAGTCTTTTAAAATGAAACCACTGAGAGGTTTTCTTTACACAGTGATGAAAACTCCATTCATGAACTTGATGCTTTCCAGGATTTGGGTCACAAACCAAACTGGATGAGAACCAAATCAAGTTTGACTTGGTTCCCATCTAATTCAGTCTGAGAACAGAATGGTGAAAACAGTTAAGTTTGGGAACTGAGGCACCAGTGTAGCCTGAAAATAGATAGACAGGATCTCATTACACAGTTCTGAGTGGCCTTGAATTCACTGCATAGGCCAGGCTAGCCTCAAACTCACAGTGATCCTCCCGCCTCAGCCACCTGACAGCTGGCATTATAGGTGTGCACCAATATGCGCGGCTGAAAAACTAACTCTATCCTAAGTTTTCCAGGGTCAAAATTACTCGGGGACCCAGCAGGCTACCAGAGGGTGTGGCAGGGACAGAAAGACCCTAGAGTGATGCGGGGGGGGGGGGGAGAGGCAGAGCCCAGGGGCCGGGAGAGACCCCAGCTATGCACAGCAGGCTGCAGCTGGGGACACCACTGCTGCCGGCCTCCTGTCCCCCCCAGGGCGCAGCGCCCCTCACCTGCCAGGCGGCTGTTCACGGCATTGTGCCTCCTCCAGAGCCAGAGCACAGCCTGGTCTGCGGTCTTCACGGCATCCAGGGACTCTGCAGCCATCTCCTCGAAGTGCTGACCGCACTCCTGGCACCCGAAGAAGGTGCGCACGTACCTCCTCACGGCCTGTAGCACGGCCTGGGGGTCGTCCTCAAACCCTGCAGGGAGGGAGGAGGCTGCCAGGTTGCGGGGACACCACTGTCACAGCCGGGGTGGGCCCCTGCGCATGCCTGGGGGGTGCTCCCGTGGCACCCTCTTCAGACAGGGCCATGGCACTGGCACGGAGATTGAGTGTGCACTGGCACAAGCAGGAGGAACCCAGAGCTCAGGATCTGTTGGATGCGGCCTGTTGGATGCGTGACCCCTCATGGGCCAGTCTCTCTGCTGTCCTGCCTCGGCCTCCTGGCCCACAGCGCCCCAAACCCAGAGGGCTTCTCCTCTCGTACCACTGCTTACTCTAGACTAGGATGCCAGGCTGAGACCCACAAAACTTGCCCAAGCGGCCAGCGCCCCTCACAGGGAACACCAGGTGGCAGGTGGCCAGGGCCTGTAATCCCAGCACTCCGGAAGGCTGAGCCCTGGGAGAGGCAGCGATTTAGCAAGACCCGGTCTCAAGATAAAAGAAATAAAGGCTGGGGCACTCAGTTCAAAGGCCCTGGGTTCTGTCCCCAAAGCGGGGAGTAAAAGGCTCAGCCTCCCCGAGTGGTGGAGGTATGAGAACCACCTGCGTGCTGAGCAGGTGTCCCAGGAGCCGTGCTGAGCGCACACAGAAAGTGAGCAACAAGGTGCTTCCAGGAAGCCGCCCCGTGCCCGGGTGGAGGGAGGAGGCAGCCAGGGCCCCATGCGGCCCAAAGGGAGCTGCAGCCCTGCTCAGACTAGTGTGCAAGTGAGGGCCTCGCGCCAGCACCCCAAGGAAGCAGCAAAGTGATCCCCAAAACGATCAGTGATCAATGCGGGGTGTGCTCTGGGGAGGTTCTGTCTCCACCCCGCAGGAGCGGGTCCTCCTTGCTGGGGAGTCACCCACGGCCCCAACCTCAGTGTCCCTTCCCAAGGACTCGGGACTCGGGCCCGGGGACTTCCACCGGGACCCGGCTGGTGTCACTCAGAGAGGGTGGCTCTCGGCACCAGGCATTCCCTGCTGGCTCTCAGTGTGCGGGGCGGACGGCAGGACCAAGAGGCATGGGTGCCCGAGATCTGCAGACATCTGCCTCCCATCACGGTAATCCCCACCCCACGGAGCCGCCGCACACCCGAGACCCTAATCTTTAAAGTGGACAAGAACCATAAACCCCTACCTGGGGGATTAGCACAGGCTGCTGGTTTAGTGGACGGGGTTTAGCGAGCAATAAGGAAAGAAAACCTCCAAGACTTAATCCTTGAGTCCCCTGACCTAATTCCCCAGGCAGGAGACTGCTCAGAGAGGGACGGTTGCACTTGGTGCCAGGGAAGAGTGGTGCGGGCTCTGGCTGGGGCTCTGCTCTGCGGCCGCACACTGGCGCGTGTGTGTGTGCGCATGCACGAGGCCCTGGAGCACGCAGTGTGAGCTTCTTCCCCAGGCATCTCCCAGCGATGCGAGGGGACTCAGAGATCCACTCAGCACAGGTCGGCCGAGGACTCTGGGCCCTGGCTGCGCAGTGCTGCCGCTCTGCCTCTGCCCCAACACACTTCCTCCTGTCGGGGTCCCTCAGGGATGCGGCACCAACCCTCCCTCCCCATTCTGGGCCTGGGAAGGAGGTCCCCATGCTGCCCTGAGTCTCAGGGACAGCCCGTGGCACCCCTGCCCCTGGGCGCGGTGCCCCAGAAGTGTGACTGTCCCCTCTCCTGCCAGCAAGTAGACTCTACTTCCCTGGCCTGGAATCAGCTGCACGGCAGCAAGCAGCTGTAGAACGCTGAGGGACACTGCGCAGCTGCCTGGCCTGGGCTGCCTGGTGCGAAGCTGAGCTGGCCAAGGGGCGAGAGCAGAGTGGGACCCAGGCCCTCACACCCTGAGCAGAGTGCGTCACGGACACAGGTCACTGTGAAAGGCTCCACAATGCTACCAAAGGCCTGCAGGAGGCGGGAGCCACAGACTCCACCCTGCCTCCCACAAACACCACTGGGTAAAAGATAAATGTGGAGTTCGGTGACAGGCAGCATCCCAGGCTGGCCTTTAACCCGCAATCTTCCTGCCTCGGCCTACCAAGTACCTTGGACCACACACACGTACCGCTGTGCCTGCTCGTGCTGGTGCCCTCCTACACTTGGGCTCCCCTGGGAGCCGTGGGTCTGTGACTCACGTCCGCTGAGCTGAGGCCACAGAGGTGAGGGGTGTCAACCCCAAACCTGCTCCCTCTCCTGCAGGCTCACTCTGGAGGAGCTGGAGGGCTCCCTCAGAGGAGCCCACCAGTCTCAAAGCAGGCTCCCAACCCCGATGCTGAGAGAAGCTGAAGGCGGGTGGGTCCAGGCTGCTACATCTGGGGTGGTCTGTTAGTAACAGCAGAAGCCAACACACCCCTCGACAGGCATCACTTAGATTTTCCTAAACAGACATGGGGCTTTTCCCAAAGGGCAATTCCTGGCCAACATCCCATGCTGAGAGAGCCCGAGGCAAGGAGGTAGGGTTCACACAGCTGCAGGGGATGTAGTCCCGTGCACTGCGTCACACACCAGTGGGCACCACGCCACCTCCTTGGGGCCTGGGCCACTTACCTGTGCCGGCCAGCGCCTCGGGGTGGGCAGAGGCCTGGACGGTCAGAGTGTGGAAGAGCTTCCAGAGGGAGCATGGATAGCCCCTCAGCTCTGGGCGGCTTCCTTGACACCCCACCCACTGTACATGGTTGGTGAGGAAGATCCCGGAAATCTGGGGAAATTCGAAGAACACAAGACAATTTCAGAATTGGAAAGTGCTCGGGATGCCTCCACCTGGCTGGGGTGGCACTGCCAGGGCCGGCATCAGACCCCTCCTGGGAACACCAGAGCTCTGCACCTCTCCCCAGGGGCCTATACAGAACTCAAGGCCAAGTGGAGAGGAAGGGCTGTCTGCTAAAGTACTTCCTGAATCAGAGGCGGTGCCAGGAGGAATGGGCTACCTGTGTCTCAACCAGCCCAGCACGCAGGAGAGAGATGCTCCCTTGTCTTTGAAATGAGGCTTCACCATGAGGAAGCGTTACAGGGAAAGCGGCGTGGCACAGCTGCTCCATGGTCGCAGCAGAGGCATGCGCACTCTAGTGGGAGTGCAGGAGCAGAGGGCCCGTGGGCCACCACGCCTAGTCCCCGTCACAGACACCATGGAGATGAGCCCCCAGGGCTCCTGAGGCACCAGGCTGGCACTGCAGAGGCCGGGAGGTGGAGGGGATGTGTGGCACCCGCTCGTCTTAGGCCTCCACAGCCTAAGGACGGAGCCGCAGAATGCGGCAGGACAGAGGCCCCCTCAGAGCTAGGGTGCCGCTCTGGAAGGCTAAGAGCTGGGGCTTCCTCCCGCCACTGAGCCGGGGGACTGGGGCACAGGGCTGCTGGGGCAAGTGCCGTGCTCAGAGCCCCAGGCCGGCTGCCCATCCTGTCTGGTGTAACATGACAGTGTTCCCTGAGGAGAAACCAACCAACCACGGAGCCCAGCACCTGCCTGGACCACCTGTGCAACCTGGGGTGGCTGCCTGCCCCGGGGCTCGCATCTTCAGCGTGCCAGAGCCAAGTGAGGGGGCAGTGAGGTGCCAGCAGCACAGCCAAGTGTGGCATGTGGGCAAGTGTGGCTTCCTGTCCCCCCAGACTCAGTCCTGAGGCCAGGAGCGGGTATGGGCCAGGCACACACAGGTGCGTGGGGGGCTGGGCTCACCCGCATTTTGTTGTTGACCAGGTCCAGGACCGCGTTGTAGGGGATCCGGTCCAGGGGCAGCGTGGCCAGCCACTCCTGCAGCGTCCCCAGCAGCTTCCTGACAGGCGGCCGGCCAGGGAACAGCTGTGTGAGGAGGACCCTCCCTGAGAGGTGGTCAGGAACCCGCGGCTGGGTCTCAGGGTCCACAGAGGAGGCGCTGAGCCCGTCAGACACCCAGTGCCACGCAGCCTCCGGAAATGGAGACGACTCAACTTGGCTCCCTAGGCTGGGGCTCCCTCTGAGCTGGCTGCTCCAGCAGAGGGTGGGGACTGAGCGCTCTGTGCCCACGATGTCCACCCCCGCCCTGTGCCTGGCTGACACCACTGCACAGTGAAAGACCGCGGTCACAGGGTGTGGCTCACCCCCAAGGGGTCTGGCCGCTGCCCGCGCACTGAGGGGTGGGCCTGGGGCAGCCTGCTGTGTGGGGGCCTGCAGCCTGGCACCCGTGCTAAGCTTTGCAACCACAGCTGTCCAGGCTGCAGCCCACGGACGAGGAGCCAGCAGCACCGCACTTCCAACCCAGTGAAACGTGCACTTTCACCTGCACGGGCCAGAGGTGCAGCTGCGGACTTGCCAGTGTCAAACTTGTCTTTGGCCAGTGAGTAAACTTCAGAGCAGCTACTCAGAACAAGGCACTGTCCTGCCTCCAGCCGCTGCCGCCCTCATGCGCGTGAGCCTCGAGTGCCACGGCGGGGGCAGGGGCTGGCTCGCTCTGCCTCTGCCTCAGCACCAAGTCCAGAAAGGACTCCCTGGCCACTTCCAGAGGACTTGGGCTCCCTAGCTGCCCCCACGAGGCCCATGCCCCAGGGCCACACACCCACCTGTGACTGTCTTTTGCTGACCCCCAGTGGCTTCTGACACCTTGCCTGGGGTATGAAGCCCTGGGACCTCCCTCACCCTACTGCCCCTTACCCCAGAGCTCCCAGAGGCCCCCAGGGACACCCGTGCAGGCCTAGGCCAGGAGAAGGGGGTCTCCCTTGCAAGCCCCCCACCATCACACACCATGCGTGCCCACGGTGTGCAGAGCCCGCCCAATACCCTCGGCTGGGGCCGCCTCACCTTGGCAACAACTGTCACAAAGTCCCGGAGGGTCTTCAGCTCGGCTCCAGCTAGCGACCTGTGCGCAGCCAGCTCCACCCGCAGCAGGTAGTGCAGCCCCGACTCCAGGTCGGCCGTGTACAGCTTGGCCCTGGGAGGAACGGGGAGTCAGGAGCCGCCCCTTGCACTGCGGGCCCTGCCCCGCTAGGGGGTGGCTGGCCATGGGGAGGCAGTCACTCAATTCGAGGCACATGCGGGCCAGGCTCCCAGGGACACCTGCCTGTCGAATTCTCTCCAAACCATGGCTTCTGTGTTTTCTTCCTTGTTGGGCTTTTCAGGCATGGAAAGTGATTTTTTCCTTACATCTGGCAATGACTTCAAATAAGAGGAAAAAAAGGATCGGAGCGGCTTCGCACTGTGGGGAAGAAGAAAGGTGGGGATGCCCTGCCAGGCCCCACTGCGACCTGCCAGCAGGGGCGTCTGCATGGGGGGCTGAGGCCCAAGTCACCCTGGGCCCCGCCCCATCCACCCCACACTCAGCAGGACCACAGGGCAGCCGTGGAGAGGGTGGGGGCACGGGGCCCTTCTGCTGAGTCCACGGCTGATCTGAGTTGTGGCGCAGAAAGCACCAGGCTCATCTGCTTGCCGGGACCCAAAGATGTCTGCAGAGCTGGTTTGAGCATCTGCCAAGACGAGCTTACCCGACTGTGATCACCCAGCCTAAGAGCCCTGGCCGCCAGCGCAGCAGGCATCTGGCGGCCCTGCGGAGCACACCGCCGGCCTGGGGGCCCCAGGCTGAGGGCACCACAGGAGCGCAGGGCTCCCCTGAGCAAGTGTGTGGCTTCCAGTGAGCGTGGTCCCCTCTGAGGGCCAGCACTGACCTGTGTCAGGCGGCGGACACATGCTCTGGCAGCGCCACGTCGCACAGCCAAACCCCCAAGTGCTCAGGGCCCCTCCGGGTGAGCTCGAGGCTGTGCTTTCTTTACGGTACAGGCACTTAGCGAACTGTGGTGTGCTGGGCTTTCTGGGCAGGACCTGCGTGCGGTCTTCTTCTGGCCTGGTCACGTGGTGACGTCAAGGACTGCTGGGCACGCACTGCTAAGTCAGCAAGTGCCCAGGGCTGCTGGCGACCCAGGAGCCCCATGGTGGCTGGGAGGGGACAGCCAGGCAGGCAGGGAGCATGGGGCTGTGGCTCCTACTCCTTCCACAGCCTCGAGACCTCACCCCCACGTCCCCACCGTTCTGCCTTCGCCAGCCCCACCCTGCTGAGTCCCTGTCCAGGCCCAGCTGCAGGGCAAAGGTCACACAAGGTTCCCTCACTCTGGAGTGAGCAGGCCCAGACAGGATCGATGGGCAGCTCTGGACGTGGGAAAACCCAGCCCAGACAGAAGAGCTCCTGGAGCCTGGGCCACGTCAGAACAAACCAGGGAAGCAGCACCAGGCCCAGCGCTCCCTCAGACGCAGCCCGGGACTCCCCCGTCCGCTCTAGGAAGTCAGCAAGGCGTGCCTGTCCCCACACCCCACTGCAGCCAGGCGAGCAGGCCCACCCCGGGCCACGGCCACGCGGCACTCACACGTGAATCAGACCGTGGGAGCCGTTGGGGTGGAGCAGGTAGCAGGAAGGCAGCGAAGCCACGCCGAGCTGCTCCAGCACAGCCCTGTCCCCGTCCAGGGCTCTGCTCACCACGATGTTCTCGTACGGAATCAGGTCCAAAATCACCTGCGCGACGAGGGAAGGCGCATGACTCCGCGAGGTCAGGAGCTCAGGAAAGCGCACGGCCCCTCACAGGTCACCCGGCCAGCGGGACACAAAGCCCAAGGCGCCACCTGGAGCGACCGATGTGTGCCACGCTGAAGCGCGCTGTCACTGACACCTTAGCTGCAACGCATTTTAAGGCAACTAATGAGACAAGCGCACGGAGGTGTGGGCCCAGGGGCAGGAACTATAATCCCATTTAGAGATTTTCCAGACTAGTCCAGGGAAACACTGATTAAAACCTCACTCTCCCTTTCAAACACACCCTCCACAGGGGCCAGCCCTGCCCCCAGCCCTGCCCCACACAGCAGCTCTGCCGGAGGGCTGCAGTCAGGTGGGGTGGCTGGCGGGGGGGCCCTGGGGCAGGACGGCCGGTTGAAGGCACATCGGCGGGGTCTTGGTGGCAGAGGGACACAGCAGTGGCATCTGAGGCCCACAGAACCCCCCGCTCCCACACCTCAGATGCCCGAACCTGGGTGACCCAGGAGTATGTAGGGCAGTGGCTATTCCCGGAAAGAGGCGGCCACAGTTTTACTCTCTGGCTCTCAGTGCTCTGCCACGCCGAGCTAAACACCGGGATTTCTGTGCCACAGACCCGTGACTCTGCTGGAAAATGGAAACCCTGACCCCAAGAACTCGAGTCAGGACCGGCTGCTGCCTGTGAGCTCGTGCCCCCCCACCCAACAGCTGAGCACTGGGACCCCTACCTCTCGCCCCACGTAGGAGCTGTTGCTTTCAAACAGCACAGCCACGTAGTGGCCGCCACGGCTGCCGAGGAGGGCGAGGATGTCCCTGGGCCTTGTGGGAGAGAGGGGTTCTGGTGAGTGCGCTGCCATCCCGTGGCACACGGGACACTTCACAGATGACACTCAGCTGCCCCTTGAGGGGGTTGGTACCACAGCTACTCACGGGATCGGGTCCAGAGCCGGGCAGGCTGGTGGCCGGCGGCCCTCCGTGTGGTTCTGCAGGAAGTCGATCATCGTCTGCCTGACCGTGCGCAGCTCCCTGTCAGGCCCTGCCAGAGCAGTGCCGTCACTGCCACGCGGGTGGGTCTGTCCCCTGTGCAGCCGCCCCCGGGCCCGGGGACAGTGTGTGATGGGCGGTACAGCTGGCCATGGGGGCCACATGGACTCCACAGTGGTGCACACACAACAGGAGCCCGCAGGGCAGGAGGGGGCAGCTTTAGGACACAGCCACTGGCCATGCCCCACCCTCAGTGCTCTGCCATGCTGAGCTAAACACTGGGGAAGACACTGACAGTGTTTCCCCAGTGCCACCCTAAGGGCTGGTCACCCTCCAGGCCTTGACCTGCACTGCTTGCCTGGCCATACGCACTCCCAAAAGGCTGTCAGCTGCACCGAGTTGTTTATGTATTTCTCCAAACGTTTTTTCAGCCAGTGTGGTAGCTCACATCTATAAGCCCAGGACTTGGGAGGCTGAGGCAGGAGCTCTATGTGGACTACAGAATGAGTTCAAGGCCAACCCAAACTACATAGTGAGACCTGACTCAAATATTTTTTTTCAATAAAAAATTTACTTTAAAGCTGGGTATGGTGGCACATGCCCGCCATCCCAGCACTCTGGGAGGCTGAAGCAGGGTGATTTCAAGTTTGAGCCCAGCCTGGGTAACCTAATGAGACCTTGTCTCGAAATAAAAAATAAGGAAAACAAAGGCTGAGGATGTAGCTGAGTGCAAAGGCCCCAATACTACACATACATGCATAAACACAAATCACACAACTTCGAAGGAAAAATTTCACTACTCCATTTTCCAAGAAAGACAAAGGAAATTATTGCTCAGACTGTTTGGGTCTGAACTCCTCACAGAAAGGTGCAAACACGCTGAGCGCCCTGTCTATGTCAGCAGGGGGGTGGCCAGGCTAAGGGAGACAGTAGAGGGCTGCTGGTCCTTACCTCTAAAATTTTCTCCCGTTGTAAACTCCTTTGTAAATGCTTTAAAATACTAGAGAAAAAACACAACAAATAAGCAACAGCTGGGGAGGTCTGTGCATGTCTATAACACGTGTCGTCTGGTCACCAGAGCTTCTTCCACCCAGCTCCCTAAGACCCTGAGTGACGAGGACAAGCCACACCTCTTCCACTCTGTGGACACCAGCGACCCCGCCAGGTCCACAGCAGGTAGGTGAGCGCATGTCGGAATTCTGATATGCACATTTTCTAACAGTTGCGGGGGGGCTGTAAAGAACAGCACCCCCTCGATTCTCGCCATCAGAGGCGGTGGCATGACCACACGAGACCTACAGGGAGCGTGAGTCACTGCCGAGTGTCAGAGGATGGGATGGGTTTTCCCACTAGACGCGGCACTGTCTCCACCAAAGGCAGTGGAGAGACAAGCTGCATGCTGGGTGGACGGGTCAGAAGCAAGAATTTACAAAGGACCCTGCTGTCAGAAAGCTGTCGGAAAGGGATGTGCGTCCGAGAAGGAAATGGACAAAGGGTGCCAGCAGGCGTTTCAGCCCAGGGACACCAGCAGTTTCTCCCAAGGCTGCAGGGGTCTTGGAATAGGTGGGAGAGCACACCCAGGGGTGCTGTCCACACCTGCAGGGGCCTGGGGCAGCCCAGACCCCATCTCCAGGGCAACAGCGCTGGCACTCAGACACCACAAGGCATGCGGTGCCCACAGCCTGTCCTCACTGCTGCGCGGGTGTGGGACGGGGCCACTGATGCGGTGCTGCGTGACCACGCAAGACGCTGGAGAGGAGACAAGATGGGCAAACGTCTGCTGCCCTCCAAACGAGGACAAGAAAGCAGGGAAAGGGCACCAAGGGCTGAGCGGCCACAGGCATGGCACCGTGCAGAGCAGCACATGCTGGCTGGGCACAGCACAGCAGGAGCCAGAAGGGCACCAGGACAGCTGCCCTTGGGCGTAAGGCGCTGGGCATCCCAGGCGCCTTGGAAAGGACACCAAAGGCACCACATGCTTCTGGAGAAGCCCAGTCCTGTGTCGGACAGTGGCAGGCAAGCTGGCCAGGCTGCACCCACACAGGGCCGTACGGGGACCTGGACAGGGGTCCAGCTCTCTCCGCCCCCTAGTGGGAGAAGTGGGAACAGCCTTGTCTGTGGAGTGAGTGGGCGTAGTGATGCCAGCAGTGCTGGCTGTGGATGAGCGGGTGCTCACAGGCAGCATGGGCTGTAGTTAGGGTTTGTGTCTGGGTGTCCCCCCAAAGTCTCCTGCAGTCATGGGGTGGGCTTCTAGAGTTGGTGATTGACTCGCGGTCCAAAGCTGGGATTATGGGTGTGAGTGCTACACGCCCCCTGGGACGGGCAGCCTGCATACAGTATAAAGGAGGGAAAGTGGCTTCTCTCTCGCTTCTTTTTTGCTCTTGCTGTTTTCCGCAGCCACGAACAGTTGCCCTCTGCCTCGGTGCCAGCCAAGTATGGACTGAAACCTCCACCGACTGTGAGCTAAATAAACCTTTCTTTCCTTAATTTTGGGCATTGGGTATTTTGTCTCAGCAATGAGAGAAAAGTAATGGAGACAGCCATGCACGCAGGTCCTGGGGACCCTCCCAAACCTCCTCAGCCTCTGCACTCGATAGCGTGGATGGCCCCCTGCCAGGGACGCTGGCGGGCGTTTCTACAAGCAGTGCAGGAACACACAAGAAGTGGGAACCACCAGTGTGAAGCCCCAGGTTAAAGAAGCCCCTGGTGAGAGCAGGGAGGGCCGACCACAGCACCAAGGCCTGCATCGTTTCGGCTGAGATCACCCCGGTGCTTGCGCCCAGGGAGCTGGCTACGTACCCGGAAGGTGGGGTAGAAGTGGATGTCATAGGTGCGGCACACCTCCTGGTTCTTGTCTTCCGCGCAGTCCAGAGCAGCGACGCGGATGGCAGCGGCCCAGTCTGAAAAGCAGGAGCGAGACCTTCAGCCTGGGGGATGGGGGCAATGAGCACCCAGCCCACAGCCCCCTGGAGTCATCGTGCGGCCAGGGAAGGGGAGTGACGTCTCCACCAGAGGCTGCACATGTCCCCCACCACGGAGGACAATGGCGCCCACTGGTTCCTGCGGAACTTGCAAATGGCCCAATAGCTGCCGCACCGCCTGCTCCCAGTTCAGGGACACCCTGATGCCTGACGCACACCACGGGGACCCGCAGGTACAGCCTTGGAGATGAACCGCCCCCATGCTCACTCGCAGTGTGTGCGCGAACAGTCACCAACACCAGGGGCCCCTGCCCAGACGGCCCCTTGGCTGGGACGCTTCTGCCATCCTCAGCAACAGGAAAGGAGCACCTTACAGGTTTCTCCTACCCTTAACTTTTTAATTATAGCAAAGTCTCCAGCACGTAAATAAGAGATAAAATCATGACACCCTGTGCTCCTTGATCTTCAGTCTCACCCTCTCCTCTGGGCTCCACCTGACCCACACCTAGCGGCCCGAGGATCCCAGGAACACACACTTCCTCTAAACGCCCACGCCTGGCTCCAAGGGCTCCACCGTCACAGCAGAGCACACACACCCTCCCCAACCCACATCACACCCAGGCAGGGTGGCGACGGCCCTGTCCCTTTGTCTGGCTTACACTTTGTTTGAATCAGGATCCTAATGAGGAGGCCACTGTCCTGGGGCACGTGCCAGCTGAGGGACCTGCTTGCCTGTCCCTTTCGCTCTGACCTGCTGACAGCACCCAAGCGCGGCTCTTCTGCAAACAGGGCCGAGGTCTATGTCCTTGCTAGGTTCTTTTGCTGAGGTCACTCTAGAGCTTCCACCAGGGGGCAAGAAACCCTGGCCGCCTCCCTCGATAACCACCCCTCAAGTGTATTGCTTCACGGGGACAGCAGCCAGCAGGGTGCCCTTGTCCCCAGCCTCCTCACACAGGTGCTAGCACGGTGCATAGCACACGTGTGCAGGTGAGGTGTCTCTTGGGGCTCAGGAAGTCCTTGGCCTGCCCTCCATCCCCACCCGTGGAGGGTAACAGACTGACAGGGTAGGTGTCCCCGACAGCAGGGCTCTGGCTTACAGTCATCTCCAGCGCCCTTGGGGTCAGCCCCTGGAACCCCCCCTGTAACGAGGGGCAGGTTACAGAACAAGATGCCCTCTCTTATGTTGAAGCCACAGCCCGGGGGCTCGAACATGCTTCCAGCCTGGCCCTGCGCGGTCCCTTCTCCAGGCCCACACAAGAGCAAAGCACAGCAAAGCCCCCAGAGGGCGTGGGCCGAGGGAGCTCGGGGCTCAGGTGCCCGAGGCCAAGCACTGAAGGACGCAGTGACTTCCAGTCCCTACCGAGCCGCCTCTTCCCAAGCACAGGAGCTCACAGCTGCCGCCACCAGCAATCAACAGGCCCCACGTCTGCGTCCTGCCCCGGCCCCAGCAAGGCGCGTTGGGAAGGCAGGTGTCACCCCACTGCCACCTTTCCACCCTGTCTGTCTCTTACTCTTTCTCTCTCTCATACACACACACACACCCCAAAGGGCCGGGCTCTCCGCTGGTGTGCAAGGCTCCATCGCCGGCACCAGAGAGGGAGAGAAAGGACAAGGCCACCTCTTCCAACCCGAGACCAAACACAACGCTGCCCCTGCGAGACCAATGCGCATCCCAAGGCCGCGGTCAACACACGGGCTCCGCAGTCGCAGGTCGCGTTTCCTGGAGCCTCAGACTGCACAGAACTGAGGAGGAACAGTTAATACTCTCGCCCAATTAGCACGGCAGATGGCAGCAAGCAAGGCACGGAGGCTTTGCCGCCTTCCGCCACCAGTGCTCAGGGCTCTGTGGGCAGTGCCGCTGTGCCCCCCGCCCTAGCTTCACCCTGCGCTCCTGCTACTCCCTGGGGCTTCCTCCGTGTGTCTCTACCCCCCCATGGCAGGTTCTCTTACTTATTTTTTTCAGTGCTAGGGATGGAATCCAGGGCCTCTGAATGTTAGGCAAGTACTTTATCACTGAGTTACACCCTGGCCCTACTGTACTTTCTATTTTATTTATTTATTTTGCTTTCTGACACTGGGTTTCACTTATATAGTCCAGGCTGGCCTTGAACTCACTATGTAGCCCAGGTGAACGCATAGTGATCCTCCTGCCTCAGCCTCCTATGCCACCACACCCGGCTACAGCGCCTTTCTACTGAGAAAGAGAGTAAGAAAGTGAAAACCTGCTCCAGGAGCGCCCCAGTGCACAGTCACGGCAGCCCAAACCCCAAACCAACCTAGAAACGAGGTGCGGGGATGGTGGAGCCAGGACACTCCCAGTCGTGCTTCTCGAGCGCGTGGGGTCCTAGCCTTCTGGCGGTTGTCCTTAAGCATGTGTTACTCAGAAGGAAACCTGCTGTCCCGGCCACTGTGGACACCCAGGGCCTCTAGCTTCTGGAGTCGCCACGGCGGCTCTGCACAGCCCCCGCGGACAAAGCACCTGCCCACGGAGGCAGCTGTGGTGAGAGGCTCTCCCTAACCCCCCTGGGGCCGGCCCTGCAGCCGGAGTGCTCTGGCCTTTCGGGTGCCACCAGCCCTGCCCTCTGCAGCAAGGACGCCTGGACATGGGGTCCAGGTGCTGAGGAGCTGAGATTGTGAGACGCAGAGGCCCGATCCACCTTCTGACACCTGCAGTCTGACCTCCATCAGAACAAAGGCCAGGCTTCTCCCATTTACCCTCTCCATGGCCCCAAGGTACACCAGCAGCCCCGTGGTGTGCGCACTGCCGGCTGTTAGACCGCTTGGCCCACACAGCCCTGCCGTGGGGTCCTACGTGGGAATGTCAGGGCTCCTACTCAGCAGCTGGGGACACGGCGGGCCCAGGCCCTGCACAGCAGGGGCAGTGAGGAACCAGAACCCTGCACCCTCCTTCCCAGTATTACCAGGATGACGGCCATGCTGGGGCTGTCCCTGGGATGCTGAGCAAGGCAGATCCTGTGCCTCCTCCTGCTCTCCCTTGAGAGCACCTGTGGGTCACTTCCTAACACTGGGGCCTTAACCAGCAATGCCCTCTGACCTCAGAGACTCAGGAGGAACTGGGCTGGCAAGAGTGGTTTCCACTGCAGATACCATGGAGACAATGCTACAGCCACAGATGGAGGATGACACACACGATGTCAAACTCCGCCCCCCCACCCAGCCCTGGCCCTAGCCCCACGCCGGCCTTTGCAAACCAGGGATCCCCCCTCTGCCCTGCTCCAGCCTGCACCTCCCAAGAACTGGGGATCCCCCCTCCACCCTGCTCCTGAGAACCAGGGTGCTGTCCTCCATGGGCACAGCAGGGAGGTAGGACGCCCAGGCCCCTGGGAAAGTTCACAGCGCCACACATGAATGTGGCGCTCTCTCCCTTGCAGAGTCCTGTCAACAACTGAGACTTCCTCTCCTTCGCACTCCCAGGGTGCAACGGGTGGAATCAGCCAGCAGAATACAGCTTAAAGAAAGAAACAAGCCCCAGTTGTGGTGGACTGACAACTGGTGGTCAACTTGTGACACCCAGCAGAACTAAGTCAGTGTGGTGCTGGGTGTGGAGGGTCCCCTGAGGATTGGCACCAATGGCATAAAAGGAGAACAGGAGAGGAAGATGGTACTGTTGATTCTCCTGGAGAAGCTTGTCACACTGGTTTTCCTGACATGAACTCGGCTGTTATCATCATCAGAGGAGCTCGGGTCCTCGCTGTTGCTGAGGATGGCTGTGGTACCTTTCGGGGGAGCTCTGGTTCTTACTTTGAGCATGGCTTCCTGGCTCCAGTGCAGATCCCTCACACTGCTAGCACAGATCCTTCATCCCGCTGGCACAGACTTTCTAGCTTGTGCCACTGACCTCTGGGCATTCCCAGGGCAGATCCTTGATACAGACTTGCATGAGACACTGTTGTGGACTCTGGGCCTCCAGCTGGACTCCTGCAGGCACTGCCATGGGCCCTAGGTCTTCAGCTGGACTCATGCAGGACACTGGACACTTAAATCCTTTCCCTTGAAAACCCTGATTACAACACTGGTTTTCCCCAGATTTCTCGCCAGTGTGACACTCTTGTCCAGAAGGTGAACAGCTAAAGCTGTGGCACCATGGGCAGCCAGGGCAGGGTGGATGCATCTCACCCGGGGTCCTGCTGGGCGGCACGGGGTCTCACTGGAGCACTAAGGGTGGGCAGGACTTTGTCAGTGATGTCCCTGCTGACTTCTGACAGATCAAGGCCAGTCCCTGCCTGCTGGAGTGGCACTGGAGGGTGGAGCCACAGGGCCCATCAGGGTCGGCAAGGCCAGGCCTCCCCTACCAGACACGAGCACCGTGTCTCCACTGTCACAGCCACGAGCTCACACTGACCCCAGCCTGGCCCGTGGCAGCAGTGGACACAGGGTCAGACACCGGGCAGGGTGGGACACCCCAGGACGGCAGGAACAGGAAGGGAGATCACAGTGGGTCATTTCCGACTCTGAACCACAATTTCCTCTACAGCAGGCTGCAGAAGGAAGCCAAACAGAGGGGAAACCTGCTGGACAGGCCACCAAACCTCAGTGTGAGCGTCAGGCCTTCACCCTGCCTTTGCTACATTTCTCCCAATCTATGTAGGCCACCTAAAACTGCAATCCCACCTGCAGGCCAGAGCCCGGCTCTCTCCCTGGAACCTCACACTCGCCCGGCCGGGGCCGACTCCTCTGAGCCGACTTCAGACACAAGCGTCTCCTTTCCCCGCCTCGCGGCCTCCGACAGCCGGCTCGACGCCGCGCTGGCCCGTGACTCCCTGCAGCTCCCCTCAGCCCCACACAGCAGCCAGAGACGCCACACACAGACCGGCCCTGCCCGGAGCCGTTCTCTATCTCTTGCTGTTGGGAAACGAGATGGACACTGCCCGCCAGGCCACGAAGGGCTCTGTGAGGCACGCGCCCTGAACCACTCCCCCCCACCGGCACAGGCCGATTTCTTCCCACTGGCCCTGTGGTTCTATAGGCACCTCTCCTTCCAAGTTTCTCTCGGCCTCTGCTCCTCCCATGGAAGGCCAACCTCTCTGCTTTGTTCACTGCCTACCAGAGGGGAGCGGGAAGAGCTGCGCAAACTCACGTGTGGCCCACAGTGCCACCTGCAGACACAGTGGCTGAAGGGATGGCCCAGTCCCACCTGCTGCAGCACCTGAGACTCCTGTGACCAACAGGCCACCTGCGGAGCCTCGCTCCAGCCAGGATGCCTCTGCGTGGCCCCAGGCCTCCTGGCCAGGGTGCGCTGGGCACAAGCATCTCAGGCCTTTGTCTGTCTCTGAGACTGGCTGTGGCAGAAGGGAGAATTTCAGTTACACAGGCGCCAAGGGCACCGAGGAGGCGCCAGCAGTCACCGCGGAGCCGGCAGATGGACAGTATTCAGAGCCACACAAAGGACACCGCCACCCATTTCAGCAACCAAATGCACAGGGCTGAAAAGGCTCAGCTTCGGGGCTTGGGCTTCATTCAGCAGCACCCTCCCTGCCCAGCCTCTCCACCTGTCCAGGCCGGCACACAAAGGCGAGGATGCTTCCAGCAAGTGTGACTCGCTGGCTTTGCGGGGCGTCCAGGAACACAGGGTCAGAGGGCACCAGCTGGGAGGCCCTGGAGGCCGGGCCTCCAAGGGGAGGGGAACGAAACCTCAGGGCTCACTGCCCGCTTCCGCTCCTGCGTGCTATGTCAGCACCACTAGTTAAAAAATATTTGTGAAATAATTAAATTTCTTTCCATAGTAGACTAAAACTTATTTCAGATTTGCCTGTCAAGCAACTCGACCACTGAACCTAGCAGGGTTAAGCCTTCACCATTGCTTGCCACGCGCTAATGGAAATGTCCACAGAAGTCCGATTTATGCTTAAGCATCAATAAGTCCCAGGAAACGATTACGGGCAAGATTAATCAACTTCTGGTTTAAATGAACACATGGGAGGGCTGTGTTTCAGGCACCAAGGTTGGCTGTGGCTTTTTCAGTCTCCTGAAGCCAGGACCGTGTCAGAGGCTCCGGGCCCACACTCCAGACCCCAGAACCTCCTCTCCGAGCGCAGGCCCTTCCTGGAGGGCAGAGGTTTTCTTGAATAACCTCCAAGTTCAGGTGACAAGTGTGGGACGGGAGGGCATGGGAGAGAAACCAAACTCCACACCCACATGTACACCAGGCACAAGGTGCAGCCAGGCCCTGAGGGGGCCATGGGAGCCAGACGCCCCAGCTCTACCTTCTCTCTGGTGCTGGGGATGGAACCCAGGGCCTCAAGGGCGCTGGGTAAGGGCTCAGCCCTCTGCCACAACACCCCTGTTCCCCCACGGCCCAAACCGGATGTGGCCCTTAACATTCAAGGGACAGGGCTGGGGATAGAGCTTAGCAGCAGGGCTCCTGCCTGGCAAGTGTGAGGTCCTGAGTTCAATTCCTGATTCCCAAAAAAACATTCAAGAGGATTGCATTGAGGGTGAGGTTAGCAAATGTTAGCTCAATGTTGAAGCATCACAGGTGACAGACAAGAAAGCAAGCGCTTCTGAAAGGGACCCAGTCCCCACCCCTCCCCAGCGTGGGCCACTCCATGACACAGCTGCACAGGCTGGAAGGCCCTCTTTGCAAACCACCCCAGGGTCTCACACGCAACCACCGCAGTGATCTGGGGGCAGGGCCACCCTGGAGGCCTGGCTGCCTCCCACTCTGGTCCATCCCTGGAGGCCTGGCTGCCTCCCACTCTGATTAACTGCAGAGCAGCCAGGTGGCTGTGACAGCAGGGACCACACTGACATCTTCCACCCACTCCTGCCTTCTCCAGGGTGCAGGTGCACATCCCATAGCCTCGAGGCCACATGCAGACCTCACCTGGCTGCGCCCCCTCCCTCAGCTCTTTCTCTACCTTCTTCCATGGCATAATGGGCCCCCTGGGGAAGACCTTGGGGTCGCATTCACCACAGAACGCTCTGTCCCAGTCAAGCAGACAAGAAGAGCAGACGCAGAGGGAAGAGGTGCTCAGGCGAAGGCACGTAGGCTAGGGCCGCCAGCTGGCAGTGGTCACAGGGTACCCTGTCCTCTGCCCACAGGAACACAGCCTGTGCCCAGGTCCTGCCCAGCACCCACCACGCACACCCCAGCTGCCCTCTGCAGGAACACAGGTGAGCCCATGGAGCTCTGGAGTCACCCACGCCTGGACTCAGCTCCAGCCTGTCCCTTGGCTGTGTGACCCTTACCGACTCTATCTCACTTGGCCTCAGGCACCATCGCCCATGGTGCCCCCTGCAGGGCGACTCTAAAAGTACTCCAGGTCCCCTGGGTGCCCCCTGCCACCTCTCTTGGCCCCCAGTTCCTCACACAGAATTCCGGCACCAAGACTAGACCTTCACTCACTTGCCTTGTGCTTTGCTCCCCAGGGTGGCATGAAGTGGAGCAGACAGACTCCAAGGGGACCCCTAAGGATGCATGCTCCGCACCAGGCCCTCTCCTGCCCCAGACACCCCAAGGAGATGCCCTGTGCACAGCTGATTGGGGCAGGAGCAGCCCCCCACAGCTGGAGGAGCCATGGCGCCTGCACCTAATGATTTAAGTCCTCGAGGCTGTGCATAGGGGGCTGGGAGGGGCCGCCTGGAACCACCCTCCCTTCTGCTGCTCCAGCTGGCAGGTGATGGGGCAGGTGGCACAGCGCTCTAGCTCAGAATCCCCACTGTGGCAACCCCCTGGGGGCAACCACCCTGGTACAGGAACAGCGGTGCGTGGCTGGGAAAGGTGGTTGGGATGCCATTTTAAGGGGGGCCGGGAAAGGCACCTGAGAGCCCCAGTGCAAGGCCCACGTGCCCAAGAAGGTCAACACCACACTGCAGTGTGGGGTGAAGGGCACCCCTCCCTGAGCCATGACCCACACAGGGAGACCACGTGGAAGCAGAGCCAGGCACAGGGGGCCGCCACCCTTGAGGGAGGAGCTCCCCACCACTCCCAGCGGAAACAGGCATACCAGGTGGCCAAGGCCCCATTCACAGAGGAGTCCCCGACAGCACAAGCCTCTGGTGTGGAGGACATCATGAGGAGCAGGCCCGGCTACATCTCCCTCTCCTGTGGCCGTGAGCCTCTGTGCAGGTGTCCTGCAGGGTTAGCGTCCCTAAGAACAGTGATCCTCCAGCTTGGGGCTTGTGCCGACAGGACCCTGGGCTCCACCCAGCCACCCGGGCTGGGCTGACAAGTGCATTTCTACCAAGTCCCCGGGTGACCCTGCTTTGTGAAGCCTGGCCCTAGAACCAGCTCCGGGGACACTTCTCAGTGTTTTGCCCTCACCTTAGCATTCTCTGACTGGCGGCCCCAGGTCCCCGCCCCTCCTCACCGTGCTCCTGCCCACTTCACTTTCAGGCAGATCTCAGTTCAGGCTCAGGCCGGTCTTCCTGCCGTGACTTGGTGGACTCGGCCATTTTTATGCAGGTGCACTGAGCTAAGTTTACCACTGTACGCGGCATGGATGTGACCGTCTCCCTTCCAGAAGTAAACTTCCTTCCACGTTCCAAGGACAATGTTCAGGGTTCCCTAAATGCTAGTTCAGCTAACAAAAGAGCTTGCAATATTTGAATCTGGTTTATGACTTTTACATTTCAGATACTAAACTGAAAAGAAAATACACCCACAAAAGGTGACAGAAGTGCCACCAGATCTACCAGCACTTTCATTTATGTATCTATATCTCAGCTACAAAATAAAAACAAGAACTGAAAACTCTATTTTATTGAGTGCCTTGAAGCACATCCTCTAGGAGTTTTTTGGTTCCTTCTTTCACCCTCTGGGTCAGTTCTACCTAGTGCTTACTAAGTACTTAAAAGTTGAACTCCAAGAGAACAAATCCACTAGAATTAGCTCCAACACTGAGATGAGAGGATATACTTTAAAAATAGTCATTTACAACTGTGTACTTAAAAAAAAAAGTTTTAGCTGAGTGCCAATGGCACATGCCTGTAATCCCAGCATTCAAAGACGCTGAAGCAAGAGGATTTGACTCACTGTGAAAGCCTGTCTCAAAATTTAAAAAAAAAAAAAAATAGGTGGGTGAGGTTGGGTAAAGCACCTCTGGGTTGGATCTCCAGTACCCCCACCCCGCCATTTCTTCTGAGTATGAAAAAATTCTGCAGAGTTCGATGTAAGACCCAAAAACAAAGGTGCAGGAAAGAAGAGCAACAATTTGTAACGCTCTCGGCCAGTGAAATCTGTAATTAGAGGTTAGCGCTACAGTAGTGAGCAGTCCTGCCAAACCTCAACCTTGCTGGGGAGGAGCTCCGACTCCAAAACTGCTTAAATTCCGTTTTACAACAAGCCCAGCCTGCTGGAAGGGGTCTACAAATGCCTCCTCGGGTTACAACTCGGCCCTGTAGGGCAGGAGGGATAACGGCAGCGCCGAGAAAGTGCTGAGCACCAGCAGTTTGGTGAATGTAAGATTTCTCAAAAGCTGCGGTCTGGGAGCCCGGGAAGAGGAAGCCACCAACAAAATGCTCCGCACTTCCTTTGCTTCGACACAGCAGTCCCCGGGGCACTGGGTTTCTGAGTTGCGGGCTCACTTTGATATCTACCATATGGCTGCAGATCCACACCAGCAAGGGGATGACGTCGATTTAAAGGGCTGGGAGCGGCGCAGTTTGGACAGGAATGAGGGTGCTTAAAGGATGGGGCTGCCAGGCTGTGCAATGGACTTAGCGGGGTGGGGGTCGGCAAAGGGCTGGGGTACGAGGCCTGGGGGCCTCACGAAGCTCTTGGGGCGGAAAAGGGTAGGTGTTCTACGACGGGAGACCCGGGACGGCCACTCGCGGGGCGCGGGGGCTCCGGGCCCGGCTCGCAGCCCGGAACGACGCGGACCAGGCTGGGGCCAGGCCCGGCGCGCAGGGCCTCACCTCGCACGTCTCCGGCCAGAGCCCGCCACGTGGGCGCGTAGCCGATGCAGTGGCCACACCAGGAGGAGTAGAACTGCACGAGCCATGCGGCCGAGCTGTTGGCCGTGGCTCCGCGCACGCTGCCGCTGTCCAGCACCCACACGGCGTCCTCGCCCGCGCGGTACAGCCGTGCCGCTCCCGGCCCCGCCGCAGCCAGGAGCAGCAGCAGCCCGGGCAGCCGCGCTGCACGAGGCGGGGACGTGGGCGGGCGCCGCGCTCGAGCTCCAGGACTACGCGCAGCCGCCCCGGCCGCCGCCATGTTGGGAGTGTCGCCGGCGCGCCGACCTTTCACCCTGGCAACCGCCGTCACGTGGCCGCGCGCCGGCCCCGCCCCTCGAGGGCGCTCTCCCCGCCCCCGCATTTCTGGCCAGTCCGACTCCGCGAGGCTCGCCCCGCCCCTCAGTCCCCGCCCCTCACACGCGCTCGCCCCGCCCCGTGCTCCGTGACCCGCCCCTCGAGGCTCGCCCCGCCCCGCCCAGTGCTCGCGCGCTCCCCGCCTCTCGGGCAGAGGACTGGGTCAGGGCCCCCCAGGTTTAGCCAACCGAAAACACCACCAGCTTAAATGTGAAATCCGGAGGAACAGAGAAGCGAACGAGGTGGCATTTCAGTTTGAAATTTAAGGGGAGGTTTTCTGTGCCTGAAATCCCCGTACAGCTGCAGGGCGCCGTGTCCCACGGCCTGGGGCGCACAGCTCCCATGACACGCTGCTCTCTGGCGCGGGAGACCTGGTTTTTTGAGTGCTGTTCCTGATTTTTACACACGTCAAGGTTCAAAACTGTGACCCAAACACAAAGAAGGGCGCAACCCTCCCTGGCCCTGCCGGCCGGGCCGCACTTGGGTTCTTGGTGACTCGTCCCAGGTCGGGCTGCCTTTCGCTGCCGCCCTGCCGTCTGTCTTGTGGCTCCTGGCGAGACTGACCAGGGCAGGGCCTGTCCCTGCGCCCCTGCTCCGCACTCACCACTCCTTCCTGCGCGGCCGGGGTCTGACCTCTGCTCTGTGCCAGGCCTGCAAACAAGGCGTGGAGAGAGAAGCCTGTCCCTCTGGTCTCCAAACTAGGCACGAAGTCCCGCAGCGCGAGGCAGGGGCGTGGGTGCAGGAGGGGACGGGGCGGAGGAGGAGGGGAGGGAGGTGGCCCTGGCGCCAAGGCCCAGAGGTGGGGGTGCTGAGCTCTAGGGCAGCAGCAGAACAGGCCAGGCGGAAGGGCCAGGAAGGCCCCAGCAGGGCACTGAGGAGAGGCTGGTGGCTGTGGACAGGAAGGCACAGGGCTGAGGCTGCCACACCCCCCTCAGAGGTGAGGCAGTGAGGGCCTTAGGCAGCTGCAGACCAAAGTGTGGCTCTGGCATTGTCAGATGCCACCCTGTGCCACGATGCCACCGTGGTGGACACACCTGAGGGAGCAGCTCCTACCATCAAGCCGCAGACGGCGGCTTTGGGAGCCCTGGGGCTGGGCTGGGCTGGGCTGGGGGGGCACCCTGTGCGTCCGCCAGCTCAGTCTTCTGTGTCCTTGGGACATCAGGGAGGGGCCTCAGCTGGCGCAAAGGGAGACAGTTGTTGGGGGCAATGCAGAAAAGCAGCTTGATGGGCGTGGTTGCCATGGTGTGGGCAAACAGGACAGGGCCCTGGAGAAGGATGAGCTCTGTATATTTCTTGGGGTCCCAGAGGCCACTTGGGGTGCTAGCATGGGAAAGGCTGACTTCCTGAGCCTGGTTTGGTTTGGGCAGGGCATCTTGGGCACAGGGCCAGCCCCATTTGGAAGGCAAGTGAGCTTACCCGGCTCCCAGCCCCAGCAACCAAACACCCCGGGTGTGGGCATGCTGGCGTGTCAGAACCAGTGCCACCGTGTCCCCCAGTGTGGGGATCGGCTGAAACTGGAGATTGATCACACGTGCAGAGCGCCCGAGGCCAGCCACATGAACAAGCCGTTCCAGCTCTGAGAACACAGAGAACCTGAGGCAGCCAGGCAAGCAGGTTGCTAGACAGAGGCTGCACGTGACATCAACCTGCCGAGTGTGTAAGTAAATGCACCGCAGTCCTTGAGCAGTTCCTTTCTCCCATCTGGAGAGGGGGCTCCACCTGACCTTAGCTTTCTGCTTCCTGATCCTTGTCTTTATTTCTTCATCCTCTACAGTCCTTCACCCCAAGAATTTTGAGAGCAGCAGTGGACATGGCACCCCAGCAGCGCACGGCTGTCACTCTGTAAACTGAAAGGGTGGCCTTTGGTGTGGGCTGTGTGAGTGGCTGTGCAGGGACGGGAATCCAAGGACCTGGGAGGCTCCCTTGGTGACGTGGGATGTGGGGCACAAAGGCCAATGGCAGGATGGTTTTCTATGCAGGAGGGACGCAATAAGCAGGATGCAGAAAGAGACAGATCGCTGGAAAATTAAACGTGGGGTTTAACAGAGAAATAACCACTTTCTATGAAACATAATGACTTCTCCCGAGACTGGTGTCAGGATTTATTGGGCTGAGTGGTTACCGAAGATCAGAGCCGGAGACCTTGGAGGGAGGGTCCTGTGGGACAGCTTCACCCGGTCACTGCATCTGCATGCTGGAGCCGGGCTCTGCACACGTCGGGACATAAAATGTGTCCAGCACCTTCGATGGATATACTTTTCCTCCGCCCACCACAGCCGTTTGATAGCCCCGGCCCCCTCCAGCACTGTCACAGGAGGCATGGCCTGCTTTGCCATTAGTTCCTGTGCCCAGCCTCCCTTCAAGGGCACCATGCCAAGGCCGAAAATGACTCTGGCAATGTGATATACCTGCCAGGCTCCCAGGTCAGAACATTCTGGGGAGACCCTGGTTCTCCTACGTGTACCCCAACACTGCGAGCTGTTGGCAAGAAGCCCGAGCAATGAGATTGAGTTTTGGTATTGAATTTGAGGCAAATCTGCAGAGTTTCAATGTAAGAGATTTATTGCCGTGCCAAACGCATGTGTGTAAAATACATAATTCCTCTCACACGGCCTCATAAATCCAAAAGGGTCAGCAATAAATAGAAAAAAAATAAAAAATTACAGACTAATTTGCTCAGAAAACTAGAAGGGAATCAATAAGACAGCTATAGCTCAAAATGTGAAGTCACACACACAGGGGACAACTTTCCCCCACTGGACCCAGAGCTCTGTGCCCTGGGAAAGCTGGGAAAGAACCAGGTGACACCGTGGCTGGTGCCTCCCTCAATGAGATTTGTCTTTAGGCACAGGTGCCCAAGAAGGGCCCTGAGCCAAGCACTGTCCCTGAAACGTGGCAGATTGTGGCTCCATGAGGAGCTCTCTGGAAGGGGCCCTGCCTCTCCCCAAAAGTGTCCCAAGGGTCCTTGCCGGAGGGACAGGCCAGAGGGCACTGGCAGCTCCCTGTCCTGTGACTTGGCACCTCAGACCTCTGCCCTGCCAGCTCCTGCCATGCCCAACACAGCCGGTGACCACCAAACCCTAATGCTCACTCGGTGAGAAAAGTCAGACGCACAAGCTCGGTGCCTCGTGGTTTCCCTTCTATGTGAAATCCAAAGTATAAATAAAGACAAGGGATGGACAATAGGAACTGGGAGGTAGGTCTTTTGCACAAAGGAAGGGGACCAAGCAAGGGAAGGAGGGGGGAGAGAAGGGGAGGAGAAGGGACTGAGATGTGTCCTGGCCGGGTGGCAACTCCCCGCAAGGAATGTGCTTATGGTGTACTGCAAGCACCTGCTCATAAAAATAAAGCCACACAGGGGCAGGAAGCTCAGGTCCCCGGCCCCCAAGTGCAGTTAGGTGCAGGTCCGAGGCTGAGGGAGGAACAGAGACCTGAGGGTCAGCGCTGGACTCCACTATCTCCATGGCCAGCGCTGCTTGTCAACCTGGACCCACCCAGGAAGGGACCTAATTCAAGAAGTGGGGGGCTGCAGGCGAATTACTCAATATTCTTTTTTTTGGGGGGGGGTTTGTTTTTTTTCCTGTACCCGGAATCGAACTCACGACTTTGTGCTTGCCAGGCAGGCACTGTGCTGCTGAGCTAAATCCTCAGCCCCGTACTCAATATTCTAAGGATGCTAAAATTCATGTGTACAGCTCAAAGAGGTGAGCTTCGTGGTATGGGAATGATGTCTGAATAGAAAGTGTTTAGAATATAGTGTCACCCACGGAAACCAGACAGTACAGAAGTAGGAGAAAATAATCTCCTGACGACAATCCTTTCATAGTCTACAGTCTTTATTCAAGTGGGTTTTTAAACATCAATTTGAACTGATCCATAAAAACACAGAAGTTGTGCATTGAGCCAGCTCTGTGTTGCACAGAGCGCTCCAGCACAGACTTTCCAAAGCCGCTGGCTGTGTAGCACCTGTCCTCACCCTTTCCCGTCACATCGGCTGCTGCCAGAGCTACAGGAAGGAACTCATAGGCACATTTGGGGTTCTAGCTGGGTTTTTAACGTTAACTTTTGGGTTTTTTCCGCTATATATATAGTTCAGGCTGGTCTTGAATTGAGTATGTCGCTCAAGCTGGCCTTGAACTCAAGTGATCCCCCTGCTTCACCCTCCTCAGTGCTGGGATTATAGGCACGCACCACCACACTTGGCTTTTTGGTTGTCTTTGCTTTTGACGCTCTGGGGATGGAGCCCAGGGCCTCACCTAAGCTAGGCAAAGGCTCTCTATCACTGAGCCACACCCTTAGCCCTTCTAGTATTTGTTTATTTTTTGAGATAAGGTCTCGCTAAATTGCCCAGGCCAGCCTTGAGCTTGCAACCCTCCTGCCTCAGCCTCTGAAGTAGCTGGGATTACAGGCTTGTGTTCAGCTTCAACACAATGATTTGTAATGATTTGGAAGTGAGCTGGTAAAGGTCGGTGGACACACCGACTGGTAGGCAGACAGACAGATGAGTATATGGATGGTGAATGACCAGGGATGGCTAGAAGAAGAGTGACACACACACATACGCGTGTGCACACACACACACACACACACACACACACACACACACACACACGGACACACATGCGTGCTGCCTCAGGAATGGAGCGTAGCCTCAGAGAGCTCCCAGCACAGGCTCCAGGTCCTCTCAGAAAACCCTGGGTTGGGAGTCAGAAAGCAGATCTGAAAGCTGCATCTGTGGTGAGAGCACCCGCCGCTGGGCTGGTGTGAAGCCGCTTCCCTGCGGGCAGGGCAGGTACAGGTTCAGGACAGAAGCAGCAAGCACACAGACACCCGCCCACAGCCAGCCTGCCCCAGACACTGCTGTCCTGCCAGGCTGGGTCCCCGGACAGGTCTGCGGCAGCTTCAAGTGAGGCCCAAATGTGCTCTCACATGAGATTTTAAGATGCCCCATGCCACCCACTCCCCACTACCACCTAGCCTCGGGGCAAGGGTGGATGGGGAGGTCCTGGGTGATCCAAGCCTGGCACTAGTGGCTGTGGCGCTGCTCCGTGCTGGGCTTCAGCGAAGTGGGTGGACTTCCTGGGGGACGGTCACAAAGGTGACTTCCTGCACAGCCAGCACAGGTGGCCATTCTGCAGGACCTGTCCGCTCCAGGAAGCCCAGGGATGTGGCTGGCCCACCCCCTCCTCCCAGATACACCTGAGCACTATCAGAGGCTTGTGGAATCGGGGACGCTCAGGGACCCTGTAGGTCTGCGGCTCTGGGGCGGCCCCATGGCTTCTCCCCACACAGGCGGTGCTGGGTGCTGGAGCCCACAGCCCAGCCTTCCCCGGGACACCTGTCCTGAGAAAGGGGGCACCTCTGCAAAGAGGAGACACAGGACAGAGCCATGTTCCCCCTCCCCAAAGAACCACTCAGGGTCCCCCAGTACGGAGCTCACTGGGACATGAACGAGGCAGGGTGGCCTTGCAGGGACCCTGAGAAAAGGGAGGGGGGCCCGGGAGACCCAGAGAGCCCACCGGAGACAGAGGCACCCACAACGCTGGAAGTGACCCCATCCGAGGGGACAAGCCCAGGGCCCCAGGCTCTGCTGGTCCGGGCTGAAGTGACCTGCAGGCCCTGAGCTGCCACCCTGCAAGTCCTGTCTCCTCTCAGCCCTGGCCAGCTCCACACTCCCCGGCTCTTCCTGCCCTCGCCCTACCCTGTCTTGTCTGCTCCCTCTGTCCTCTAGGCCCACTGGGGCAGTGCTCCTCGGCCTGCCCTGAGCAGCAGCCTCTGTGCTGCCCACGCAGCCTCTGCCACGCTGCTCTCTGACTTGGGCCAGGGGCCTTGAGAACCCGGAAGCCATGCAGCCCACAAGCAGAGAATCGCAGATAGCGGACGCCCTGTCAGATGACTTCCTGCACAGCTGGCCGTGGATGGCCAGCCAGCCTGACCCGTCTACCCCAGGAGGAAACGGCTAGCTTCCAGAGGCTCTTGTGTGTATGCGCACACACACGCACACACATATACACTCACACACACTCACACACGGTCACAGAGTGACATCGCAGTGTTTAGAGGCTGCCCCCAGGGGCCAACACAGCCATGGAGTCCAACAGGATCCTCTGGGTGAGCTGGGTGGACACCACGGCCACTGCGTCGTCCCTCTCTGTGCCCAGGAAATTAGAGCAGGATCCCGGGGGCTGGTGGCCAGTGGCTGAGTGTTCCCCTGGGAGCAGCTCTCTGCCCATTGAGTCCTCTGCCCAGTGGCTCAGGCCTTCCACACCCTCCTCACCAGTGTGCCCCAGGGACCCCGCCTGACCATGGGCCACCAAGGGCACCGGGTCTTGGGGAGGGGCGGAGGAGCTGCTGGAGCCTCCCAGGCGCCCTGTACTCTCAAAGCACTGCAGCCCATCCTGGGGTCCCATGCACCTGCCCAAGGCCTTCTTGAGAGCGCAGGGTCCCACACTCAGCACATCGGGGTCACCAGCCACCAACAGCCCAGACAGACCCTCCCCGGCAACACAGCCCCCTCGGGATGGGAATGAGGGCCATGTTGGTGCTCTTGGGAGCCCCCCAGGGACACTGCCTCCCCCTCCACCCAAGGGCGACTCTGGCCAGGTGATCTGTTCAGACCACTGGCCACTGGAGGCCTGAGTCCCCACTGCAGATCCTAACCCCCCCAGTTCACACTCAGGGCCCCTGCACAGCCAGGATGCCCTCAGATCAAGTCCCAACTCCTGGGAACCCTGAGACAGAGCCTGCTTTGGGGCCCCCTCGGACAAGGACAAGTCCTGGGTGGCAATGGAGATGTCCTCCTCCAGGGGGCCCAGGGAGCCTTGGGGAACCATGGCCTCTTGGGGCGGGGAAGGGAAGTCTTCGCAGCAGGGCTGGGCCTCATCCCCATGACTGTCTGCAGGGGGAGGGGAAGGCGGTGGGGGGAGGTGGGCATCCCAGGAGGGGGCACACGGGAGGTCCCCACCGCCACACCGCCACTCCTCATCCACAGGGGACGATGCCCCAGCTGGGAAACCAGTGCCGGGCGGGGGGCCAGCTTGCTCTGGGACTTGGGGGGCCTCATTCCCTGCACACCCAGCTGCCTGGCCCTCGGCTACAAGGGATGCCAGCCCATAGGGGACCTCAGGCCCTGGAGAGGCCTGTGGGGGGTTCCTTCCAGGGGACAGGCTCGGGCCAGCCCCCCGGGCCCTCTCCTGGCAGCGAGCCCCTCTGGATGCAGAAGTCCCTGAAGGAAATGAGAGTGACAGGTCTAGGTCACTGGTGGAGGCTGCCTCGGAGGACAACTGCTCAGGGCTCCCTGTGTTTGACCCCCCACTCAGGCTCTCGCTGGTTTCAGAAGGTTCCTGTCCCTGCCCCGAGCCCAGGGCAGGCCCAACCATGCTGTGTTCCCAGCTGGAAGAGCCAGGAGGCGAGGAGCACCCAGAGGTGGGCTGGGCCACCAGGCCGGGTTCTAGTAGGTTCTCCTCAATGTCCTCATCCCAAACTTGGCTGGAGGCCTCTGACAGCTCCGACCCGGACCTTGGAGAACAGACATCTTGAGGTGGCAGTGGCCAGCCTGTCTGCAGACAGCTCCGCCCTGGGACCAAGTCTTCTGCCGCAGCCACCTCCCTAGGAGCACCAGGCGGGGGGGCAGCCTGGCCACACTCCAGCCCCGGCCAGGTCGTCAGCCCAGCACCCCCCGGCACAGCACCCCACTGAGGGTCACCCTGGCAGAGCCCCCAAGACGAGGGTGGGCCCAAGTCCCCGGGCACAGACAGCTCTTCAGACCAGCTGGGGTCTGTGCCTGGGCTGCCCTCGGCCTCTGGGCCGGACGGGGAGAGCGAGCGGTCAGAAAGCTGCACCAGGGTGGCTGTGGCTTTCTGAAACTCCTGGAGGGAGGAGCAGGCCAGGCCACTCCCAGAGCCTGCTGAGGACAGAGGGGATGACGCCGGGGACCGCGGAGACGCCCAGGAAAGCCCAGCTGCAGGCTCGGAGCCCGGGTGCACAGGGGTAGCAGGCCTGGGCGGGGTGGGGGATGCCGCCTCCTCCTCCAGGGCCGCAGGAGCTGCTGAGACAGGGAGAGCTGGGGACATCCAGTGGCTGTCAACCCTGCATCCTTGGAACAGGCTGCTCTCCGGGCGCCCACGGCCAGCACCTCAAAACCAGGACCCCAGCCGAGGTGGGAGAGCAGGATGGTGCCCGCACATCCAAGCCCTTGGGCCCTAGCCTCTGCCACCCCACTTGCAAGGGATCCTCGGGGTGGACAGCCCAAGTCTGGGGACCCAGCCTCCAGCGTGGCAGCTGTGGCCGCACTGGGCATGTGTCTCTTGGCTGTTCCTCTGGCACAGGGGTGGCCCAGACCGCTCTGGGCTGCAGTGCTCACCACACCTGGCAGCCTGGCCGCCCCCCCACCCCGCCCAAGTAAGCAGGGAGGGCGCTGCCCCGCACTGCGGGGAGGAACCTGGCTCAGATCTAGGACCTGGCCAGGGGTGACGCTTATGCAGGACTCCAGGGTCCCTGACCTGGCCTAGGCGAGCTGGGGAGGGCGGGGCATCACCTGGGGAGGCGGCCAGTGGGATGCTGCTGTCCTGCCAACAGGTCTCGGTCCTGTAAGCACATGGCGGGCGAGCCCTGTGGCTTCCCGCCCACCTGTCCTCCCAGCTCCCAGCTCCCAGCCAGGGACACGCAGGGTCAGCCAACAATGCCACTCTTAGGAAGATCCCACTGGTCACCTCCCACTATCTGGGCTCCCCAAGGGGCCCTTGTCTTTGGGTGCCATCTGGCCTTGGTCCCCGCTGGATCCAGTGGCAGATGGGGTACCCTAGAGAGCTCAGAGGGGCCCCTGATGCACCCAAGGCTGGTGCTCACCAATATCTCACTGGGCAACACCTCTCTTTCCCGAAGGGCGACAGGCTCAGGAAGGTCACTGGCTGGGCCACAGACCAGGGAGGAGGGAGGAGCAGTTGTCTCCACACCTTGGGGTCCCACCCCAGCCCATGGCCACGTACCTCAGCTCCCTGGGCAGCCTGCTCGCCACTTCCAGGGGCTCCCCCACGGGGCTCCCAGCAACATCTAGTCCAGCTTGGTGTGTGCTTCCTTCAGCCATCTGCAGGGAGTGTGTGGAGAAGGGACGGGTCACGGTGGCCATATCCCTGAGCTGGGCCGGAGCCCTGTCCCTCCAGTGCTCACCATGAGGAACGAAGGCCGCCCTGCTGAAGAGGGCCACAGAGGCCCCCTGGCCAGGCAGCCTTCCTACTGCCACGGAAAAGACTCTCCTGGTCACGTGGGGCGTCTTAGGGTGTGCAGTCTCAGGGTAAGCCCCGGAGAGTCTGCACATCTCAGGAAGCCTCTCGAAGGCCTCGGGGCCACCATCCCCCAGCGCTCTCACACGATGAGGCACCCCAAAGCCACACAGCTGGACCAGGTCCCTAGAAGATTGGACAGCACGGACCACAACTCAACTCACACTTGCTTCCTGGGGACAGCGAGGACCATCTGCCCCCAGGTGGTATAGGCGATGTCCCTGGAAGCTGTGCGCTCTGACATCCCTCGGAGCCGTGGGTCTCTTCTTGGCCCAGCAGGCTCTGGCCTGGGTCTGAGAGTCCCCTGTGGGCAAAGGCACAGCCAGCGCTTTTGCACGCACACCGGCGGGGGCCGGGGGGAGTTCTGGGGCCCCAGGACAAATTCTGAAAAGTCATGGGGATGCAGGATTGTTGGGTGGCATTCAGTCTGTGTAAGGATACGGAATCACCAAGGATAGTTACTACAGGAAGCTCCAGAAAAAAGCTTCAAGAAAATCACTTTAAATTTGGACACCTAGATTCCTGCTTCCGGGCAAATCTCTCCAAGGAGGCCGGAAACCCTCACCAGCCTGTTCCTTTCCCTCCTGCCTCCTCCCAGCCTGGACACCAGCAAGCAATGAGCAGGGCCCCCTCTTCTGGCCTGGACGCTGGCTTGGGCCCATCTTCCTAGATCCGTGTTCACATGGGCCCTGGGGGCTGTTGGGACCCTGAGCCCCAAGGCCGTCATGTTCCCCAAGCTCTTGCCCATGGGCCTTGGTGAAATGGAGGCGATGGGGTCACGCAGGAAGGGCCCCCCAACATGATGAGCGCTGACCAGAGAACAGCAGCTGTCAGGCAGCCCGGGCGAGCGCCAGGCTCACGTCCACCTCTGTGACCACACACAGGGTCTCACGCTCCCGGTCTCTGTCTCGTCAGTGGGGTGGGAACGAAGAGCTTGTTCGCCCCAAAAGAGACTGAGGGTCTGAGTGGCGAATAGCACCTGGCTGACCCCCAGGATGTGTGGCCAGGACACAAGGCCTGGGGCAGTGGGCACCAATGCACTCAGCCAGGGAGGCTCGGGCTGAATGCCCACCAAGGCAGCCCCGACGCCCAACCCGTCCGTCCTGAGGTTTGGCTGTTTTGGGCCTCTCTGCTTTGCCAGCTCATGCATGAGAATGTGTCCATCCTGCTTTTGAAGGGACTTTCGAAGCCTGAACTGTGACCCAGCAGTGAGGTGGCACCCTGGGCACCAAGGCCCACCTGCTGGGCCACCACCCCCCCGTTTGGCAGCTGCCATGGCTGCCCAAGCACCTGTCCATGACTGTGTCTCCTCTCACCCCACCGAGGACCAGCAATGAGCTCTGGAGGCTCCAGCCTAAGCGCACAGTTCAGAAAGCAGGATTTAACCCATAACCCCCCCCCCCATTAGCAAAAAAGATGTTTCTGGCAATGCTGGTTTCCAAATACTCAAAAATGCGTTCCAGATAAAACAACTGGAGCAAGTTATAAATTATGGTTTTTAATCTTCCCCAGAGGCGCAGCCACGCCATCTCCCATGGGAAATGGAGCGGCCAGTCTTCTAGCTGTGACCGGGATATGCGATCAGGGCCGGGGCTGCCAGCGCCTGTCTTCTCGGCAGTCCTCAGGGGTCACTCTGGTTTGAGGCAGGGTTCGCTGGGTGGCAGAAGCCCCACAGGGCGGGTGCACAGGCCATGTCCAGGGGTCTTACCTGTGGGCGGCTCCGGTGCCTCCTGCACCCCAAGCTGAGCTATGGGGCTGTCCCTCTTTGCCTCGAGGGCCTGCATCAACAAGACAGGGAGAAAGATGTCTAGTATTGCAGGAGCTGCCACCAGGCAGAGGATGCCAAGACCACAATGATGGAGACCAGCAGCAACACAGAAGCAAAGCCACATGGGTGCCCAGTTCCCAACTAAGACCCAGAGGCGGCAAGAAGAACAGGGACCCCACCCAGGCAGAGGGTGCAGAAAGGGTTTCCCGGGGAATTTCATACAGGATAGGTGGAATCCAACAGCTGTCCAGGGTCCAGCGAGCCTGAGTGCAGATGGCCCAGCTGAGGGTCACAAGGCTCTGGAAGACACGGGCCTGGTGTCACAGCTGCTAGGACAGGCTCAGCACCGCTGCCCACTGCCCCTCCCTCCGGGGAGTCCCAAGCTCCGTGCATCCCAGGCCCCCACTTCTGGGGCCCTGGTGCCACTCCTAACCCCACTCCCTCTGCGCCTTCCTCTCTCTCCACGTGTGAGGTCAGCTACCCTGTGCCACCTCTGACCACAGGCGCTGGCATCTCAGAGGTGCCACCTCTACCCTGTGCTCCTCAGACTGCGACACTGTCCAGTGAGGGGCCCAAGGTCCTCTGCCTGAAGTCTGTCTATGCTTGGGTCACTGTCTCTGGGGGAAGGGTGAGACAAGGGAAAGCCAGGGCCAGTCACGGGTGGAGGTGGTCAACGCTGCCTGCACAGGGCTGGCCAAGGGAGGCGCAGCTCCCTAGGGTGGGAGGGAATGGCTGTGACAGGCCTCGTCTCTGGCCACCTCTGGACGATGAAGTCCCCAAAGACGTGTCGTGAGCCCTGGAAACAGGCCCTCATTTGGAAAGGGGCTCTCTGCAGATGGGATTAAGCTAAGCCTCTGCAGGGGGGATCCCCCTGGAGCTGGGGCAGCCCTAACTCCCACAGCTGCTGCAGACAGACAGAGGCTGGAGTGACGTGGCCATGCTGGGGACATATGGAGCCACCAGGAGCCCTAAGAGGCAGGAGAGAAGCCCCTGGGGAGACCAGGGACAGCACGGGCCTCTCATCTCTGCCTCCAGTGCTTGGGAGAATGCCCCACTGCTATAGAGGCCATCCAGCTTGTGCAACTCTGTCACCTCTGACTCTGTCCTGTCACTGTACAGAGGGGGACACAGACCCAGGAGGGAGTGAGGGAAGGGACACAAGATAGAACAGGGCGCAGGCTGGAGGCCACGTTGCTGCGCTAGGGGATGGGGGACCTGGGGGGTGCGACTCTTCCAGGATTCTTCCCAGCAGGAAGACAGCAAATGAGGTGACCGTGGGGACCAGGAAGGCCAGGGTCACATCAGCCTCTGTGCCCACATCACGCTCCTGGCAGGGGCCCAGCCCCGAGCAAGCTGGGAGTTCTGGCCCACATCCAGGGGAACGCACACCTGGGCCTAGCTCCACCCTCTTTCCACCTTGGCAGGGCTGCATGTGCAGGTCTGTGTGCCTCAACCTGCCCAGTGACACTCAGGCCTGCCCTTGCCGGCAGCGGGGACAGCTCTGAGCGGCCGCACCTCCAGGAGCTCAGTGAGCAGCAGGGCCGTCTGGGTCCCTAGCCCCATGTCCTCCTCAGACACAGACAGGAGGCCCCGACCATTGCATCACACACTGGCACAGTGGGCCAGAACATATGTCTGTCTGACCCGGGACCACTGCTGCTGTCTCTCCGGACTACCTTGGTCTATGTGGCTGCCTCCCGCCTTCGGGAGGCTGCTGGCCTCGGCTGTGTCCCCTCCTGAGGCCGGACTCGGTGGCTGCTGGTGGCCGGCGGCATCTGCAGGTGTCTGGGGTGTCTCCTCCCACGGTTCAGGGGCAAGGCTGCAAGGTGGACTCGAGGTCACTGGCCTCCCCACTGCCACCTCCTGGCACGACCAGCCCTGTCACGACACTCCACAAGACCCGATCCCTAGAACAACCTAGAGCCTTGCCGAGCAGCATCCGTGGCCAAGCAGAAGACAGATTCCTGGCCTGCCCACAGCTCCTGTCCCCGAAGCTCCCCAGGTGGATGTGGCTGTCACCACGGGGGGATATGGTACCTTCTTGGCAGGGACTCCTTTGAGGTTTCTGGTGGAGATCCACTACCCTTTCTGGGGGAGCTGAGGGAACAGGGTACCCCCATGCTGATGCCAGGCCCTGGGCACCCCATCCTACCTACCTGGGCCACACTGCCAGGGCAGCAAAAACTACCCCTGATCTCCTCCAGGTGGCAGGCAAGGAGGGCAGGTGCTGGCCCTCCTGACTCCTCTGGTTAGGGTCAGCGCCTGGGCCAAGCCCCCCCATGGCACCTGCTTTCTCACCTGTATCCTAGAACCCAGACGCTCGCACTCACCCCAGGGCGACCCTGACTGTCTTTCTCAGATCCATACTTGGGCAGGAAGCGGGCAGGAAGAGGGGCTCTCGGGAAGCGGCCCTCAGCCTGGAGTCCATGACCGATGCGCGGAGGGCTCTGCCCAAGCACACCTGCGTTCTGGACGCAAGAGCCAGCCACCTCCAAACGGCTCAGCTGGGCCTCCAGGCAGCCGAGAGAACGGCACCCAGGCCTTTTCAGAAGTCTCATTTCCCAAGCCTTCCCCGGCACGCCGGGTCTCAGATGGGGACCCATAGCACTTCTGTGTCCTTGTCCTCCCCAGTGCTGGCTCCCTGGGGTTCAGGGGCACAGAGGCTTGTTCACCCACACGCACCATCCCCGGTGCACTCTCGGCACGGAACAAAGGAGCCGCCCTTTCTGGTTTTTCCAGCGCCAACCAGTATAACACCACGAGCTGCTGCTCACGGTGGGCCCTCAGGAGACTGTCTCTCACCTGCTCACCTCTGAATGATGATTACACTTTGTGGGCTAACATGGACAGCTTCAGGGCCCAGGCCTGCCACTGCATGGGGACCAGCCCACCCGTGTCCAGTCCCATGGGCAAGCTCAGACGTTGGGGTGGTGTCAGCCTGGAAGCTTTGGCTGGCAGCAGTGAAAGCTGCCCAGGCAGGAGCCCAGGAGGCTCCCAGGGGGAAAGAGTGGTTGGGTGACAAAGACCTCCCCAGGGGCCCGGTGAAGGACCCTGGCTGGGGGTGGCTTCCCTCATCCGCTCAGCCCCACAGTGGGCTCTACCTTCGCAGTGGGAGTAGCTGGTCTGAGAGCCAGAAGACACAGCCCCACCTGGCTCCTAGGGCCACTGCGAGCTGGGGAAGTGTCTCCAGCATGGGGAGCCAGGATGCCCCTGATGGGAAAAGCAGCCCACACTCTGGCCTCTGCCACGGGAACTTCCTGACTCAGCCTGTGAAGGGGTTCTATCCCCTTATGTCGCCAACCAAGGCCCTGGTTGACCTCAGAGGGCCAGCCACATGACAGCCCATACCAGCTCCAGGAGGGAGCCCATAGGCTGGCGGCCATATGCATGCCACCTGCTGCCCCGAGCCAGGCTGGATACCTGCTGTCCCTCGGCACCCTGCGGCAGCCCTGGAGACTCCCAGTGGCCATGCCAGGGAGCCACAGAACCGGAAACACAGCTGCTGCTTGCTTCTCCCCAGCCCAGGCAGCTCTGGGCCAGCTTTCCAAGGACTCCCCAGTGCCCCCAGGGTCCCCCTCCCCAGGATGGTGCAGGGCAAGGGGTAACCAGCAAGGGCCAGGACCACGGGATGACTCACCGTGCGCCCTCTGCACTCTCAGGGCCTCTGTGGGCTTGTGGGCTGGCGGGGCTGCCAGGCCTCCATGCAGTCTGGGGGCACAGGGCTCCTTCCAGCTGCTGGCCTGTCTCAGAGGCTCCTTGCCAGGTGGGCTTGACTTGGGGGCTGGGACTCTAGGAGAGAGAGCAGAGGCAGCCTAGCATTACCTCATAGGAGAGGCAGGCGGCGGGTGCGTGTGGCAGCCCTGGGTGCCCCCATGAGTGAGATCAGCTGAAACAGCACATCCTGCCCTGGCAGGGGCTGCACCCTGCCAACAAGTACTCATAGAAGGGCACCCTCACCCAAGGCTGGCACAGCCACCCCTGCAAGCTCTAGGGTGGTGAAAGGGCCCCTTCCTGCAGGCCTGCCTGGTGCTTCGGAAAACCCTGTTCACTCATCCTCAAGGGAAGACCTCAACACCCAACTTTAGGGAGACGCCCCGGGCACACAGCTCTTTCATGCTGGCTGCTGGCCCCGAGGGAGCGCAGTCAGGGAGGAGCCCCCCTACAGAGGTCTCTGCTGCTGTCCTTCCCCACCACTGGCCAGTGGAGTGAGCCGTGGCCCCGCCCTCCCCTCCTCCTTCCTGCTGGGTTGCCCCCCTCCCGCTGGCCCTGTCTTCCTCCACATCCTGGGCCACCCATGGCCACTGGAGGTCTGTCTGCTCCTGCAGGACCTGGCAGGCCACCTCGCCCAGAAAGTCCTCAGCCTACACCTGCACACCCCCCGCAGAGCACCCACCTGCTGCAATGTCGCCAGCCTCTGCACTGTGGCCTCCTGCTGCTGCAGCAGCTGCTGCCTGCCCTGGAGCACTGACCTGTGCAGGTCCCGCAGGTCCCGGATCTCCCTCTGCACCGGCCAAGGACCCATGCGAGGCCATGGGGGAAAGAAGAGGGCTGATGAGCAGCAAAGGGCGCCTGGGGCACACCTGAGGCTCCTCTCCCCGCCACGTGCCCTCTACCCACTCTCCCTGCACCGCCTTTCAGCGGTTGGCTTCCCAGGGATTTGCAGGAGGAAGCTGGAGCACTCTTTCCCTGTGTCCCCACAGTAGGGCTGGCACACCCTCCCTCTCTCTGGGTCTCCTTCTTTTTTTTTTTTTTAATTTTTTTTTTGAGATAGGGTCTTGCTATATAATTCAGGCTGGACTTGAACTCCCTACGTAGCCCATGCTGACCTCAAACTTGCTGAAACTCTACTGTCTCAGCCTCCCGAGTGCTGGGATTACAGGTGTGTGCCACTATACCGTCTGGGTTTCCTTTATTAAACCCTCCCAAGACCTAGGAGATAGACACTACTGCTCAGATGCAAAACTGAGTGTTAGGGTTTGTGTCTGGAGGTCCCCCCAAAACCTCCTTCAGTCATGGGGGTGGGTTCTAGAGTTTGTGATTGATTCACGGTCGAGTGCTGGGATTATGGGTGTGAGTGATACACCCACCCTAGGGCAGGTAGTCTGCATACAGTATAAGGAACAGAAAGACTCTTCTTTCTCACTCTTCCCTTTTTGCTCTTGTTGCTTTTGCTGTCTTCTGCCATCATGAACTGTTGCCCCTGTGCCATGCCACCCTGCCTTGGAGCCAGCTGATTATAGACTGAAACCTCCGCACACTGTGAGCTAAATAAACCTTCCCTTCCTTATTTTGGGTGTTGGGTATTTTGTCCCAGCAATGACAGAAAAGTAACCAGGACACTGGAGCTCCTAGAAGCTGAGCCACTTGTCTGAGGCCATGACCAGCAAAAATTTGAGCCTGCCCTGCAGCCGCGACAACTGTGCCCCCTTGGGCCGCAGACACCACCCCAGTCCCCAGGCCCACAGGGTCCCAGGCAGCTGCCGAGAATGGTGAGGCTGTAGGATGCTCTGTCACAGGCACTGAGAGTGTGGCAGGCCTGCCTGTGTCCCCACCCTCCCCAGCGGCCGTACCCACTCCTTCTCCAGCCTGCTGAGGGCCTGCGTCCTCTCCAACAAGGCAGCCCTTGTGGCTTGGTGGCTCCCACGCCCCAGACACCTGGGGGAATGAAGGCCAAGGTCTTGTCCAGAGGCCTGCAGGTGGAGGTGAAGAGGCGCAGACAGGCCAGCTTGGGGCACAGGGGCCTCCCGGGATGCAGACGCAGAGGGAGCCCGGCAGGGCAGGCTCCAGAGCCACCCACCCGCGAGGCAACTGGACCACCTGGTGGGGAGCAGCCCCGCCTGCTCTGGGACCCAGGCCAGAGGGGCTTAGAGAGCTCCCCGCAGCCTGTAGCCTGGCACCCGGGCCTCTGGGAGGGCTTCCAAAGCTCTGAGTGTGCTTGCCAGCACAGGCTCAGGGAAGGCATGGGGGGCTCCTAGGTCTTAGTCTAGGGGCACAGGGACAGGGTATGTGGCAGACGTGCACAGACCTGTGGGGGGCTGTGGGTGGTGTCTACTGTTTGTTTAGGGAAATACCTTACCGCCTTACCTCCTTTCCCGCAATCAGGCATTCACTGTCCCTGGGGCCTGGAACCGGCGGGGCCGAGCGCGGGAGCGAGGAGATGGGGACGTGGCCATATGGATGGGGCGGGGCCTGCCTGGGAAGGGCGGGGCTACTGTGGCTAACGGGCGGGACTATAGCACGATCCTGCGGGGCGGGCCGCGGGAGCGCTCACCCTCGCTGGTGCTCCAGCCAGGCCCGCTCGGCGCGCGCCTTCTCCTCCAGCGCCATCTCGCGCAGGCGCAGCAGCGGGGCCCAATGCTGAGCGCGCAGCCCCTCCTCCCGCAAGCTCTGCTCCAACGCCGCGGTACACGGCCGGACACCGACCCTGCCGGCTCCGGGCTCAGCACTCCCGGTCCCCGCCGCGCTCCCCTGGGGTGTGGCAGGCCGACGTCGCGTCACCACCGTCGCGTCACCACCGAGCGTTCAGGCAGCGCCTGGGACCAGCCTCGCTCGGTGGGAGCCGGTCCCAGTCCCGGGGTGGCCGCCGCCTCCGCGAAGCCCTCCCGGACTGCCCGCCCGCGTCACTCCCTTGCCACCGCCCCTTCTGCGGTGGCGGCCTCTTCCCGACAGTGAGCTTCCCGGAGGCAGCGGGGCCTCATCTCAGCCCAGGATGTGCTTAGTCTCTAGAGAATGCCGCGAAGGCCTTGCCTCTGCTCCGAAATGTGCTGGGTGGGGCCCGCACCTGTCACCCAGAGCAGGAGGGTGGCTGGTGCGGCGGCCAACTGGCCAGGTGGTAGCCGATGGCAGGGAGCACTTCCCAGCCTGGCCCAGTGGAGCCCCCAAGGGCCCCGATGCCACACCCAGTGCACGCACCCCGGAACTGTGTCCCTCCCCACTGCCCGTACCTGGTGGGCAGGGCTGTCCGGAGGGCAGAGTCTGGCGGGGCGCAGCCGGGCGGAGCCTGGGTCGGGTGTGGCCAGCCCTGAGCGAGAAAGCAGGCGGGGTTGGGGGGGGGGTACCTGTGTCCCGGGCCGTTCTTCCGGGAGGTGGGTCAAAGGTGCGTGCCCGGGGCTCCCACCCCGCACACAGCTGCACGCCAGGTCCCACGAGGCCGTGGTGGAAGGGGCCTGCAGCACCTGGGACAACAGCCTTGCTGCCTGGCTTCCACCGAAAGGACACTGGGGCCAGAGGGGGCGATGTGGGTCCTGCGCTGTCGGGAGCGGTGACCGAAGAGCCCCGATTCCCGGCGGAAGCGGCCGTCTGGCTGCGGGTGTCTGCCGGTGTGAACGGAAAGTGACCCCATACTTCAGAAAGATTTCCTTCCCGCCAGCAGAGTAAAGGGGATTGGATTGTGGGGTTTTCACCCCATCTGAAACTACGGATGTGTGCGCGCACGCGCGCGTGTGTGCACACTGGCAGGAAAGCGCAGTTGCCAGCGGGCATCAAGCAGCACAGAACGCAGTTGCTGCTGGAGAAGGGGTGGTGAGGGCCAGCATCTCAGGGCCTGAGAGAGTTTCCGGTCGGGTGCAGGGAGGAAAACAGGTAGAGGAGATGGGTCTGAGTCTGGGGCGCCGACAGCTGTGGAGGAGGTGAGACAGTCTGCCTGGAGCGCTGGTAGAGAACCCACCAGTCAGCCCCGGCAGAGAAGCAGCTGGAGGCGGGGAAAGCGGTGCCCTGGTCAGGAGGACTGGGAATTTAGCCCATCTCCACCAGCCAGCCTGGACAGTCCCCTGGTCAGTTCACCGGCAGTGTACACACAGAGCACCCTGCCTCGGCATGGGAAACCTAGACCATTCCTGGGCACTGACCTTGCTCCACCTGAGCCGTGAGGGTCAGATCAACTCAGACACCTGCCCTCCACAGCAGAGTTAAAGGTCTATAGAGACCCAGGGATACCAGCCCTCACCGTGGTGAAATCTACCAGGCCCCTCCCACGGGGAAGGGTGCAGGGCGCTGTGGTCCAGATAACAATGGACCCAGGCTGCGCTCAGTGTTAGAATTTATGGAAAACATTAAGGGTTTTTATAGCTTTTTTTCTGTGTGCTTAAAATGTTAAGTGAAGCTGAGGCAGGAGGATTGCATGTTCAAGCCCAGGCCATATAATTTAGTGACTCAGAGGACCCTAAGAGACTTTCCATTAAAAGAAAAAAAAAAGATCTGGGTGTGCACCTCAGTGTGAAGACTCTGGGTTCAATCCCTAGTGCTTCCAAGGGAAAAAAAGAAAAGAAAAGTTAAGTGAATCATGGAAGACATAAAGAAAAGATCTAAATGGAGCTCTTAGAAATGAAAATTTAAGGGCCGGGGATATAGCTCAGTGGCACAAGTGCCTGCCTGGCAAGTACAAGGTCCTGAGTTCGATCCCCATACCAAAAAAAAAAAAAAAAGAAAAGAAAAGAAATGAAAATTTGGCCAGGGGAATAGCTCAATGGCAGGGTATCTGCCTGGCAGGCACAAGGCCTTTTGATTCCTGGTATTCAAAAATAAAAATTTAAACCAGGTGTAGTGGTGCACACCTGTAATCCCAGTGCAGGGGAGGCTGAGGCAAGAGGATCACTGATATAGCCTGAATGACATAGCGAGGCCCTGATTTTAAAAAAAAAAAAAACTTAAATACTTGAGGTGACGCTGGATGGGTTAATGGCAGATGGCACGTTGCACAGGAAAAGCACGCAGCTTCCTGTGCCCTGCTGCAAGGACGGGTTCCCTCAAGACGGAAATGGCATGGAAGAAATAGACCATGGGAGTTTTCCAAATGTGAAGAAAACCATAAAACCCCAGGCCGGAGAATCTCATTAACACCAGCACAGGGCACACAAAGGTGAACTACAGCTAAGTGCATGCTTTGTTTGTTTGTTTGTTTGTTTGTTTTTTTCCGGTACCGGGAATCAGTCTCATGACCTTGCGCTTGCCGGGCAGGCGCTGTGCCGCTGAGCTAAATCCCCAGCCCCGCAAAGTGCATGTTTATCAAAGTGGTCAGCCGGGGACAGTGGGACGGACTGAGAAGGAGCCCGAGGCGCAGACAAGCAAAGTGACAGGGAATGGGGGAGGGCGGGTTCTTGCTGGAGCAAGAAGACCAGGGCACCCCGGTCTCGTGCACCAGTGCCGGGGACCAGATCCAGGCGTACTGGGCAGGTGTTCCACCCCTGAGCTCCATCCCTGCCCTAGGAAAAGTGTCCTCCCAGACCCCAGGTCCAGAGGAGAGTGCGAGGGACCATCACTGTCGATGTTCAGGCATTAACGCAGTCATCAGTGGATGTGCAGGGGAATGTGGCGGGGCATCTTTCAGGCCCGGGGGGGGGGGGATGCCAGCTGGAACCTGGGTCCACACAGACCATCTGTGTGTGCTGGGGACAGTGACATGGTGACTTTAGGGTGGCAGAGACCAGAAATGGTGACCTGCTGACTCTGTGGGTGCAGGGCCTCGTGTGTAATTTAAAATGGGCATCAAGATAACTGACGGTTTAAATAATATAATAGCAATGTATTGTGGAGCTTACCACACATTTAAAATAGAACACTTCATGATGTTAGCATCAAGTACTGGGAAAGGCTGGTGCTGCGGGTTGCGTAGTGGGTCAGCCATCACCCAAGGGAGACTGCGTGCACTATTATTAATCCTGAAGCCCATGCTGTCATAGGAGTTACTGCTCTGAAGCCCATGCTGTCATAGGAGTTACTGCTCACAAGCCAGTGATGGAGAAAGAATGGAATTGCTAGACACCTTAATCCAAAAGGAGGCAGAGCAAGTAGGATAAAGCACAGAGAAGCAAAAGAAACAAGTGTCGGGATGTAACCCTCAACCCTAGCCTGGTGGGTAATCTCGTTCTGTGTGCATAGAGGAAGCACTTCAGTTAGAAGGCAGAGACTGGATTAAAAAAAGAAGAAGAAGCAAAACCCAACTGTATGCTGCTCACAAGAAACATGTTTGAAAAACCAAGGCACAAGTAAGTTGAAAGTAGGAGGGTCAGGAAGAAGGTGCCCTATAGCCCTAGTAAAAAGAGCTGAGTGGTCTATGGATACTAGAGTAGGCTTTGGGGCAGATCACCTTGCAAGGGTGAGCAGGGTTATGGCACAAAGACAAGGGGGAGATCTGTGTCAGGTCAGCGATTATCTTGTGTATGCGCTAACAAAACCAATGCAGGAAAGCTAGACAGCTCACAGCTACGATTGGGTACTGCAGCACCCTCTCAATGCCCAGTCGGGATTGGATGGGAACCTGCAAAGGTCCAGTCATCTGAGCAACACTGGCCTGCCACAGGATCTAATCGGCCTCACAGCTGTCGGCCCAGCCACACATGTGCTGTCTCCAAGACAGGCGGCCCTCCAGGCTGAATGCCAAGGCTGAGGAATCACATCTCACTGAAGTGAGTGGGACCAGGCCGACGGGAGAGTCGGCAGCAAGTGTGCTCACACCTGTGGGCCAGCGCCAGGCTGGCAGCTCCTCCCTTACCCGCCAGCACAGGTGGGGGGTGACACTCACCTGCAGATGCCGACTTGCCCTCCACACTGGCCTGCCCCTCCTCAGGACCCTGGGAGGACCCGGTCACGTCTCTGCCCAGGGCTGGGGGTGACCTGTCAGGTGGGAAAGTGTACCGGAGATGTGCCACTGGAGCCTGCACCTGATTCCTGCCCTAGGGGACCCTGCCCGCCCTCCTCAGCACCGAGAGGGTGGCAGCCTGGGCCTGGGCCTCACCTGGTTTTGGCTGGCTCGGGGCTCTGGGCCGATGCTGTGGGCGCTGGGCCCACATGGATCTGTGGCTGCTCCAGCTTGGAAGCCCTTCCCAGCCAGCTGCGGGGCCTGTGTTTCTCCAACAGCCGCTGTGGAGACGGGGAGGTGGTGCTACAGGCAGTGCTGTGGAGTGTGCGGGCACCTCACTGCCCTGGCAGCAACCTCAGGGGTCTCAGGTAGAGGGATGGTGCCCAGCAGGCGCAGAGCCAGTGGGGGGAGACGGGGACAGCAGCCCCAGATGGGGAAGCAGCAGCTGCAAGGATGGGCGGGAGCCAGCCGTGCGTGGTGCGGCGGAGCCCCTGGGGTGCGGTGCTGGAATCCAGAGGAGTAGCAGAGCGTGTGGTGGGGAAAGCAAGGGAGGGAGGGGCCCGCCAGGTGTCTCTGTGCTTCTGTAGGTCTGAGAGGGCCTGTGCACACACGGGCACATACATGCATGTACATGTGTGAACACACGTGCACATGCACACATGGCTCCCCAGGCTCTGCTACCATCCTGGGAACACCTGACCAGATGTACTGCAGTTGTGTGTCCTGCAGCAGCCCCTAGACAATGGATAGTAAAGAAAGCCATCTCCCGGCAGGTTTGCCCCGCCAGCCGGGTTCCAGCTGGTCAGTGTCCCTAGCCCAGAGTCACGGCCTCCAGGGAGAGCACCATCTTGGCTGCCGGGGGGGTCAGGGACACTGGCGCATGAGGAGTCTCTGTCTTCCCCCAGCTCTAAGGCCTAACAGTCCCAGGCCGAGGACAGTGGGAGGCTAAGACAGCCCCCTGTGACCCGGCTCTGATCCTGGCCTTCAGCACCCCAGGGCCCAAGTGGCCCAACGTCAGGCCCCACTCTGAGGCTTTGCTGTGGGTTGGGGTTCCCTGGAGCCCACACGCAGCCTCTGCAGGAGCTATGCCCACTGCCTCAGATGTCCGCCCCTGAGGGGCCTCAGGCCAGGCTGGGCAGGAGACAACGGGGCCATGAGGAGGCCCAGGGAACAGGCACCGGGGAGCGACTAACCTCCAGCTGGTGCTTGAAGAGCAGCCCGTCCAGGGCCATCTGTGTCTCCCAGACCTCCTCCTCTGCCCGCTGCCGCAGGAGGGCCAGGGCCTGCTCCTGCTGCTGCTGCCGCTGCTCCAGCTGTGGTGACAGCCCAAGTCCTGGGTCCTGCTGGAGACAGGACCCGGCCATGGGCTGCCCCACCCTCAGGGGAGCCCCTGCTGCCTTCCTGGGCCTCCCCGTCTGTCCAGCTTCCTCCCACCTCTGTGTCCCCATCACAGAGTGGGGAGCAAGGGGGGCCTGCTTCTAAGTCCTGTGGTTCTGCGTTCCAGAGCCTTCTGCCCTGCCTCAGGTGGAAGGCTATGCCGGGGTCCCCCTAAATAGAAGTGGCCTAGAGGGGACGGTTGTCCTTGGCCCCTCGCCATGGGCTGGGACCTACCTTCAGTGATTCGAGGAATCTCAAGGACTTCAGCTGGAAGTCGGCGAGGTGCCCACCTCGGCCTCTGGGACGTGGCGCCCCAGGCTCCTGGGGACCTGCAGACCATGGGTGGGCGGTGAGTGACAGGGAGGCTCTGGGCCTCTCTCTCCGCTCTGTAGCCCTGGCACTTGCTCCACAGCTGGCCACATGGCCCCTCCAACCTGCAGGGAAACTGAGGCACGGACATGAGGAGGCCAACACCCAATGTCTGGAGTCGGGGAGGGGGGCGCTGGCATTGGCCTCGTCAGGAAGTGCCTCAGCCACAGCCGGGCAGGAGGACACATGCAGCTGCTGTGCCCACCCGGAGGGGTGCCCTGGCTGACCCCAGCCCCAATTCCACCCCTGCAGGACAGGAGCCACCAGGCAAACCTGGGTCCTCAGCTCGGCTCCAGCGTGCACTTATGGTCAGAGCCCCTGTGGGACGCAGCGGTCTACCTTCCTGCAGGGACGAGGTCCCCCTCGGGACTTGTGGGTTGCTCCCGGGCCCCTCCCGACTGTGAGGTCCGCCCGCGTTCCCGAGCCCCGGGACGGCAAAGGGGCTTCTCTGCCTCTCTGCTCCTCCAAGCACCCAGCTCTGACCGCTTTACGGAGGCAGCCACCGGGTAGACCAGGCTCCTGGGCAGCAGGGCGCGGTCAGCACCTCTGGCCCGCCATTCGCCTGGGTCCCAGTGACAGCTGGCAGGGGCGCAGAGGAAGGCCAGTTCAGTCCCAGCTCAGCCTTTCTGGTCTGGGTGATGCAGCCCCTCATTACCGCTGACCAGGCGCAGTGGCCAGCGTCCCCGCCCGGAACCCCGAGTGCACCATGCTGGGCCAAGTGTTCCCTCCCGGACAGAGCTCAGCTTCCGAGCAGCTAAAGAGCTGTGAGCAACGGCAGTGCAGAGCCGGGATGGCAGAGGGAGGCGGGTGGGGCACAGGGCTCCCCAGGGAGGCCCTCTAACCAGCCGCCGTGGGAAGTGAAAACTTGCAAACTGTGGTTTGGGGGCTCGTGCTATTGCTCTTTTTATTTTCCCAGTGCTGTGGGGGGAGCCCAGGACCTTTGCACAGAGCTCCATCTCCAGCCGTTTTCTCGGCTTTTATCTAGAGACAGGGTCTCATCGAGTCAGCAGATTGCCCAGGCAGGGCTCACACTTGCCATCCTCCTGCCTCAGCTGAGGCTGCAGGTTGCCCTGGCCAGCAATTTAGTGTGTTCTGAGCTACCATTCCTGTGCAGAGGAAGAAACTCCTCCAGGGACTCTCTTCTGTGGCCCTTGGGGGAGGCTGAAGCAGGAGGATGCCCGTCTCCCCTCCTGCACTGGGAGCTTCACGGACCTATGTGGCCTGAGGAGGGGCAGCTCTGGTCATCTCTGGCCACATCAGTACCCTGACAGGTCCCCAGGAGTGTATGGGCTGTGCACCCCTGAGCTAGGAGCCATGGGACAGGAGCAGCAGCTATCCCTGAGCTGGCCAAGCAGCCCAGGACACAGCCAGGGTCACCCTGGGTTCACAGGTTGACCCTAACTGGCTCCCCCACTCTGCTTGTTAGACAGGAGCGCCGAGAAGTCACCCTCTGCCTGAAGCAGCTGGTAGCTGGGAGCACCCAGCGCAGTGGCTCCTTGGTTGCTCTGCACCGGGCCTGCTGTTGTTGCTCCAGGATCTGCAGCCCTCCCCAGATGAGGGGTGCAGAATGCCCACCTTGGGGAGCCTGTCAAGAGCAGCCTCCGCCGCACCTGCCGCCTGGGGTTAACCCGAAGCAGAGCGTAAGCTTCCGCCCTCAGCTGCACTGGCTGCCAACAGCCGGACGGTCGTGTGTGCCTGGCGGCTGCTGTCCCCCCACAGGTGAGCAGTGTGGCCAGGGTCAAGCACGGCGCTGCCTGCATGGTGGCAGCTGGAGTGGAGAGGCCTCCTGCTGCTATCCCCATGGGGTTGGAGGGTGGATCTCGGGCCTTTATGTTCTGCCCCTACCCCAGGCAGAGCCTCCTCTGGTGCAGAATGCCAAGCACTGAGCTCTCTGCCCATCTTCTGCTGCACCCCCAGCACACAGCACCCTGAGGACAGGGCTTGGGCACCATGCAGTGCCCGATGCAGGTGCTGCATGAGCTCGTGCTGTCCCTGGTCAGCTATGGGCAGAGACCCTCTGCACCGCCAGGGCCTGGGAGAGCCCCTTCCCCAAGAGGGAGTTTCCAGGAGCCTGAGGCCCAGGCCCCCCTCATCGATGTACCCCAGGGACACACCCACTTGCTGGGAACGAGGGGGGGCCCCAGGGTCCCATCCACACACACAGGCACACATGCATGCAGATGTACATGCACAGTGGCGCTGGTGCCCACCCACAGGAGAGCCAGCCCGAGCTGCCAGGTGTGCCCTTCTGGCCCAGGGTGGGTGCTAGGAGCCAGGAAGCCCTCAATCAAGAAAACCCCTTGGCAGCTGGTCTGAGCTGGGCCTAAAGTCCTCCCTATCCCTCCTTGTGCCCCTCGAGGGAGGAAAGCCTGGGGCTGAGCTGACTCCTGAACTCTCCCCAGCCGCTGGACCACACTGGCCTCCCCACCTGCCGGAAGGAGAGGAGGTGCTCGGGGGCTGTGCTGGGTCACAGCCACCCTGTGTCACTACTGCTTCAAACCCATTCTTTAGACGAGACCAACAGACAAATGCGGCCGGAGACCCTGCACCAGCGGCCTGGGCGCTCTGCCAGGACAAGGCCCAAGCCTGGGCCACCAGCCTCCCCAGGGCCTCAGGGGCTTCTGCAACAGCAGCCTGGCACCCCGATCCCCCGCCAAGCACCAGCACCGCAGCCCCAAGTGTTTCCTCACTGTAGCCCAGAAACAAAGCACACCTAAGTGGACAAGGGAAAAGTCATGCCCTGTGCTGGTGGCCATGGGGAAGCGTGCCCATGACAGCCACGCCCTGGGGTGTCAGGAACCTGGCTGCCCACGGGACAAGGGTCAACCCCACCCCAGCTGCCTCACTGTGGGTGTACAGGAGCACAGAGCAGACAGCGGGGCCAAAGCCCTGGAAACACTTTAATATGAGTGTGCAGATGCTGACTGTGGAAAAGGCTCTCCCTACCGCGTGGGGCCACCACTCGCTCTAGGCAGTGGCGGGGGTCCCCGGTAGATGCCCCTGGCCACTCAGCCAGCCAGCCCACGGCCTGTCCACAGGCTCGCCCTTACCGCAGCTCCGGGGGGTCCAGGGCGTCACCAAGCCCACCCCTCTGGCCGCCGGCCTCTCCTCCAGCCACGGGGAGCCACAGGTGGGGTGTGGAGCGGCAGGCACCCCCAGCATGCTGGAGACACAAAGCACAGGTGGGCATGAGATCGGGCTGGGAGGAGGCGGGGGCCGAGGACCGCACCCACTCCCAGAAGTCAGGGCTCCATAGCTGTAGCAGGGTCAGACCCACAAGCAGCGTGGGCAGCACCCGAGGGCCAAAGCCCAGGCAGGGGCCTAGCCTGTGACCCGCTGAGCAGCTGCATGTGATGGCACCATATGTACCCTGCCGCCCCCACGTGGTAGGTGATGCCAGCCAGGCTTCTCTGTGAGGTGCAGCCGGAGCCTGAGCTCAGGGTCCCTGAAGCTCCAGAACAGGAGCAGAGCCCTCTGCCAGCTCCAAGGGCACTGCCCGCAGGCCCAGGGGGGGATGAGGGCCATGCGTCAGCCCTGCCCCTCTCCATGACTGGGTGAGCCCTGTTTCGAGGCTGGCACTGCTGCCCTGGCAGAGGGTCTGAGACGCAGGAGCCACATGCTGGGCAGCCAAGGTCAGCTAGAAATTGGGTATCTGGACTCAGGCCGGGACCCCTCTACCGTGGCTGGGGACCAAGAGGTGGGTAGGGGGCGCTCTGGCGCTCTGAGAGCCTTGTCCACAGCCTTTTCCTTTCCCAAAGCTCGTGGGCGAGCAGCTTGCTGGGCTTCTCCAGCCCTGGCACAAAGATGCAGGCAACAGCTCAGCCCTCACTTGCCGAGTGCCAGGGTCCCCGATGGAGGGGAGGGTCCTTCCTTGGGTCCTGGGATGAGGGCCGGGGCACAGGGGCTGGACACAGACCCCAGCGCAGCCCCACCCAGCGGGGAGGGGCAGCCATGCTTCAGAAGAACATCCCAGTCAGCCTGGTGGCCACCTGAGCCCCACAGGACCTCTCTCTGTCCTTCCAGGCAGGGGGAATGGAGCCCACCGCCCTCCAGCCCCTCCCTGGCCCTGTTCCAAGAACGTGGAGGCCCTTGTGGGCCTGAACTGGGGACACCGCTCGCCTGTCCACCTGGGAGCCTGGGGCACTGACCTTAACCTCTCCCCAGTCCCGGCGCACCGGGTCCCCTATCCCTTCCCCTTCTTCCTGCTGGGGTGGGGGTGGGGCAAGCTTAAGTGACAGCAGCCCACTGCTGCCCCCTACTGGCCACAGGGATTCAGTGAGGCCAGCACCCGAGGATGCCCCACCACCCCAGAGACCCACGAATCAGGAAAGGAGGGGTGGGTTCCCCAGGGCATGGGCAGGGGGCATCCCAGCAGAAGGGGAAATGGAGAGGACACGCTCAGCTCGACACCCCACTTCTTGGGGACCCCTGAGATTGGGCCTGACTTTGCCAAGCTTAGTTGACAGCTGGGGTTTGACCCCTACATGTCCCGGGGCAGCCCATTGTGAAGGGGCTCACTGGGCTGTTCCTCTAGACCTTCGGCACCCCAGAATCCAAGAAGCACTCACCCAGGTCCCATATTGGCTAAGGATGGTGGCCTCATCCACTCCCTGACAGCTGCATAGTGGGCCGCAGCCCCCACCCACACCCTCAGGCCCCACTGACCGGGCGTCAAGCCCAGGACAGCTCAGGTGAAGGCAGTGGCCATGCCCAGGAGAGGGGCAGGCACTGGGTGCAGGGACAGCCTTGGGTGGTGGAAAGAGGCTCCAGAGGGGGCCCTGGCCTGTCCATGAGTCCTGGCAAGGACCCCAGTGGGCCACTTGTGGGGTTGGGGTGTCCTTGGAGCAGGAACCCAGGCCCACACAAGGGACCTCAGATACACCTGTGTGGCCCGGACCCCAACAAGGCCAGGGCCCAGCCTGAGGTGAAGCTGGATGAAGCCGCCATGGGGAGACTTAGGGTGGGCCTGGGATCGCAAGGTGGGTGACACAGTGGCCCCCGGCGGCTAACAGCAAGAGCGGTGATGGCCGTGTCTCCCAGGGCTCAGAGCCAGCACAAAGGCTGTTTTGGGGGGACCGGTCCTGGGGTGTCTGGGCGCTGCGTCAGCTGACTCGGCTAGCCTTGGCCCTGGGCCACTGAAGGGGTCTGGGGGCCGTGAGGGCAGACCCAGGGCTCAGGGCTCACCTCCCCATGCTGGCGCCAGCGGCCTGGAAGGGAGATGAGTGTCCCTGCAGCCTGTGCTCCAGCTGCCAACGTCCCTCCTGCGTGGCACCTTGGGGAAGGGGCCGACGTCTCAATGCATCGGCAGAGCAAGGGGCGGCCAGGTCGGGCCCTGACTCGCAGTGGCTGCAGTCCTGGGTATGCCTGACATGGACCCAGCAGAGCCACCCGGGTCTGTGCTCCTCTACCACGGGATGAGACAGGGACAGGGTGCCAGGTGTGGCGTGCGCAGGAGGGCCGGCCACTGTCACCTCGTCAGAGAAGACACCAAGGGACAAAGGGAGAAGGGCACCTCCCGCCACCCAAGGTCATGGTGCCCGAGGCCCCGGCCCCACCCTGGTGCTGGCTCTCAGGGCTAATCTCCGGGCTCCACAGCTCCCAACCTGGGCTCCACAGAAGTGGCTCCGCATCCAGGAAGTCATCACCGCGTGACCCTCTGTCCCCCCTGGGCAGCGAAGCCCCAGGGTAGGCCGGGGCAGTGGGCGTGGTGCTGGGCCCCAGGGACTTCAGCTCGGAAGCTGCGTCCTGGCTGCTGTCTGGCGCCTCATTCCGGTGCAGCTTGGCAGTCAGGATGTCGATGCGCTGCTGCAGGACGTTGGCCATTGTCTCCAGCGCCTGCAGCCGGGCCTGCTTGTGCTGTGTGTGCAGTGGGCCCGACAGGTCCAGCTGCTCAGCCATCTGCGGGTCCAAGCAGACGTGCAGCCCCCGGCCTGGGTCCTGGAGCCATACGGAGCCCAGTGAGGAGGTGGCAGACACAGGCAGGGGCGTCTCCAGGCGGTTCCATGCTCTGTTCAGACACAGACAGAAGCTGCAGGGTGGAAGAGAACAGTGGACACTCGGCCTGGGCAGCTGCTCCAGGAGGTAGCAGGAAGCACCTGAGTGTCAGGTGCTCAGGACAGCAGGCGCCGAGGGGCCCAGAAGTCTGACAACTGCCACAGCGGGGATGGCACGTGAGGAAACCAGCCCGCCACCAAAGGACAAGTGCTGAAGGACCCCACTCGTGAAAGGTCCCTAGAGTCCTCAGGTCCAGAGCTGGAGGTAGAACGGAGGGTGCCAGGGGCTGGGGAAGAACAGCGTCCGTATGGGAAAATGAGAGCTGTGCCGGGCGTGGTTCTGCACTCCTGTAACCCCAGCACTCCGGAGGCTGAGGCAGGAGGATGGCTGTGAGCTTGAGGCCGGCCTGGACTACATAGCAAGACCCTGTCTCAAGCCAGGGATATAGTTCAGTGGCACAACGACTGCCTGGCAAGCACAAGGTCCTGAGTTCGATTTCCAGTACAAAAAGGAGCTTCATTCACCTTCAGAAATTGGTTCATTATGCTAAGAAACATCTAACTCCTTCTCAATGATTATGTTTATGTGTATATAGATATATATATATATATTTTTTGGTCTTTTTGAGACAGGGTCTCACTATGCAGTTCAGACTGGCCTTGAGCTCATTTTGTAGCCCAGGCTGGTCTTGAACTCACAATTATCCGCCTGCCTCATCCTCCTGAGTGTTGGGATTACAGGCGTGTGACACCACGCCTGGCAATGATTATGCTTTAAAGTATTCCATATCCCTTAGAAACAAAATAAAAGATGGGAAATTATAAATCTTTTTTAAAAGACCCTGTCTCAAAATAAATAAATAAATAAATAAATAAATAAATAAATAAATAAATAAATAAATAAATAAATAAAACCCAGAGGGTATCCAACTGTCCTAATTCCCAGGTAGGACCAAGCAGCTTGGGAGTGCTACTGTGCAGTGGGTGACTGCAGATCACGGTGTGGTACTGCATGATTCAAAAAGCCAGGAGAAAGGGTCTCAGAAGACTGTGACACAAACAAATGATAAGCATTTGAAGAAATAGTTACACTTAATTAAGTTGAACATCCCACAGTGTATACGATACGCGTGCTGACACATCACATGGTACCCCGCTCATACGTACTTTTTTTATGTTTCAACATAAAAAATTGAAATAAATTAAAATAAAAGCAAATCCGGATGGATTGAGGATCAAATTCTATGGCATGTATATTTTAACACTTTTTAAAAAGTTTTTTTGAGATAGAGCTTTGCCATGTAATCCAGGTTGGCCTTGAACTCACAAGGTAGCCCAGGCTGGTCCCTTGAATTTACAATCCTCCTGCCTCAGCCTCCAGAGTCCTGGGAAGTATACCTCAATTATTTTTGTCTAGAGTTATATTTTTGGAATTTGAATCTTAGAATTTTAGATTTTAGGGATTTTTGCTCTTTTGAGATTTTAGTAGCGGGGATTGTGGCATTCAAGGGTGTACTGTTCAGGCCAGGCGTGGTGGTCCATGTCTATAACCCCAGCACTTGGGAGGCTGAGGAAGGAGGATCCTTGTGAGTTCAAGGCCAGCCTGGGCTCCATAGTGACCTCAAAGCCAGCCTGAACTACATAGCAAGACCCTGTCTCAAAAAACAAAAGAAAAAAAGAAAGAAAGAAAAGAAGGAAGGAAGGAAGAAAGAAAGAAAAAAGGAAGAACCACTCAGGATTATGGCTCAAACTCACACACACCAAGAGAAATAAAATCAGGTGTTCCAATAAGTGCACTGCCATTGCATTATAGCGGTAAGAGTCCCAGTGGCCCACAAGAAATTTTGTGGGTAAACGGCATGCGTACAAAGGGCCTCCTCACGCATAGCAAGAATGAAGTCCTAGGTCACACAGCCCTGTGGAAAACCGTGAGGCTGTGGGGAGCCGGGACCCTGGCTCGATCTCTCTCTCTCTCTCTTTCTCCCCACCCCGTTTCTTTCTTTGTAATAGCAGAGTCTACCACTGAGCTGCATCCCAGGCTTATCTGTTTATTGACTTATGAGATAGGGTCTAGCTTAGGTACACCCAGGCTAGGCTAGATTCGAACCTTTGATCCTCCTTCCCCAGCCTCCCTAAGTGCTGAGATCACAGGCATGCCCTGCCACACCGACTTTAGGATACCATGTATACAGAATGTCAGGAAGAGAACCCATCCAAAGGCAGGCTGAAAGCTATTCCCCAGGGGCAGGAGGGAGGGGTAGGGTGACAGCTTGAGTGTGTGGTCCTCTCTGGCAATGGAGCGTCCTAGAACAGGGCAGGGTGGTGTCCACATGCCACTGTAACATGGAGCTGTGCACTTAAAAGTTGGTCATTTAAGTTCTCCTCCAGGAAAATGGGGTAAATTCCACCCCAAGCAGCCCTGGGAGTGCCTGGCAGGGGTGGAAGCCTGCCAGGGCCCCTCCTCATCCTGGGCAATGTCTTCCCCCTGGCTCCCTGCCCCCACACCCACCTGCCTGGTACCTCCTGGTTCCCCAGCACCATGCCCGAAGTCACTTTGCTCCACTCCTGTTCCGGGGGCTCCAGGCTCCCAGGGGCTTTCAGGTCCTAAGGCAGCGACAAAGTTAGAGCCTGGGGCGAAGGCCCCACAGCCCCATCCTGCACCTCAGAGCTGGCCTGGCCTCCTAGGATCTCAGGCTGAGTTCTCCAAGCTTTTTGGGCACCAACAGACCCCTTCAGGGGCTTTGACAGAGGCAACAGGGTCCCTGGGGATGGCTCTGCCGGAACCCCGCTGATCCCGGGGGACACATCTCCAGGTGCCCTAGCTGCACCCACGTACTGGGGCAGGGGGACCAGCGACCTCAGGCACACACCCCAGACTGTGCAGAACTGGACACGAAGGTGACGATGCCGGGGTTCGTCTGGGAGACCACAGAGACTGCCTTGCCCTGCACGGCCTCCCGCTGCTTCCGGTAGACCTCTTGAAGCTTCTGGCTTCTCCGTTCCAGTGCATCTGTGTTTGTGACCGTCTGCTGCAGGGACTGCTGCCTCCACGCCTGTGCCTTCTGGTGCAGGAAGTTGCACAGGGCCTCCGAGCTGTGTGACTGGCCCAGGGCCCCCCGGGGCTGCAGGTGGGGTGGGAACGGCTCTGCACCCAGCTCCTTCCCTTGTAAGCTCCACGGCCAGGCCTGCTTGGCTTTGGAGGGAGGGGTGGTGGCGCCTCTGCCCTTGCAGGGGGACCTAGCTCTCTTTGAGTAGGAGCCACTCCAGGAGCGCTGAGGGGCAAGATATGGTCGTTCCAGAGGGCTCCATGGTCTGGGGTCAGGGACCTCCCAGTCTTCATTATGCACCCAGGCCCACTGAGGACAGGCCAGCCAGGGCAAGGCACTCCAGGGCCCCTGAGCACAGGGGCTCAGCTTCTCAGAGGGGCTCGGAGGTCTCTGGAAGCAGGGGTCCCATCCTGCGGCTTCCCAGGCCCTCGAGGGACAGGGCTCCCACTTGGCCGAGGTGCTCGAGGGCTGCTGGGGGTGGGCGCGCCTGGCCCTGTCTAGGGCGGAGTGCGTCCCCTCTACCACGTCGCAGGGACTCTTCGGGCAGGAGCCCTGCCTGAGCTGGATGCTCCAGCGACCCTGCTGGCCTAGGTTCTGCGGCTTCAGCTTGGACGCTCTGCGCTTCGGCTCAAGCCTAGGGCCCTGAGCCAGCTCCAGCCCAGCCTGGATTTGCTGGCGGAGGTCTTGTAGGATGGCCATGGCGGTGTGGATCATTGCCCGCTGGCCATGGCAAGCCAGGCTGGCTGTGTTCTCAGACACCTGAGGGTCACTGCCGGCCGAGGCGAGCCTGTCTGGCCAGGTGTGGACTGATGAGCCCTCAGTGGCCGAAGCCCTCTTGATGTCTCCTGCAGGGATAGGTATGTCGGGCCATGGGGTGGCCGTAGGGGTGCGGGGAGGTCTTGGCCCTGCCCCCCCGAGATCCCCTCTGGCCCTCAGTGCTCATCACAGATGTGGAAGCCCTGGGGGGGCAGGGGCCACGTCTGGGCAAGGCGCCCACGCTGGGCACAGCACTGACAGGGACACTTGGAAGGGAGGGGACAAGGCCACGGGCAGCGGCTCCCATCTGCCCTGGCCCCGTTGGGAAAGCCCTGGTGGCACCCAGGAGGCACCTCTGGGGACAGGAGGCAGTTTTAAGTCTTCACTCCCCACCCCCTGGGCAGCGTGGAGCTGGAGGTGACGGGCAGGTTTCAGAGAGAGGCCGCCTCTTTCCCACGGGCACGGACACGGGTGGCCCCTCTTTGTGTCCTCCCCAGGCTCTGTGGCAGAGGGGCCAGAGCCGGGCACAGGCGGGAGGTACCTAATGCCATGGCAGGGCCCAGGTCCCTTGAGGGGCTGGTGCTTGGGCGTGCGGGCCGGGCAGGAGACGGCCCCAGCAGCAGCCGCGCCAGCTCTTGTCCTCTCCTCCAGGCGCGAATACCGACAGACTCGGGATCTGGGGCGGAGAGAACGTGCACAGCGCATGGGCCTCGCACGTGGAAGCTCGCGTCCAGGCCCAGCGCAGCGGCAGCCCTAAATCTGCAGGTTGAGGGGTGCTGGGGGCGAGGTTAGGGGATCATGGGCGTCCCCCGAGATTAAGCTGCAATGAAGCTGGTCAGACTCAGCAGACACCGCAGGAGGGCACCGAGGCTCCTGGGCAGCACAGATAAACCACCCCTGACCCCAAGCACGAATGAACTTCCTGCAGTGCCTGTCACATAACCAACGTCACCCACCAAGGCTTTACTTCATAACCCAGGGTATGGTCGCCAGGTCTCTCCTGTCACATAACCAACGTCACCCACCAAGGCTTTACTTCATAACCCAGGGTACGGTCGCCAGGTCTCTCCCAGGCCCGTCATCACACAGATCCGTCCAGAGCGGCCCGGCAGAGTCGGAAGCAGGCTGCTGGTTCACACACACATGCATGCTCACACACGTGTGCTTGGGCACTCACATGCACTGCTCCGGGCTCGGCCACTGCAGCTCCGAGGCCTCACCTGAGTGGTACCTGCCCTCTCCGTCCTGCTCCGTCCTCACCTGAGTGGTACCTGACCCCACCATCCTGCTGCTGTTGCAGGGTGGTGGCATCTGGAGGCCTGGGTGCAGACTTCCATGTGGTCTCAGCCAAGGCTGCTCAGTGCCCAAGGAGAGGCCTCATTTGGACCACTCAGAGCGGTTCTGGTCCCGCTGCCTGACCAGGCCACTGTCCTCCCTCCCACCCATCCTGAGCCCTGTCATCGGTCACAGGCTGGGCCCTCTCTCTGGACAAGGCTCAGGCCAGGGAGGTCCACAGTTGATCTCCATGGGCCAGACCTGGGTTGCAGTCCAGCCCCACCACTCACCAGCTTGGACTCTGGGCTTCTGAATCCTAAACGGGGAGTGTGCCCACAGGCCCCTCCCTCCAGGGCCACCAAGACCGGAGGACGGTCACCAGCTCTGAACACAGCTCTTTTTACTTTTTTTTTTTTTTTGGTTTTTGTCCGGTACCGGGAACCGAACTCACGACCTTGCGCGTGCCAGGCAGGCGCTTTTGCCGCTGAGCTAAATCCCCAGCCCCTTCTTTTTACTTTTTAGCTTAGAGACGGGTTCTCATTGAGTTGCTCAGGCTGGCTTGGGCCTTGTAGTCCTCCTGCCTCAGCCTCCAAAGTTGCGGGACTCCGAGACACACACCAAAGCGCTGGGCGACAGTCACCACCTCTGTGGCAGGTGGCCTCGAAGGTCCAGATTCTGCCAGCTCAGTGTGGAGCCCGCAGAAGCTGGCACAGCTCAGCTGTGCACATCTGGGGCTGGCAAGGGGAGTGGGGAGCAGATGGACCTGGCTTCTCTACCCCACCCTGCAGCTGCTCTGCCGACAGAGCCGGCCCGGCCCAGCTGCCCCTGCGGGCCGGACTGGGACTGCCGCGAGAGCACCGGACCACGCCGGCCGTGCCGCTCAGGCCCTTCCATCACGCAGCCGGCTCCATCGGCCCAGCAGAGGGGTTCCAGTCGATAAATGGGTCCTGACGGGCACATTTTTTTCTTCTGCTGAGCCGTTTAATGGCAATTAATTTTTTTATGAGAGGAATTTTAATCTGTGGAAATGGATGAAGTCCCCAGGTGCCCTGTCACAGCTCCGGGCAAACCTAATCTATGATAAAAAATGCAAAGCGAGGTGGTATAATCGGAAATTAAAGATCAGCCTTCATTTTCCTTTGGCCCGGATGGATGAATATTTTATAACTATTGTGATTTAATTTTTTGTTAACTACAGCAAATTTCTAATTCATCCAATTCCCAAGTCCGGTGGCTCTGACCCCTGAACCCAGACTCATCTCTTCTTAGCCCAGCTGTGACTTCGTCACTGACAGAAACTAATGGTGACCACCGTCAGGGTGACACGGTGCTTACGATGATGGATGTGGCCCGTGGCACGCCCTCCCGACCCCGTGTCAGGCAGCAGGCAGGTCATTTTTCAAGCAAGCCATTAAAACCAAACAAACCAAAAAGCTGGCGGGGGGTGACGCAGAAGGGGGCACATCTTCTGCGTTTTCGGGGACCTTCCAGTGTCCTGAACTTTTTTTTCCAGTGTAGGTTTGCCTTCCTGTCCAGGGTCGCCGCTGGCCAGCTGGGTGGAAACACGTCACGCAGCCCCACCAAGCTTCCCCGCCTCCCGGGGACCGGTCGCCAAGCAGCGCCCACGCTGACAGCCACGCTGTGGCCAGGGCAGAGGGGACCGACCACCAGGCAGGACCAGTGCTGGTGACAGCACAGCCACCCGTCCAGACCAGGGTGTCTGGGGGAGATTGAGGCAGACTCACCAGCAGCTCAGGAGCCCCACCTGCCCTGGGGTCACACGCATGCCCGGAGTGAGGGTCCTACAAAGCCTGCTTAGCCCTTTGGGCCCTCATCACCCACCCACCCCGTCCCCGCCAGGGGCCTTTAGTGCTGCCCCCAGAGACCCGGGGCGCACAGCTGCACGTTTGGAGCACGGGCCTCGAGCTGAATGGGTCAGCACCAGGCCCTGGCTCTGCCTGCCTGATGGCCCTGGGCAGGCCGAAGAACCTCCCCCAGCCTGCGTTTCCCCACCCTAAGATGCAGCACACCTGCCTCTAGGGACTCAGTGAGGGACTCACCCCACAAACTCTGAAAACCACACCCCAGGCCAGCACCATAGTCTTTGCAAGGCCTACACCTAGGGGAAGGCTACCCCAAGTTAGAAATTCCTCTCCCCAACCACCCGTGTTCACCAGACGGCCTTCCGGGACATGTTCTGAAACTGCGTGCTGGCTTGTACCCTTGAGACCAGTTGACAACACCGTGTCCCTACAGACTGCATGTACAAGGATGACCGGTGACTCTAGGGTCACCACAAGGGACGCCATCCTGCACAGTGTGAACTGGGGCCATCACATCCCCAGGCCAGGCCCCTGGGCCGTGAGGACCTACGTCCTGGGCAGTGAGGGCCAAGGAGTGAAACTCACCTTTGCCCTTGCCAGCTCTGCCGGGCGAGAGTGACCTGGGGGCCCTGTCCCTTCTGCAGGAGCGGGCCCAAGTCCTCCTGGCTTTGTCCCGGAGACCTTGAGCGGGAGGAGGGAGGGCACGGGGCCGGGAGGTGAGTGGCAGGACCTCCTGCCATTTGTTGAGCAAATGAAGGACAGAGTGAGCCCCCACTGGCATGGTGGTGGTCAGACTGGGGAGGGGACCAATGGCTGTAGCAGGCCAGGCGGCCGGGCTCCAAGGGGCAGAGTTTGCTCAGCATCCCCAGCACATGCGGGGATAGCCAGGGCAACCGGTGCCAGGCCCTGGCTGCCCAGTTTTTGACTATCAGCTGAGCTCTTTGGTGTCAGCACAGCGGCCTGGCACAGAGCCCGCCAGGGAGCCGAGAGGCTGCACCGGCTGAGCAGAGGCACGGGCAGAGAGAGCACTGGCCGGGCCTGAGCCCAAGGCCCTCGCCCCTCGAAAGGGTGGGTGACCAGAGGGCCTGGGGGACACGGTCCCTAAACCCTGTGCTCGACCATGGCCCCCGGGCTGGCTGAGGCCCTGGGCCCCACAGAAGGAGCAGACAGGGCTCCTCTCAGGCTGTCCTTGCCCTGCACACCCCACATTGCTGTGGCTGCCACCCAGGGTCCCCTGGCCACCATCCTCCTCCCACAGCCCAGGGAAACTCTCAGTGCAGATCCCTGGGCCACCCAGACCAGGGGAGCCTGACAGCTCTGCTCTCGAGCCTCTGCTCCAGAGCCCGTAGGGGTACCCAAATCCCTGTCCAGACGTCTTCGGGGCCACCCCTTGCCTTCCTCTCTGGGGCCAGGCATGCCATGTCGGCAGTGCCCTGGCTGAGTAACGGACCAGCGAGCCCAGGAGGGGCAGGAGCACTGGGGACACAGGGACGACCTGGCCTCTCAGGTCACCTGCCCAGCCCTCTGCCCTGCCTGCCGCCTGGATCCCTTCCCGAGGGACAGAGGGTTAAAGCACGCACACACACGCACATGCACACACGCCTGTCCCTTCCCACCGGGGTCCCTTCTGAGCCTCCACACCCTCTCCACAAGGGGGAGCCCACCCTGGGCCCACTCACCCGGAGCCTGGTGCCGGGTGGCCCGAGAGAGCTCCTGCCCCACGCCTAGGGGCGCCTGGTCTTCCTCTCGGGGCTCCGCCACACGGAGGATGCTGAGTCCTGGGCCGGGGTGAAAGGGTGAGTGGGAAGAGATTCCAGGCAGAATTCCAGGACAAACTCCGCCTGGCCGCACCTCCAACCCAAACCCCACACCCAGGAATGCATCCCGCAGACCCACGGGACACACACTGGCTTTGGATCACATCAACCACTCCCCCAGGCAATTCCAGGTGCTCAGCAGAGCGCTCCGAGGGCCTCCTGCTTGGCACCCAGCATAGCCTGGACAACACTCAGGCAAGGGGGTCACAGCCTGAGCTTGAAATCTTATCTGTGCAGCCAGCATGGTTGTGCACACCTGTCATCCCAGCACTCAGGAGGCTGAGGTAGGGGGATCACCACAAGCTCAAAGCTAGCCTGCACTACAGAGTGAGTTCACGACCAGCCTGAACTACATAGTGAAACTCTCTCAGAAATCAAAACACCAAAACATCAAAAAAGATGCATTTGTGCAAAAAGACATGATGATGATGATATATATATATATATATATATATTTTTTTTTTTTTTTTTCCCCTCCTCAGCACTGGGGGTGGAACCCAGGACCTCACACACGCTAGGCAAATGCTCTACCATGGAACTACAGCCTCGGGGCTTTTGTTAATTTGTAATCTGAGATAAGGTCTTGGTAAATTGCCCAGGCTGGCCTCAGATTTGAGATCCTCCTGCCTCAGCCATCCTATTTGCTGGGACTATAGTCACGTGCCACTGTAGCCAACTGATAAATTTTATGTTATAAAATTTATGTTATAAAATTCATGTATCTTACATGACTTTTTAAAACTAAGTTATTATCTTTAAGAAAATGGCAGGCATCTCCCCATCTCCTTAGGTGGAGCTAAGCACCTAGACCAGGTCTCCACCCCTCTGCAGGAAAGTTCTTTAGATACCAGCTTAACTACCACCCTGGCCCTGGCCCTGTCTCTGCTAGAGGGAAGCAAGGGGCCTTCAAGTCCTGTGCTGGCTTTTAGGGTGCCCCTGGATGCTGCTGTCTGTTTAAACTCTTATCTATGCCCAAGGCAGCAGGGACAGAAGCCAGACCCAGGCTCAGAACACGAGGGCCCTGCCACACGCCCGCTATGTCCCCATTCTTCCATCTTCCTCAGTGAGTGCCTTATCCTGGACCTGGCTTGGAAGTCCCTCTGCTATGGTTCAGATCTCAGTGTCTCCCAAGAGCCTCAAGGCAGGGCTTGTGGCAGGTGAGGGCCATAGCCGACTTGCTCCAAGCAGGAGGCGGGGCCTGGTTGGAGGAGACGGCATGGGGGCGTGTCCTGGAAGGGTTCATCTCCTCTTCTCTCCTCTGCTTCCTGCTGTCACACCTTGAGCAGCTCCCCTCCACCCTGCCCCTCTGCCACACCACCCTGGCTTGCAGCCAGCCCACCCCGGGCTGGAACAGCGGCAAACTGTGAGCCAAGACGGAGCTCTGCTTCCTTAAGTGTCGTGTGTCAGGTATTGTGTCCAGCAACAAGAAAGTGCCTAAGACACCCTCTCCAATCTCCGGCTAGCTCCAGGAAGCGCTCTGGGCCTGGGGCACCTTGCACATCTCCCCCTACAGCCACCTCACCCAGCCTCCCCCCCAGTACCCCTCCCCATGCTGCCGCAGACCTGAGTGTGCGGGGCCTGGAAGGGCGGCTGTCACCTTGTAGGTCCTCCTCCGGGGCGCTGGCGTGGAGGCAGAGCAGAGGCGCGAGGCGCTGGAGGGGGCCGAGGTGCCCAGGGAGGCGCAGCTCACCTGTCCCCGCGCCTGCTGGCAGATCCGGTCCCGCAGCCGCTCCAGCCTGGGGTCACTCTTTCTGGGCGGCCGCTGGGACCCCAGCCCCCGGGGCAGCCGCTCCTTCCAGGGCCCGTGGGGAGGGGCGCGAGACACATGGCCTCCTGAGGAGCCAGACAGACGGCCAGAGGACACTGAGCTGCCCCCTCCCCTGGCCTCCTGGTCAGTGGACCACACGGGCAGGCTGCAAGCCCTGCCCCGCAGCGCAGGCTCCACAGCATCCCTGTTACTGGACCAGGCCAGGAGGGCAGGTGCTCCCAGGCCACCTGGCTGCTGGGCCATGGCCACGGCACAGTCCTCAGCCACGGACGGACAGAGCCCGTCTTCCCTTGGAGAGAGGAGCAGGGATGGCCATCAGGCTGGAGCCCGCTGTGCTGAGCGCCTCGGCCAAGGGACCCCTGCCTCCCTCTCCCCCCTCAGAGGGACAGGACAGTCAGAGGGGCCCTGACGTGTGACCCGCCCTCACTGTCTTGGGTCCTGTCCTCACCCCATGAGGGCTGGCCAGCACCCTGGCAGGGACCCTGAGGCTGGGAGAGCCAGGCCTGGCCCCACTGACCGACACCGGCAACACATGTCCCCAGTCCACGCCATCCCTACCTGCGCTCTGTGCCAGCCTTGCAGGGTCCCCCTCTCCCCAGGGCCCCGGGGGAGGACAGACCCGGCTTCAGGGCCCCCCTGGTGCAGGGCAGCAGTGCACCCCTCAGGCAGGTGGGCAGCCCGTCCAGGATCGGGGTGGGCATGGGGCCAAGCGTGGGGTGGTGCCGTCATATGGCAACCTGGACGCCTACAGCTGGGAACCCATGGCTGCTCGGGACAGCTGGCACTGCCAGCCCTGGGTGCCTGCCTGTGCTAGTCCCCTGGCCGGACTACAAGCCTCCAGGACAGTCATTGAAGTGGGGGACGGTGGGTGCAGGCTTGCTGGCAGTGGGTGGGGGCCTCCTGATGAGCTGCCTCCCCAAGGGGGGGGAAGAATTCCAGGTGGCCTAGTGACAGCATAATAACCCCGTGTCACCTGTGACAGGGCCTGGAGCTGCCACTTGCGCCCCAGATGCTGCCCAGGGCCAGGAGCCCCCGCTCCCGCCTCAGCCCTGCTGCTCTCAGGGGCACCGAGAGGGCTTCGGGTGACCCTGGGCACAGTGGAGGGAAGGACGCAGAGGGCTCCAGGTACTCAGGGGCCCCAGCTGCAGGCTGACCTTGGGCATAGGAAGTGGGGGGTCAGAGGGATCCCCGAAGCGCTTCTTCCCTCCTGAGCACCCCCCAAGGAAAGCAGGGGACACCTTGGTTCTAGGTGACGGGGGAACGCCCAAGGATGTTTGCTCTGTCCTGTGGTTCTGGGCGTGCGCCAGCACTCAGCCCTGAGCTGCCCCTGCCCACGCCGAGGCCGCTCCCAAAGGCCTCAGAGTGAGGGGCCAGCGCTGGGAACGGACGGCGCCAACGCTGCGTGTATCCCCCGCCACCTCCTCAGCCTCAGAGCGGAGGTCCTGGCGCCGCCCCAGGGCTCCCATCAAGCCCCAAGGTCCAGGCACCCGTGGGGCGGGGCACACCAGTACCTCTGCGGCCAGGTCCCCGTGGCAGCACTGTCCAACTCTGCCTTGTCCACCCAGCCTGGGGTCCAGGGCTGGCCCGGCTGCCCTGCTCCCCCGAGGACGTCACCCCTCGAGGCTGAAATGGAGCAGACCACACACACGTGTCCCTTGGTAACACTGGCAAGAGGTGGGCACTGGAGCCCCCGAGGTCCCCAGCATAACGTGGCCACTCGTAGCTGCACATGGGCAGAATCACGAAAAGAGAAACCAGGTGGATGGGAAAGAAAGCCATAGCTTTGGCCACCTGCGCTGCAACTCCCCTCTAGTCCTGCCCCTCCTCCCAGCAGTGCTCCAAACCCCGGGACAGGGCCAGGCTCCCTCTGCTGGTGTCCGGACGGCGGCACAGCCCGGGCCCTGCACAGCCTGCCGGTCCCCAGGTCGTCCTCACTGGCTGGGGCTGCTGGAGGTGGCCGGGAGCTGAAGGCTCCCCAGAGAGCCAGCAGGGCCACAGTGGGCCCGGGAGCATCCTACAGGGAAGTCCCGTCGGCACCCCCACTTTATGGGAGGCTGGAGCTCAGCCTGCTACATTCCAGGCAGGGTCAGAGGCCAGGAGCCCAAGCCACCCCCAGCACCTGCCACACTCCAGGGCAGTAAAGGACAGCTGCTGCCAGGGGCCTCCGGGGGTCCTTGGGCCACACGGAGCCACCACATGGCGCTGCTTCCCGGAGCCATGGGGCCTTGAGCCCTCCCTGCCCTGCAGACAGCGGGCATAGGAACCTTGGGGCCCTCCCCTGGCCTGTTCACCTCTTACGGGGTGGCAGGACCTCGCCCAGGTAACCAGGCTCCTGGGGAGCAGAAGACCCAGGAACCTAAGGGACACTGGGCTGGGCACAGTGGGCTGAGAGCCTGTGGCACCCCGGTTCTCGCCCAGCCCAGACCACAAGCCCTGTCCTGCTACTACCCCGAGTGGGGTGGAGATGACACCCAGGCCCTGCAGCTGTGACAGGCACACAGCACAGCCACTCCTGCTGCCCACCGAGCAGCCAGTAGATGGGAGCGGGTCCTGGAGCTGGCAGCCACGCCACACCTGTTAGCGACAATGTTTACTTCTTGCCTGGGCCCTGGGAATGCAAACCCTGGGCAGCGGGGCCAGCGAGGGGGAGGGCGCCACGCCTACCACCCACAGCAACGGGGGCCAGCCAGGCCTAGGTGTTGGCATGGCACCCAACCACCACCTTGAGTGCCTCCCTGGGCCTGCGGCTGCCATGACCGTGCCTGCCCCGAGGCCACGGGAAAGGGACAGGGCCTTGAGCGCCCACAGGAACGCCGTGGCAGCAGGGCTGGAGTGGGTCACCTGGGACACACGCCACTAAGTACAAAGCACAGGCTCCCCCACCGTCCATAGCACACCCACAACATGCTAACACACAACATACAACGTGCTACACATGCAGCACACACCCTCACAGGGCTCTGTAGAGCCCATGCCAGGCAGGCACCCACCCTCTCACCCCGCTGTGCCTGGCGCCCACCCCGCACCCCCAGGCATGGATGCCCCTACCGGCGGGTCCCCAGAGACCCGCCTACACCGAGAAGGAGGCAGACACGAAGGTGGGGCAGGTGACACCAGAGCAGACTGGGGAGGCCATGGCGAGGTGGGCGCTTTGGGGGCCAGACGACTGCACTGCAGGCTGAGGCGAAGCAGAGATAATCAGAGGGAGAAGTGGCCCCGACCCGGTCCTCCCACCCGCTCCTGCCCACCTGGGGCTTAGCCCTCCTACAGTCTGGCGGCCCTGCCCACACCTCTGAACGGACCTGGCCCAGCGACCCCAGGAGCTCAGCAGCCCCCAGCCCCCAGGCGGCCCCAGCAGAGGCCCAGCCCCGCCACCTCCGCTGCTACCCCCTGTGCCACGCAGGCTGGCCAGGCACTGCTCATGTCTGCCTGCAGAGCTCCCTGCGTGACCCCACGAGGACGACGCTGTCCCCTTGCTGTGGTCACGCAGTGTGGGGCAGAGACCCAGCCTTGGGCCGGCCTCCCAACCAGGGTCCTGGGCAGCCGCTGCCACGCGGCCCTGGCAAGGGAAAGTTGCCCAAGAGAGGCCCTGCAGGCATAGCTGCGGTCTGCAAGGACTCAGAATAGTCACCTAGGCCTGGCCTTTGGGACTCAGCTCCAGGTTTCTCTCCACAGCTGCCTCCCCCTCCACCCACAGACCCCGTGGAGACGCTTCCAGCAGGGCCAGGGCCAGGGCCAGGGCCACGCCAGAGGGTATCCGTGCCGAGCCAGCCCTCCCGGACCCTGCCTCTGCCTTCCCCGCCTGCAGCCCGGGCAATGGCCTTGCAGGGGCCACCACAGAACCAGGCAGCAGCCTGCAGGCGGGCCAGGCAATGCTGGTTAGGGCCATTGCTTTGCAGTCCAGGGGCCTGAACCAGGGTCCTGGTGGATGCTAGGCAAGTACTCTACCACCGAGCCACGGAAACATCTCCAACCGTGTTCCTTTTCTTTCCTCTTCTTTTCTTTCTTTTCTGATTTTTGTTTTGAGACAAGGTCCCTCTAAGTGGCCCATGTTGGCCTCAAACTTGCAATCTTCCTGCCTCAGCCTCCCCAGTCCTTGGGATTACAGGCTGCAGTTCATTCCATGATAATCTAGTATGCAGACCCCAGAATGGGACCCAAGGCCTCCGGGGAGCACAGGACAAACCCTGCCCCCAGGGTTGCCTCTGAGCTGACAGAGGAGGGACACATCTGTGTGAGGCCAAGTCCAGGGGAGGGCATCCTGGGCCTACCACCTGCCTCTGCCCCCCAAGGTGCTGGGTGAAAGGGGTGGGGCTTAGGCAGCCACCCAGACACTCACCCTCTGGATGGCTCCTGGGCTCCCTGTTGGAGAGAGGGCATTGGGCAGAGGCCATGGCCTGAGATAGCAGCCCGGAGCACCAGCGCCCGAGCTGGAGCCGCCACCTCTGCCACCAGGTGCTGGAGGCTGGGAGGAGCCAACCCGCCCAGAGGTTGCCAGAGAAACCCCAAGACCTCGGCAGACGCCTCCTCTCCTCCCCCGGCAGCTTGGGAACCCTATTCCCTCGCCAGGAGCCTCAGCTGCACCGCCCTGGTGTGGGGGCAGGGGACACGCACCTGTGACACTGCCCTCCTGGCTGTGAGGGTCGCCCCCTGCCCCTGAGCCCGGCCCTGCTGGGGAGGGCAGCATGCACTCCGAGCCCCACCCCAGTTCTTGCCCTGGAGCCCCCAAGTTTGCAGCCCCCACGGTCTCCTCCCTGAGACCCTGGCAGAGCCTGGCCCCAAGTGCCAGCAGGCCCCAGTGGAGGACAGAGGGCTGGATCACAGGGCAGGGAGGGACACTGAGACAGCTGGGGCTGGGCAGGTGGGTAAACAGAGGCAGGTGGAGGCTGCCACCACAGAGGCACCACCAGGTCCAGTGACACCAAACTGGAAACCTCTGTGTGGCTGGAGGGGCCGTGGACATCTTGGGGGCAGTGTGTGGAGGCTGTGGGGGGCCGGGTTATGGCTCTACCCTCGCTGGGATGCTGGACCCCAGCGTCAGAACTTTCCTGTGTTCCGTTAGCTCTGAGGGCTTCAAACTGGGGTGCTAAGCTGCTCCCACCCCTGCCCCAAACCCAAAGGCAGGCGCCTGGAGACCAGGCATCCCCTGGGGCAGGCAGCTTGGCTGACGTCAACTCAGGTCCCCAGCTGTGATTCACAGTGTGGCCAGCAGGTGGCGTCCTCTCCCTACAGGGAGGCCTTGCAGGGAGTGGTGGGGAATCTCTGCCACCCTCCCCCACCTCCAGGGGGAGTGTCTCCCACCGGGAGAAAAGGTCGGGTCTGCGAGGAAACCCCTGTAGGCATCAGAAGTTTGGGGCATTGAGGAAGATGTCTGTGGCCTGGACTCTGGAATACTCACAGGGGCCCCTGCACCCCAAGGAGCTCCTAGAGTGGGGTGCTACCTCCCCAGGCAAACCCTTGGACCAGAGCAGGGCCTCCACAGCAAGGCCACGCTGGGCAGTGATGGGGGGCATGCCTGCAGCCAGGGTGGGGCCCCTGATGTCCCAGAAGCAGAGTTGAGCTCAGGCCCCGACACCTGGCACCCAGATATTCACCTTGCACATATAGAGGGCACAAGTGTGTGCCAACGCCAGGTGACCGGGACACAAGGGGACCCTGTCCTGCCACGCCAGGGAAGCAGGGAGAAGCCCATCGAGTCTGGGCTCCTCGAGGACTTCAGGACCTTCCCCTACTGTTGTCTCTGCACCTACAGCAGCGCCCTGGAGCAGCAAAGTGAGACCCTCCAATCCCCGGCAACCACTGGGGTCCAGACTGGCCCCTCTGGTCCACCCCCCACCTGCATGCCTGCTGGGGCATCTGTCAAGGAGAGACCCTCAGCAGTGAAGCCAGAGTCCTGTGCAGATCCCGGCACACAGCCGCCCCCTGCCCCCAGCCTGGGGACCCACTTTCACCAGGGCAGGCAGGTGGGCCTGTGACCCAGGAATCCTGGGCCACAGGAGCAGGGGGCCTGGGAAGCATATCAAGCCCTTGAGGGGTCAGTGGAGGATGCCCCAACCCCAGCCTGCCAGGGTCCCTCCAACACCGAGAGCGGCCTCGCCCAGAGCCATGCCACCCCGTCTTAGCAAAGTCCTGTCTCAAAATAAAAATCAAAGATGGGCTGAGGATGTAGTTCGTAGAAGTGAACCTCCCACCTTGGACACCGCAGCCTGGCCTCCTTCATCGGGGCTCCAGCCTCACGCCTTTCAGGGCCCCGGGGGTGCCGCAGCTCAGTAAGGGCGTTTTCATCTGGGACGGGGATGGCGGGTCCTTTCCCGAGCTGCAAACTGGCTGACCCTGGGCTTCCACAGGGCGCTGGCCCCTGCCCTGGGGAGAGATAGGCCCTTGGCTGATGTTGACTTCACCTGAAGCAGGTTGAGAGAGCAGGGAGGGGGTTCCCATGGCAACCAGCAGCTGGTCTGGGGGACCCCAGGCAGAGGGAGGAGACCCCTGGATCTAGAGGTAGATCTGCAGCTGGGAGGAGCTGCCGAAAAGCGCTATGCCCCTGGGGCAGCTATGGTCCGCAGCAGGCCTTGTCTCGACTCCAGCTGTCCCTGGGCAACTGCCCTCACCCAGCAGACCCTTGGCGCAGTCTGGATCCCCCAGAGACCCCCATAGTGCCAGCACCCAACTCTGTCCTTCAGCAGCCCCCAACCTTGGGGAAAATTAGCCCTTTGTCCCCAGCACCCGCCTTGGGTGTCCCCTTCCCCCCACCTCCCATGACCCAGCCCTGGACTCAGCACAGACACGAGGCCCCTGGCTGCCCGCTGCCTGCCCAGCACCAGGCTAGTGATGATGTCTGGGGCAAGGGGCTGGGTGGGTGGCACACAGGGCAGTCTGGCTTCCAAGATAGGAGCCCAGAGCCTGTGCCGGGCTCTGAAGGGAGGGTGGCACCTCTGTGACTGTGAGCCCCGGACATGGCAGGTGGCGCACAGGCTGGGTGCTGTGCCCCAGCTGTGCCCAGTGGGTGGTCAGAGCAGTGGCTGAGGATGAGCCAGGTGGCGGCACTGAGAGCCCAGGGGGCTCCTCAAAGTCCTGCCGCTGCTCCAGATTCCTGGCCAGCAGGCCAGCTCCTGTCCCCCAGCCTGGTGCCCCCGGAGGCACCGGGGCCCCCTCTGGCCTTGATGCCCATAGATGAGGCCCATGCTCGGGGGATCCCTGGCTTCTTCTCCAGAGCTCGGGGCCAGGAAGGGACATGCAGCCCAGGGTAGCCAGAGGGACGGTGTGGATGAGGCTTCAAAGTGACCCCTGCCCCTCACCGAGCTCTCCACACCAAGGGCTTTGTGCGTGGATGGTGTCCACCAGGTTCCTGCTGGCAGAGGAGGCTGGGGAGGTCCAGTGCCGCTGTGAGCCGCCAGGATGGGCTAGAGCAGCACACGGTGCCCTGGCTGTAGCAGCCAGGCCAGGACCGCCTCACCATGCTGTGAAGAACTTCCGAGCCCTGCTGCGTCCCCTGCCCTGCCACAGGTCATCCTCACAGTGACAGCCCGGGGCTTCCAACCACCGGGGCCTGGGTCAGAGCAGACAGGCTCCTGGTTGGCCTCACACCGTGCCCAAGCGTGCCCGCCATTCCTGGGCACCAGTGCTGAGCCAGGAAGTTGCTTGCAGCCTGGGCACCGAGGACACATGTGGCTGGATAGCCATCCACAGGACAATGGATTCCAGGCCCGCTGTGTCTGTGAAGGCCGGTGGAGGCGGCCCAGGCCCTTGCAAAACACAAGAATGCATTGCTCGCATTCCAGAGCTGCTAGGCCAGCAGCGCTGGGTGCCGGGGGAGGGAAGTGCGAGCTCTAGGACCTCAGCTGGGCGGAAAGCAGACAGGCAAAAGGCCTGAGGGAAGGGGCGCCTGGGGCCTTCACAGGGGCCTCATCCATGTGTGCAGGGGGGCTCTGTGACTCAGTCACCCCCAAGGCCACTGTCACCCTGGGCCTTGGGTCTCCCAGTATGGACCTTGTGGACAGAAGGACATTCAGGCCACAGCAGTAGGGTGTGAGGCGAGGAGAGAAGACTGCAACACAACGTGCCTCCCCTGACCCAGGCGATGGTACGGCCAGAGCAGGCAGCACCCCAGAAAGGTGTGGGGTGAGTGGTGCCCCAAAATGTGCTTCTGCCTGGCGCTGAGCATGTGGCCTGTTTTGAAGAAGTGTCTTCTCAGGTATGAGGAGAAGCATGAGGTCAGTGAGTGTGGCGGCGCACTCCTGTAATCCCCAGGCTCGGAGGCTGAGGCAGGAGGATTGCCACAAGTTTGAAGCCAGCCTGGGCTACACAGTGAGATTCTGTCTCAAGAACCAAAAACAAAAAAAAAATTGGACAAAGAATCATGAGATCATCCTAGGTGAGGGTGGTTTGAACACCAGATTACGTGTGCTTGTGAGAGACGGAAGGGTCACAGGGGAGAGAGGAGGCCGTGGATGCAGAACTGGGATGGGGAGCAGGGACACCCCTGCTGAGCCCCCATGGAGGCATTGGACTTCCATCTCAGGGACAGTGAGGGCGCAGCTCTGCCTGGTGTCACCACCCCAGGGTGCGGGCCTCTCAACAGCCCTGGAGGCGACAGCGTGAGGTGGTGGGAACTGGATGCTGCCGAGCCCCGAGTATGCCCCCCATGTCCCGAGAGCAGGTCCCACTGTACGGAGGCCTCTGCGTCCCACGGGAGTGGCCTGCACAGCCAGGAAGGAGCTGGGATGGGAGCCTCTGCCACCTCACACCCCACAGCCAGGCCTGGGAGCTGGACCCGCCCTCGCGCAGACCTCCGTCATTCGTGGGCCGGCCCCAGCACACGGGTTGGAGCCGGCTGAGGATGAGCCCCACTGAAGCAGGCATGTGGGCCGGCTTCTGGTGCCCGCTGCTCCCATGGCCCCGGGCATGAGACCGTGACGGAGCCCACGCTGCCAGCAAGCGCCCCAGGAATGCTGTGTGGCCGGGCGTCCCGCGCTGACACGGTGGCGTCGAGACACTTCCTGGGTGCACGTGTGTCACCACCAGGGTGATGCTCAGGGCCTCGTGGGTGGGACAGACCGTTTCCTGTGCCTAGCAGCCCCACACCCCAGGGACCTCGAGTCCCCCGGGACAGGAAATAGCACCGGTGACGCAGTCAGGGGCCGGGGCCGTGGAGAGGATGCATCCCCATGGGAAGAGCGGACAGGTCCTCCCTCAGGCTCACAAGAGGTCTGGAAGTGGTGGGGAGCCAAGGGCTCTTGTTACTTCGTGTGCACTTGTGCGTGTTTGTGGGCGTCCCCACTCCCCAGCCACCTCTTCCCTCTGCCTGGAGTCCAGCAGAAGCTGGCAGGAGCTGGTCAGTGTGGGCTGAGCCTGGTCCTTGCTGGACGCCTGGGATGTCCCAGCCTGCACTGGCCCTGGGGGAGCCTCCTGAGGAGGACTGGGTGCGGCCGCGGACCCTCCAACCCACTCTGGCCCTGCCAGCCTCAGGGCTCTGGGGCCACAGGTCCTGAGGGCCCCTGTGCCGGGGCTCTGTCCCTGGGTGGCTGGGGACAGCCCTGCTGCCATCCCCACCCAGGCCCCACCCAGGTCCCTGCCAGCCTGACTATCTGCCTCTCCTGAGCCCAGGCCTCCTCACGCTAGGGGGCTCAGTCAGGGACCCCGAAACTGCCCCCGGGCACAAGCCTCACCCAGGACAGCAAGTCGAGGACCAGGTGACATAGGTGCTCAGAAAAACAAAGCTTGGCCGTGAACGAGTCACGGCTGCTTCACCCTCAAACGGGTTGGCGTGGCCCGTGGTGCTGAGTGATCTCGGGCAGGTGACTGCAGGTGGAGGCAGCCGGTGCTGACCACCAGCAGGGCTGGGCACGGCCCGAGATGATGCCAGCCCCAGGTGCTCGCTCGGAATGCCTGGTTGGGTGGCTGCCTTGCCCGCCTGGCACACGGAAGGAGGTGCCACAGGCCTGACTGTCTTTCCTTGCTCTAAGCCCCGCCCCTGGGAACCGGGCCTATCGGACCCGAAGGAGGTGCTCACAGCCCAAGGGGGCTCTGCAGGTTGGGCAGCACGTGCCCGGAGTGGTGGGAGTGCCAGGTGTGAACCGCGCAGAATCTGGGCAGGAAGCAGGGATGGCAGTGGGTGCCCTGGGGTCCCCGGCCATTCCTGTTATCTCAGGGACCCCTGGGGCAGGTGGGCCTGGCACTAGGTGTCCTCCTCGGCATGGTCCATCTGCAGGTCATCTCTCTGGGCAGAAGGCAGCCTTCTGTGCAGTGCAGGGGCAGGGACCTTGTCCCCGTGGGCCAGGCGAGATGGCAAGGTGACAGCTCCCATCCGAAGCTGGCCTCTCAGCCCCGGCACCGGCTCCTGCCTCCTGCTCTTCAGGGAAGTGCAGGGGCTTCTGGGCTGGTTCTGGTCCCAGGGGCCTCTGTCATGCAGCAGCACATGGCTGGGCCCACGGCAGCCGCTGCCAGGGTGGCGATGTCCTTTGGGGACAAGGAGGCAGCCTGCGGCCTGAAGCCCACTGCCCTTGGCCCACTCTGGGGGTCTGAGCCGGGGCTCCGGTCAACAGAGGTAGTTTCCCCGCTGTGCTGCCCACTGGCCCGGCAGGGTGAGGGCTGCTGGCTCCTGCCATCCAGGCAGATGTCTCTCATTGCCAGCTGCCATGCTTCCTGGGCAGAGTGCACCGGTGCAGGGCCCACAGCCCCTGTTTATCTCGTGTTTATTTCTGTTGCCATTTTCCCTTGCCTGAAGCCACGGAGCTGCGGGCTACATCCGCCTGAGGTCTGGCTCACCCTCGTGTGGCCTTGGGCGGCTCCTGGTGGGCCAGGCACAGGGAGGAGCTCGGGAGGAATGCAGCCACTTCCGGCCGCCACCGCAGGACGCGGCCACTCTCCGGGGCTGGGGTCTCCCAACTGCACCAGGAAGACTCGGGAGCGGGTGAACAGAGCCAGAAGTGAGACCACACCAGCTGGCCGCCCTGGGCCCACGCTGGCCAGGGAGAGGAGGCCACAGCCAACTCAGGGCACGGGGCCCTGGGCCGGCAGTGGCTGCTCTCCCCACCTCTCTTGAAGCACCGCTTCCCGGGCAGGAGGCCAAGGCCAGAAAGGGCTGCACGAGACCCTGAGTGTGGTCATCAGGGGATGGGGCAGGCCAGGGTCCCCTGTGTCCCCCATCAGGCCCCCCGCTAGGCAGGAGCTAGCACCCCAAGGCCCGCCCCCCGTGGCCAGGGCTGGACAAGAAGGGACGGAGGGGGGTCCCAGGGAGGGCACCTGCCCAGCAAGTTGAGGCGGGGCTGCAGGTGCAGGTGGCTGCGTGGCCATCCAGGGCTCACGGCCCAGAGAGGCTCCCAGGGGTGGGGACAGGCAGCCCTGCACAGTCCGCCCCGCCTCTGCACGCCCTGCCCACAGGTGCTGGGGGCTGCACGCGCCTCACCCTGCCCCAGGCTTGGCCGAGGTAGCAGCTGCGGTGGGCGCCCATCCCCTGCCTTGCCCTCCCCTCCACGCGGGCGGCGGTGACATCACGGTGGCAGCGGGAGGGGCCTGGGCGCCCCGCGCACATCACTTCCTCAGCTCCTCCCGCGGTCGCAGACGCTCAGCTCGGACAGGCGGCAACGCGGACAGCGGAGAGGGCGAGGGGCGGCGCTCTCTGCTCCCCCCATGGCAGGCCCGGCCCCGCCCGCGGCCGAGGAGCTCCCGGGCCCTGCTGCCAGGCGCCTCTACTCCAGGTAGGAGGGGAACAGGACAGCGGAGGGAGAGCGGGGGCGGCCAGCCCGGAACAAAGGCGGCGGCACTTGGTGGCGCGCAGCGTGACCGGGGACGCGCCTCCCTGGCCACTGCCGGCCGGGTGCGGGGGTCGAGCAACAGAGGCTCTGCCTTCAGCCCCTCTCCAGCCCAGAGGGACCCGGAGGGGATGCAGCTTCTCCTCCTGGCTCTGCTGGCCCCAGGGCCTGGCACAGTACGGGGCTTGTTGCCCAGAGGCCCCTCTCTAGCCTGGCACTGCCGGGACCCGGGGCAGGAGTGGCATGGCTAGAAACCAGAGACCAGAGTCACAGCTGGGGCTCTCCCATTCCCTGGCCACCCCGAGCTCCAGGCCAGCTGGTCCGGGACAGGAGCCGCCACCAGGTGGGCGTGTACCTGCCAGCAAAGACATCTGCCCTAAGCAGACCACAGGTGAGCTGGCAGCTGGGGATGTCAGAGTGGCCCTGCCCGGGTGACACCTGCCTGCCCATGACTCCCGGCCCATGGAGGATGCTCCCCAAGGTGGTGCCCGGCGGGGCTGAGTCCCCTGAGTGGACCAGGTGCTGCCAGTTTGTTCAAATCTCAGGCAGGCAGGACCAAGCAGGCCTGGGGGCTGGGTGGGTGATCCTCAGTGACAACCCCATGGCAGAGGCTGAGACAGGCTATTCTCTGCCATGGCCCTTGGCCCTGACTCAAGAACCACTGTACCCTTCCCTCTGGCCACCCTGAGGCCTGGGGGCTTCGCTGCACTGCTGGCCCCGAGGAGACTGACCCAGCCATGCTGCCCGACACACCAGAGGAGGCGCGCCACCCCACCTTTCTGTGTTCTGCCGCTGGGGAGACACAGCCCCCATTGTGCAATCTCTGGGTCAGAGCTGGGCCATGCAGAGGAGGGGCCGGAGGATGGGTCCTGGCCACAGACCAGGAGGCCCCCAGGAACACTCCCCAGTGTGGGGGCTTTGAGGGCTGGCATTTAACAAGGGGTCAGCCAGCTGTGCAGGATAGGGGGCGGCTGTGCCCCTCAGGCTGACCACAGGGGCTGGCCACAGCCAACATCCTGTCAGTCATCTGCAGGACCCCAGGAGTCTGGGGTCCCATGGGGACGTGCAGGGCAAGCCCACCTTGGGGAGCCCTCCCCAGGCGGGACAGCACTCAGGGACACCTGGAGAGGCTCTGGGCTGGCTTGGCATCCGCTCCTCCACAAAGGGTTGAGCCAGGCCCAGACTCTGGCTGAGTGAGCCCGAGCCTCCAAGGAGGGCACTTGGGCCTTGCCTCGGGTCCCAGTGGGCTGGGCAGCCCACTCCTGGCCAGAACTGGCTCTGGGGGCCAGGAGGACGTGGAGGACACGGAGGTGGCCGGTAGTGGGCAGGGGCTATGGGCAGGGTCCTGCAGCATCAGATTCAGTAGGGCCCCTGAGGCAGGGAAGAAAGACGTCCACGTGTCATCTGTCCCCTTCCAACTCCAGTCAGTCAGCTGCGGCACGGGAGCCAGGACTGTGGCCCCTGGGCGCGTGACACCTGGTGGATAAGGAGCCCTGCACTTTTTGGGGGACAAGCGTCGTACCCCGCATGGAGGGGCTTTGATTCTAGGAGGCAGCTGGGCCTGAACAGCACACCAAAGTGGGCCGGGGGTGCCCTGTGAGCGCCCCCAGTGGCCACACAGAATCCCCAGCTGGGCGGGAGGGGATCTGGGGAGCTAGGAGCAGTGGGGGCCAAGGTGGGGTCAGCATGGGGCCCCTGGTTGGGAGGAGGGCCCTGGGATAGGGGGCCCAGTTTCCTCTCCTGGCCTCCCGACCCCTTGGGCCAGCATCCAAGTGCTCCAGCCGCCCTGGGAAGAGGTCAGCTCTGTCAGAAGGAACCCTGGGTGGTTCCCTAAGGAGGCACTCGCCATCCGCCCCCTGCCCCCCCTGCCCGGGCACTGCCCCTGACGGGTCCCTGGGCGGTGCCTCCCCCACCCCTCATGTCCTGGCCTGGCCTCCTCAGGCTGGTGACCTTTAGGTCTGCCCCACCCCCCAGTGACTCCTGCTCCCGCCATGCTGCCCGCCCTGTCGTCTCTAGCTCTCTCCCTGCCCCGGTATTGAAGGGTCTCACTCAGTGTGCCCTCTGGGGTGACTGGACAGGGGTCTGCTGTGAACAGGGTCTCGAGGGTTGTTCCCAGCATCCTGTGCCCCAGAAGAGGAGGCAGGTGAGGCCTCAGACCAGGGGATGGGCAGAGGGTCCAGCCTGGTGGAGATGCCCACGGGAGGATGCCATGGAGCCAAAGGGTGCACGGCTGTGGACTGCTGGCTCCCCCGGGGACACTGGGCTGGTACAGAGGCCTGGTGGTGGGGACACAGGATGTGGTGGCCACGGCAGCCACACTGGCCACTCCACTGACTGGGACACTGGCAGGCAGCCAAAGAGGCTTGGCAGACAGCGCCGTGGCTCCTGGCCGCTGTGGTCTGGCACTGGCCGCCTCTTTTCGGAGAGAGGCGCCGGGAGCGATCCTGCCAGGGGGTCGGGGGAGCGAGTCGGGGTGGGACCCCCGGGTGGGGCAGTCAGGCTAGACTGGTTGCCCGCAGGGGCAGGGTCTTTCTCCAGGGAGGCGGAGAGGTGGCTGCTGCCTGTCCGCTAAGCAGCGTCTCAGCTCATCGAGGTGGCAAATCCCAGGCAGAGAGCTGGGTGGCGTGGTTGATGGGGGCTGTGAACCTTCCCCTGCCAACCCCACCTCTGGCGTGAGAGTGGGCTTTCTGGGAGCCCTAGGAGTGCACAGGCCTTCTCAGGGCCTCAGGGCTCCAGACGGCCCAGCCCGGGTGGCTGCAGCCTCTTGGGATCCCTGGTATGCTCAGGTATCGTGACAGGAGACCAACGGGGTCTACCAAGGCCAGACGTGCTGTGGAGGGACAGGGAGGGCAGGGGGCCCTGCAGAGCTGGCTTGGTGGGGTCTGGGGAAACCAAGGGCCTGGCCAGGAGAAGGTGGCCCAGTCCTCGCCCCACCCTGACTGAGCCGTCCCAGTGTGGACCATGGCCTAGCCTGAGTGGGAGCAGGGAGTGCCCAGGGCCTGCAGCACTTGGGGTCTTGCTCCAAGTGCTCCACGGTGGCCTCAGGCTGCAGGGCCCTCCCCACCATCCTGCTCACTCTGAGCTGGCCCTCCTCACTCAGCTTCTCAGCCTCAAGGACCCCTGGGTGGGCGGGCTGGGGGCCTCAGACCAAGAACCTGCCGCTTGGAGCCCCTGAAGCTGGACCCGGTGTCTCCTTCTGCCCTGGGGGATCTGCCCAGGCCCCGGGAGGGCTCTGTGCTCAGCTTCCTCAGGATGTGGAGCCAGGGAGCTGAGGAGGAGGAGGCCAGGGCCTGGGTGGTTGGGGATAGCCTCATTGGCCAGGGGTGGCCTGCCCTAGCCGATGTGGCCTACACACTGGCTAACCGGGGCCTGGTGCTTACCTCAGATGGCCCAGCAGGAGGTGGAGTGTCGAGGACTCTGTGTCCTATGTCAGTTCAGCCTGCTCTGTGCCGGGCACCTATCCTGGGGCCAACTGGACTGCCGCAGTCAGGCCAGGCTGGCCCAGGTCAGCAGTGTATTGGACATGGGGTCCTGAGAGGACAGGAAGGGCTGGGTGCCAGCCCTGCCCAGAACCCCAGCTTCTCCATGCTGGCTCAGGCTCCAGCGCTGCCAGGCAGGTGCTGCAGGGGCTGCTCAGCACCTAGTACAGGCAGCCCCGGCCTTCCAAGGACCAGGGTCGGGGCATAGAGCTGGCCACAGGGCTGGACCACATATAAGCTTCCTGAGGAGTTGGCGATAATGCAAGGTGGCCAGTACCACTCAGCCTGGAGGCTGCTGGCTTCGGCGCCCGGCCCCCACAGGAGGCAGGAGGATTATGTGCTGGTCCCTGGCCCTGCCCAGCCTCCCCGACAGTGTCATTGGCCTCTGAGCTGCTCCTGATCCCTCAATCCGGGTCAGGCAGGGGACGGAGGCCCCAGTGCACCTGCCCCGGGTCTTCGAGAGCTGCGGCCCTGAGCCTCCAGCCCACCACCCTGGGGCCGGGGGACAGGGCATCTTGAGGCTGCCGGAGAGAAGCTGCAGCCCGGTGCTGCCAGCCCCGGCCATGGAGGGCCAGCCGCTGGCCCTGAGCTTGGCAGAGAAGGCTGTGTGCAAGGTGGTGTACGGTGCCCCCCGCCCGCGCCCGCTGCTGCTGCCCGTGGGCCTGGAGCTGTGGCTGTATGTGCAGAAGATGCGGAACGTGCGGAGGGAGAGGTGGGCCGGCCTGGCGGGCAGTGGAGGCTCCCTTGGCGTCTCGAGAAGGGCCCCTGGCCTGGACACCTGCAGGCATCCCCCGGCCACACAAAGCCCCTGCGTGCCCCTCCCCGTGCATCCGGCCCAGGGTCTTCCTGAGGGAGAAGCCTCCTGCTCTGAGTCCAGGCCTTGTCCCCAACCAGACCACGTCCTGGAAGGATGGTGGCAAGGGGCCGGCTGTCTCTAGGCAGCAGAGACAAACAGGCTTTAATTAAGAAACCTGTGCATGGCCCCAGCTGTAGGAGTGGGGCTGTATTGTGGCTGGTTGCCATGGTGACCGTGGGCTCTGTGACCAACATGGCATCCGGACGACCTTCCCCAGAAGAGTAGGCCCTCTGGGGAAGGGGGCTGCAGGCAGGGCTGGCCTCATCCCTGACCTTGGCTCCCCAAGGGCTCTGCTGGCCTCTATGGGGAGCAGGTGGAGGTGGGATCCCCAGCCCAGTCAGCGTCCACTGTGGAGGTGAGGAGCTCACTGTCCTCAAGGCAGGGACCCTGCGGTCACCTGCACACCTGAGCTGCGACAGTGCCCCATGTGCAACATCTGCCTGAGGCTCTGCAGTCCTCGGGGGCAGTGCCTGGCCATGGGCCCAGGTGAATGCCACCCCACTGCCTCTGGCAGGGAGGCCAGACAGGCACCCGTGGCCATGGGAGGTGCCACTCCAGCCAGGGCCCAGCCTCCTGGCACTGCTTGGGCAATGGCCAAGGGTCCCAGATCCTCTGTGAGGGGCGACAAGCTCCCAGCACTCCAAGTCCAGGTCCACCCTGCCCTGGGAAGGGACTGCTGCCCTCTCCAGGGAAGAGCCGCACGTGCCTGCAGCCCTGCCCTGAGGAGGGCTCACGGGGTGCGTGCAGGGAGCCCTGAGGTTGAAGACAGCGGAGGAGACACTGCCAGGACAGGACAAGGCCTGGGTCCCCAGGCTGGCAGGCCCCAGGGGAGAGGGGCTCATCTCTCGTAGCCTCCACCAAGGGCAGTGGCACCGAGGTCTGTGACCCCCACAGGGCCATGGGTGGACTTGGGGGCAGGTGCTGGGCTGGCCACGAAGGGGCGGGGCCAGCTTGGGACACACTGCGGCCTCTCTGTCACGGACGCTTCCCAGCCAGTGCAGCAGCAGCTGCTGCTCAGCCCGTGGCGAGGGGGCCCTTGCTCAGACTTGCCACCCTGCGCCGCAGACCTCTTGCTAGTGGACGGAAGCCTGCTTGGAGGGTGGGGTCCTGCCTGGGGATCAGGTCCCACCCTGTGACCCCGGGCTTCCCTGGTGCCCGGTGGGTGGTGCAGAGTTGACCCCAGGGTGCCAGGGCACTCAGAGCTGTGGCCCTTCAGCCTGCGCCACCGGATATGGAGGAAAGGCGTTGGGCGGTGGCTCCCGCACCAAGCTTGGCCAAAACCGAGCAGGGTGCGGTGACCAAGGGGCTCCTGTGGTCCTGACTCGTACCTCTGCCTGGCGCGCCTGGCCCTGGTGGCTGGGGCAGAAGGGAGGCTGGGTCAGAGGTGAGCTGCGCTGGGTGCTCACCAGGGCGCAAGCGGTGGCCCAGACCCGGGGAGCGGTGTGCCAAGTGGCCGCGTGGGGGTGCGGGTGACGCTCCTGTCTCCCCCAGGATGGAGGCCTCGTGCCTGGAGCTGGCTCTGGAGGGTGAGCGGCTGTGCAAGGCGGGTGACTTCAAGGCGGGCGTGGCCTTCTTCGAGGCGGCAGTGCAGGTGGGCACAGAGGACCTGAAGACGCTGAGCGCCATCTACAGCCAGCTGGGCAATGCCTACTTCTACCTGAAGGAGTACGGCCGCGCCCTGCAGTTCCACAGACACGACCTGCTGCTGGCCCGGTGAGCGCCAGGGACGGGCCCATCACGGGCATGGACAGCTGGGAGGCTGTGATGGTCAGCTGCCGGGGCCAGACAGCCAGGGGGCCAGGTTAGGAGGGCCCTGGTGGCTGTTGTCAAGCCAGATGTGCCTATTCACGTGAGCATGGGTGTGGCCAGGGCTCCGCATCTGTTTTTTTGACTGTCCCCGTGTCCCCAGGTATCTCCTGACCCACCTGGAAGTCTCGCCCGCGCCTTCCGTAGTCTGGGACTCTGGCTCATTTTTTATGCCCCCTTCGCCTCTGCGGTGGTGTGGCCAGGCCGGCACCCCGCACCCTTGTCCTCCCTGGGAACCAAGCTCCACGGGCTTGGGGCCTCCCTCCCGTACCCTCCACTCCCCAGCACCACCCGTGGGCTCTGTAGGGTCTCCTCTGCCCATGCTGTGCCCCTCCATGCTTCCTGCTCTAACCTCCAGGAGGAGGAGATGTCCCCCAGCCCTGCCCTCAGCACTGGGCCTGGGGTCCGTGCTGGCAGCAGGCAGCCAGTCTCACTGCTTAAGTTATGGGGTTAACACTCTGGGCAGGGGGCTTGCCCCAGCCTGGCCCAGCAGAGGAAGCGACTCTGAGCCGGGGACCCAAGCCCATGGCTGCCCTCAGGCCAGGCCCGCCCACCCCGAGGGTCCCTGTTCAGTGTCACGCAGGGGACACAGGCTCACGTCAGCCCCAAGCTGCCTCTCAGGCCTGGCCGGTCCTCAGCCTGGCCCCTAACTGCTTCCTGCCCTCCAGGACCATCGGCGACCGCATGGGGGAGGCCAAGGCCAGCGGGAACCTGGGCAACACACTCAAGGTCCTGGGCAGATTTGATGAGGCTGTGGTCTGCTGCCAGCGGCACCTGGACATTGCCCAGGAGCAGGGGGACAAGGTAGGCTGTCGTCCCCAGAAGGCGGACGAGGGAGGTGGCCATGTTCGCTTGCTGGGCTGCCGGCCCCTCCCACCCCGCCCCAGCTGTGTCCAGATCCAGCCCCACTGTGTGTCCCCTGCAGGAGGGAAGACACAGTGACTCCCACTGACAGCAGTCCGAGGTCCCTCAGGACTGGGGGCCACTTCCAGCTCACGCTGACCGTCAGGGCCGGGTCCCGGCCGCCCAAACCGCCCACCTCATGTCCTCACTCACTCGGCTCCCCAGGGTCCAGGGGCAGAGTCTGCAAGTTTCAGGGGCCAGTTGAGGGCCTGGCCATCTTTACCACCCCAGCAGGCAGCAGGGAAGGAGCAGAGCTGGGCTCCTCTGTCCCCGCTCCTTGGCCTGGGACAGTAGGCCAGGGGATGGGCACACAGGCACACGGGGGACCTCAGAGGCACGCCCAGACCCCTCATGCCGCCCACAGGTCGGGGAGGCCAGGGCGCTGTACAACATCGGCAACGTGCACCACGCCAAGGGCAAGCAGCTCTGCTGGAACTCGGCGCAGGATCCTGGGCACCTGCCGCCCGAGGTGCGGGAGACGCTGTGCAGGGCCTCGGAGTTCTACGAGTAAGCAGGCACTTCGGACGGCAGGGCCCGCGCAGCAGGGGCTCTGCAGGGCTGTGTGGGCCCTGAGAATGAGCGGCAGCCCCAGGCACGGCCCCTCCCAGCCACACCCTCGCTCCCCCACGCCCATCACACCTGTCAGGCCCTCACCAAACCCCAGACGCCAAGCTCAGAGGCACTGGAGCCCGGGAGCCCGTCCAGCCGCCCCCGCCCCGCCCCCTCTGGAGAGGCCAGCACCCCCCTCACCTTCTACCCGGGTGGGTGGGGCATGGCTGCTCCGGGGGAGGGGGCTCATGCAGTTCTGCCCCCAGGAGGAACTTGTGCTTGGTGAAGGAGTTGGGTGACCGTGCCGCGCAGGGCCGGGCTTATGGCAACCTGGGCAACACCCATTACCTGCTGGGCAACTTCACGGAGGCCACGACCTTCCACAAGGAGGTGCTTGCACACGGGCTTGTGCGTTGGGTGGGCTGCATTAGGGTGGGGCCCGGTAGGGCTGGTGGGCCCACCTACCCCTGCTCCACCTGCACCAGATTCTGGGGCTCCCGTCTGCCTCCCAGCACTCAGTCATGGGGTGTGAAACTTGGGTGAGGGGCAGCACCTGCCGGTCCTGTCAGGGCCCAGGGCTGCTCTGTGACCCCGGCCCGGTCTGTCTGCAGCGCCTGGCCATCGCTAAGGAGTTTGGGGATAAGGCGGCTGAGAGAAGGGCCTACAGTAACCTGGGCAACGCGCACATCTTCCTGGGGTGCTTCGACGTGGCTGCGGAGTACTACAAGTAGGTGGCTCCCCCAGGCCCGTGGTGGGGGAGGGAAGGGAGGAGAGGACTCCCTCAGAGCTGGGGGGCCCTTGGTGGCACAGGGAAGGCCAGACAGTTGCAATTCACAGGGGTCCCCAGCTTGTGCAGTTCTCTGGACCTCCTGCCCATGGAGCAGGGCTATCCAGGTGGAGCAGGCCCTGCTGTGAGCCCTGAACTCCCATCTCAGGCCCTGAGCAGAGGGTGTGGCCATCCTGGGGGCACACCCCCCCACGCCAGCAGAATGCTTGGGCTCCACAACGTTGGTGGGGACCCAGGTGCATCTGTCGTGGCCCCTGGAGGACAAGGACACAGCCAGAGAGACCCAGGGTGGGCCCTAGGGCTGGTCCCTAGAAGGCCCCCTCCCCACCGCACACCTCCACCCGCACCTGGCGCTCCACGGAAGGGACCAGGAACCCTCTGCTGCCCTCTGCCCCTCTGTCTGTCCGGGGCTGACCCTCTGCCCACTCCGCAGGAAGACGCTGCAGCTGTCACGGCAGCTACGGGACCAGGCGGTGGAGGCGCAGGCCTGCTACAGCCTGGGCAACACCTACACGCTGCTGCGGGACTATGAGCGCGCGGCCGAGTTCCACCTGCGGCACCTGCTCATCGCCCAGGAGCTGGCTGACAGGTGTGGGGCCTCAGTCTTCTGCCACAGGGCACAAAAGGGACCCCTGGGCCCCAAGCCTCTCATGTCTGTGTGAACATCACCCTGGGAGACAGGCGAGAGTCTGTCTGGAGCAGGGCTGGGGACACAGAGCCCCTGGGACAATGGAGATGTCTGGATGTGGACAGTGTAAATGCCACCGAGTCCTCCCTGTGCAGTGGCTAAGCCCCGCTCAGGAGGATTCCCCTGGACTGGAAATCAAATGGCCTAGGGACCTGGCTGCCCACCCTAGGGCTGAGGGAGCTCGGGGGTGATTGCCACACTGGCCACTAGGGGGCGAACCAAGACGCAGATCTGAGCCACGTGCTCCCCATCCCCCCCCACACACACACACAACCCCTGCCTTGGCCCTGCCCAGAGGGCCTGAAAAGCCCCCCTGAGGGCAGAACCAGCTCTGAAGCAGCCATTTCACATGCAGGCTTTTCCAGAGTTTTGTTTGGGGTTGTGTGAGTATCAAACCCCAGGGCCGTTGCACTGAGCTACATCCCAACCCCTTCTATACTTTATTTTCTGAGACTGGGTGTTTTTTCTTTTTTTTTTTTTTTGGTTTTTCTCCGGTACCGGGAACCGAACTCACGACCTTGCGCTTGCCAGGCAGGCGCTTTGCCGCTGAGCTAAATCCCCAGCCCCTGAGACTGGGTATCGATAAAGACATATTACTCAGGCTGGGCTCTAACTTGTGATCCTCCTGCCTCAGCCTCCAAAGTACAAGGGATACAGGTGTGCACCACAGAGTCCTGTTGTGCTAATGGTTTTGAGGGAATGGGATTCCTGCATCCGCTTAGGGCTGCTCCCTGGTGGTGGGGATTTTCAGGAGGCCCTGGCCTGTGGGCAGCTCTGGCCTGTGGCTGCCGCACTTAGGATGCACTGTCCTGCCACATTCTCAGTGCTGCCGGTCTTGGGGCCCGTGGTGACCTTTGCCGTCACCTGGGGTTGCAGGGTAGAGGCTGCCCCTGAGGGGCTCTCCTGGGGTGGCGGGCAGGTAGGGAGCACAGGTGTGGACCCTTCTCTCTGCAGGGTGGGCGAGGGCCGAGCATGCTGGAGTCTGGGGAACACGTACGTGTCCATGGGGAGCCCGGCACAGGCCCTGACCTTCGCCAAGAAGCACCTGCAGATCTCCCAGGAGGTGAGCGGCTGCCATGCACTGCATCCCTGCCAGTCTCTCGTCCTGCCCAGCGCAGGGCAGCACGCGCCTACGCCCTAGGGTATTAAGTCCCTGTGGGTCCTTCTGTTGCTCGTGCCCCTACCCCGGTGGAACCAGGCCACGGGGGCAGCAGGGCCCGTCCAGAGGGTCCCCCACAGCATGGACCCTCGGGTCTCTGCTGCAGGGCAGGCCAGGGTGCCTGAGAGCCTGAGCGCTTGTGGGGTTGTCCAGGGGCTTTGGGGATGCCCAGGAGAGACCCCTGCACTCCACTCTCAGGGCCAGCCCAGGCTGTCCAGCAGGACAGTGGCAGTGCACCGGGCCTGTTACAGCCCTTCTGGGATCAGAGCTCCCCACTCACCCCCGCTTGCTCACGCAGATCGGGGACCGCAACGGGGAGCTGACGGCCCGCATGAACGTAGCGCAGCTGCAGCTGGCGCTGGGCCCGCTGAGCAGCCCAGCCGCCACAGAGAAGCCGGACCTGGCTGGCTACGAGGCCCAAGGTGAGTCCCCGCGGAGGCCCGGGGCCCCGTTCCTTACACTCCACCCTCAGCCTGGCCAGGGCCGCGTCCGGGCTTGGGTCTGGCGGGAGGGGTATCGGGGAGTGAAGCCCCAGCCCTGTGCCGGGTCCCTGGGTACAGGGGACAGGGTGTGGGTGCTGCGCTGGCTGCTCAGGAAGGACAGCCCACCAGGAGGCAGTGAGCTCCCCAACCCCGGGCAGGTGCCCACAGCCGAGTGTCCTCCTGTCCTGCCTCACATGGCCCAGACTCAGAGACCCTGGCCCCTGTCAGGGCAGACGGTGGGGGTGGGGCGAGTGGACAGACAGCTAGGGGCCTGGAAGTGTGCTAGGGAGATGCGAGGAGTCCAAGGTGCGAGAGACACAGGCAGGGGCCTTGTTACCATGGGCAGCTCAGGGGCCAGGGGAGATTAGAGATGGGACAGAACGGGGGTTCCAGGGGCAGGGGCGACGTGAGGAAAGGGGTGGCTGGCTGGACACCCGCCCACTCCGGCAAGGTCTCCACTGTCCCCTGACACCAAGGACCTGTGGTCTCTCTGGGCCCCTCGGACCCACCATCCTAGTGGTACCACAGGGCTGACCGCGGGGAAAGCAGGAAGGCCACTGCTGCCCGCAGCCATGCCAGAGTGTTCCTGACCAGGGCCTCCCCGCAGGGGATGGTGCCAAGTGAGGCTCAGCCAGGGGCCTGGCAGCGTGCTCCGTGTGCAGATCAGACCGGGCGCAGCCCTAGATAGGGCAGCAGAGGCCACTCGGTGACCTCATTCACAGCCTGCTGGTCATCCACCAGGTCAGTGACCAGCTCACCCAAGGACAGAGCCTTCCCCGCAGAGCACACAGATTACTTCTTGTGCCGGCTGGTGAGGGTGCCGTGCTGAGCTGGGGGGAGGTGAGCAGGGGCCCCAGAGGCTGTGCTCCTGGGATGCCCACCCGCCTTGATCTCCAGGACCCCAGTGAGGGCTCTGTGCGCCGTGAGGGGTTTTCCTCCTCCGCCCTTCCTGCGCTGGGAAGGGCGCTGATAGCAGAGAGGTGGCCGGGTCCCTCCCCAGAGCTTCCACTGGGCGCGGCCATTTGGATGAGGGGTGGGGCGTGGGGTGGCGTGTGGCACACCCATCCCCTCCCCTGCTCCGGGATGTAGTGTGTCCCAGGCTGAGGTTCTCTGTCCAGTGCCCTGGCTCAGCCCCTGCCCTGTGTCCCCTGGCCAGCGTGGCCACTGGAAGCCCGGCAGAGGGTGAGGGCGGGGCTGGCAGCTCCTGGAAGAGCTCCCACAGAGGCGGCCAGCTCTGCATCCTCCTCATCCGAGCCAGGAAAGGGGGCACGTCACGGGTGAGCAGCCGAGGACAAGACCGCTCTGTCCTCCTGCCCCGCCTTCATGCTCTGCCCTGATCCAGTGCCAGGCCCTGCCCACCAGGGCCAACAGAAGCCTCCTCCCGCGGGGCAGTGGCGGCAGGGCCGCTGTGGGCACTTGGCAGCGTCTGTCCTGCCTGAGGACACCTCAGAGGCAGCGGGTTGGCAGCCTTACCACTGGGCCTGGGGGTTTCCAGCCCCAGGATGCAGCTGCTGAGGACAGGCCTGGCCCCTGAGAGTCTGGGTGGCCCTGGGCGAGCCCTCCGTTCAGGTGAGCCACAGGGGCAGGGCCTGGGGGGCCATGGGGAGTGTGGACTCTCGGGGGCCAGGTGCTGAGTGGCTTTTACAGAGGCGACATGGTCAGTCCTGCAGCACTGGGTGCTGGGTGCTGGCCCTGCCTTCCAGAAACTGCCGGGGGCTGCAATGGGCAGCTGCATGTCCAGAGCCAGTCGTATAGTTGGGGCTTGGGGAGTGAGGCGGGCGTCAGTGGTGGCAGAGATTTGCAAACCTAGCAGGGTGAGGGTGGGAGGGGTGCACGGTCGCGCTGCAGTGGACACGGGGCCCAGCGGTGGCTGCTGGCCTCGAGACCGGTGTTCAGCACCGCTTGCTTTTCCTACTTGATGACCACGGGTGACTTTTATTCACCGGGAGCCGGCCCTGCCCGGCCAGCAGAGGCCCCCACATGCGCCCCAATGGGCAGGGCCTCCGTGGCAGCTCACTGCCCCACCCCACCCAGCCGTCGAGGACTGGGGGCCACCAGAGCGGGGAGCAGTGTGTGACGGGAAGAGGGAGCCCGCTTGGTCCCTGTGGAGCTCTGTCCTCTGCCCTGTCCCCAGTGGGCCTGGGCTGCCCTCTGGGCCACATGGGGGGCATCTTCCACCCCTCTGTGCCCTGTGATGGTGGCAACAGCACGTGACCCCATCTCCTCAGGCCCCACATGTCCTGTTCCCACAGAGCACAGAAGGCGGGACCAGCGGGTGGAGGCAGTCTAGCCGGCTTTCACCTTATCTCTAACCTTCTGTAGAGAAGGGACTGAGGACAGGCTGGGCACTGTGGACAGGGCAGGGACAGTGACAGCCGTCATGGGCTGACAAGCGATTGACCCAGTCTGGCGAGGGTGGGGAGCCAGGTTTCAGACCTTTGGGGCCCAGGGGAGCTGCCCTTGGCTGGCCAGGGCGGGTGTGCTGCCCGTGCAAAGGACACAGGAGCCCGCCTGGGACAGAGACGCTGGCGGGGCCAGGAAGCCTTCCAGACCTCTCCTGGGCAGGCGAGAGGGACAGGAAGCCAGCAGGGGCCCCCAGGGCAGCTCAGCCACTGAAACTGGCCAGTCGCGCCGGGCCCTGGTAGACTTCAGACAGAGGGTGCATTTAGCTGGGCCCAGGAGCCTCCGCCCTGCCCGACCGGCCACAGGGAGGAGGTCGCCAGACGCGGGCGCGGGAGAAGCTCGGATGGGCCGTGTCCGCCTGTGCAGCGTGGCACAGCACGCACAGGCCAGGCACAAGCGGGGCCCTGCCGTGCAGGGTGTGGGACAGCGGGGGCCGCTGGCTGTGGTGAGTGAAGGCCCTCAGCTCCTGGGCAGCCTTGTCCTGTGCCTTGTGGGGTCCCCAGGCTCTGGGGAGCTTGAGCGACCACTGTCTTTCCCTCAGGACTGCCCCCTAACCAGGGACTGGGTTGCCCCTCAGAACCCCAACCCCCTACCTATCCTGTCCCCTTAGCACAAAGCTGCCCCAGCTCCAGCAGGGTGCGCCGGGGTCGGGAGGCAGGGAGGACCCTCGGAGCCCTATTGCCAGGGGCTGGTTGGGTGGACAGGCAGGGGGTGGCAGGCAGGGGGTGGCTGGTCGCTCCAGGCTGCGTTGGTATATACCGGAGGCGCCTGGCCCCCTCCCAGTCAGACCCCTCCATAGCAGCACCTGCCGTCCCCAAGTGGAGGTCACTTCACTTCTTGACCACTGGAGCACAGGGGCGAGGAGTGGCTTTGTCAGAGCCGCAAGAGGGACAGGGAAGGTGGATGGCATCCTCAGGTCCCCCACACCACTGCCTCTCCGTGCCACCTGTCCCTGCCACTCATAGCTACTGCCTACCTCCTAGGATGCCCTGGGCACTTACTTTAAGCTCCAGGCCAATGGCCAGGAGAGGTCTGGCTGACCGTGCCAGGCGTGGGGCGAGCCCCAGGTGTGCAGTGCCTGGCCCTGTCCCACGAGTGTCCTGGCACCAGTGGGTGTGCCACCCTTTCCTGTACTTGGTGTCTACCCACCTGCCTGCATCCCTCACATGTCTGGATAGAGGGGGGCATGGCGCCCAGGAGGCCAGTTCGGGGAGGGCACAAGGGTCCTCATGGGTGGCCATAGGGGGCAGTGTAGAGGCTGGGGTCCTCGAGTTGCCCGGCTTTCTCCACCCCCGTTCCCAGCGGGAGTGTGTGCCACCTCCCCTGTGGCTGGCTGGGTACCCCTGGTCTTGGTTCTGCCAGAGTCTGGGCTCCCTTTGCATGGGTACCCTGCCAGGCTGGCTGTCCCCAGACCCTGTGTCCTGTTCCATGTGCAGCACCTGAAGCCAGACTCACATTCCCAAAGCTCCTACCAGAGCCACTGTGTGGGCAGGGATGGTACTGGGGCCCAGGGCGGGGCTGCACCTGCCCCATCTAGGGACAGTTTGGGGCGAAGGTCAGGGGCTGTCCAGCTACCTGGGCCCTTCAGTAGCTCTACCACCAAGCATGCATCTGGTCAGTCTCTGGCCGGATGGCTGCTCCTTCGCCCTCTGCTGTGGCCGAGGACATGGGGTCCTATGACTGGGGACAGGTCCGAAAAGGAGTGGAGGCTGGCTCTGCCCCGCCTTGCCCACCACAGCTGCCCAGTGCCCGGGAACCCAGTGTCCCTTTGCTGCAGGCCATTGTCCCTGGGAAGGCCCTGCATGGCTGACCCAGGGCTCATCTGGGGCCTTGGTCCCCTCCGCCCTGGCGTGGGCTGCCCAGGCGGGACTCCGAGTCTCCTGTCTGCCCCAGGCCACTGTGCAGTGGCTTTAGAAGGGGAGCCAATGGCAGGAAGATGAGCCAGGTGGACCCCCGGGAGCTGCTGTGCCGGGGGCCTGGGACATGGTCGGGACGAGGGCCCTGTGCTCCAGGACTGTCCTGGGGGAGGGGCAAGCCCAGGCACTCCCACCTGGCTGCCACTGTCCAGGGACACAGCGCTCGCTGCAGTGGGGGCTGGCCACTCGTTGCTGGCCCCGGGCTTAGGCTAACATTGCTGATGCGGCCGCACTGTCTGCAGGCGCCAGACCCAAGAGGACACAGAGGCTGAGTGTGGAGGCCTGGGACCTGCTGCGGCTGCCCCCGGAGCGGGTGAGCGGGTGCGGGTGGACGGGAGGGCCGCGTCCAGCTGCGGTGGTGGGCTGATGACCCTGGGGAGCCTGTTTGCCGAGCTCTCACGGCCTGGCCCAGCCCTGTCTGCTGGGAGACAAATGTACCCTTGGTGGCCGCAGGCCCCGCCCGGCCCATCTGCCACAGCCCCCATCGCCCGCCCTCCTGCTTGCCGTGGCTCTGGGATAGGGTGCTCCTACCCATGTTCCCACCCAGCGCCAGCCCCACAGGCTCCCGCCTGCTCCCTGCCCACTCGGACCCTGCCCGAAGAGAAGAGAGCTTGGCTGGTGAGGAGCCGTGAGGAGGCCGGCGGGGTTCAGCAAGCCCCGGACGCACAGATTTGGGATGCAGTATGGTGCTGTGCGGCCCTGTGGCCTGTGTTTCCTCCGCTATAGCGTGGGCTGGGTGTGGACGCCTGCAGGGCCCAGCACGGGCTCCAGGCTCAGGCCCACTGTGGTCACCATTGTTGCCCGAGCAACAAGGCCAACAGCCTGGTACCCAACCCCGCCCTTCCTCTCCTCCCTGGGTCCTGGGCGTCCTGGAGGAGGAAGCAGCACCCTGAGGCCATCCTGAGCCGGGGAGGTTGGCTAGAATCGTCCCCGTAGACATATGCGCTGCCTCCTTCTCCCCAGGAGCAGAATGGAGACATGTACCATGCTGGGGACTGGCGGGGGCCAGGCAGGGACGCGCTGCCCCTTCCGGTGAGAAGCCGCAAGTACCAGGAAGGGCCGGACACCAGCGAAAGGAGGCCGCGGGAGGGCAGCCATTCCCCGCTGGACAGTGCTGACGTCCGTGTGCAGGTGCCCCGCATGGTAGGTGCCCTCGGATAGGCCGGGGACGGGCACTGTGGAGGCCAGGCTGGCCTGGTCGCTCCGGGAAGGCAGGGGCTCTGGTGGCTGCCTGGCACTCTCGGGCCTCAGTCTGTCTCTGCCCCTTCCCCCGCCTCCCTGGGCCTCCAGACCCATCTGCGAGTCACAGGGCTGTGTTTTTATTTTGGAAGTTCAGACTGGCCTTGAGCTCACTTTGTAGCCCAGGCTGGTCTCGAACTCACAGCGATCCTCCTGCCTCACCCTCCTGAGTTCTGGGATTACAGGTGTGTGCCACCACGCCCGGCGCAGGGCTATGTTCCTGACAAGGGCCTGGCTGAGGGAGCTGGTCCTCTTACCTTGGGGGTTCAGGTCCAGCCAGCAGGAACCCCAGCCCTGTGACCCCACAGGAGGCCCTGGGAGTTAGGGCAGTCAGCAATCCCAGCAGAGAGGTCAGGCCCAGCTTGGGGGCACCTGGGGGCTGCAGCTCCTGCTAGGCAGCAGCCTGTGTGTGTGGCTCTCCTTGTCCTATGCAGGGGCCAGGGGTAGGACAGCGGGGAAACACTCAGGATCACGTGAGGGATGCAGCTGGGGCAGTAGAGCCTTTGATGGAGGACAGTGGGAAGCTGAGTGCACCCAGGGCTCCCCACTCCACCCCGCCAGGGCCCACTGCACAGCCTGGATCCTCTGGGCAGGAGCTCTTCCCAGGGATAGAGTGTCGCAGCGGATGGGTGGGGCCAAATGGCCAGGTGTATGGATGGAAGCCGGGACACAGGTGGTGGTTGGGCCAGAAGGGAGCCAGTGGAGTTCAGGGTGCACAGAGGTGGGGTGCAGGTGTGGAGGAGAGCTCGGAGACCCCATGCAAGGTACCGGGGTTCCAATTCTGAGAAATTAGCCTAAAAATAACCCCCTCCTCGGGCCTAATCAGTGCCCCCGCCTGCAGAGGCCGTGGGCGTGCTGGGTATTCTTAGCTCCGTGCCTGCCTGCCTGCCTGCGGCCCACCCTTCCCTCCAGCGCAGGGAGGCTGCCCCGACTTTCCTTCCTGCTCCGCTCCCGTCACAGGAAGATGGCTGGGACCCTGGGGACCAGCAGGCCTCTTCAGGTGCAGCCTGTTTCTCACAGGAGCCCCGAGGGCCGCCATCACCAGCCACCCCCTCCCGGCATAGGGTTCAGGCCATACTGAGTGCTGAGGGCCGCCAGGCTCAGAGAGAGCCAGGGTCACCCGTGGGGCCTGTCTGGGGGTGGGCTGCTCCCTCAGCCCACCTTAGGGCAGGGGGGACTGGGAAAGGGCTTTCCAAGGCGCTGTCCTCCCCCGCCGCCTGCCTCCCGGTGACGCCCACACCGCGGGGGAGCGAGGGGCGCACTGCTGCGCTCAGGAGCCCGGGGAAGTGTTTACAGAGCAGCGCGGGTGTGTGCGTGTGTGCGTGTGTGTGTGTATGTGTGTGTGAGCCTGAGCGCGCACTCTCGGGTGTTGTGTGTGATCCAGCAAGGGCGGCGCTGGGGGGGCTGAGCCCTCGCCCTGGGTCCTATTTAAGCATCGAGTGAACACGGGGCCCCGCAGCGGCGGTGAGGCAGCGCCTGGCATTCGGGGCAGGTGTTGGCGGCGGTGGCATTGGGCATCTTGGCATCCTCCCAGGCTGCACTTGGCCAGGCGCCCTGTGCAGCTCTCTGCTGCTGCTGCAGGAAGGAGTCCGTGGTCCCGTGTGAGTGTGGGGTCCCTCGCCCAGGAGAGGCTGGGGGTTCAGGGGTCTCCGCTGGCCCAAATGGGCTGGACTTGACCAGTGCGTGCCCCCCTCCCTAGGAACTGGGCCTAAAGGAAAGCAGGGGAGATTGTAGCCAGACACTAGGAGGGGCTCTGGGAACTTCAGATGGAGTCAGGGCTGGGGACAAAGGAGAGGGTGGGTGCGGGGAGGCCCTCTTGGGACCCTGTGGTGCTCTCAGAGTTGTGCTCCAGGGTGGAGGCGAGGGGGCCTCCTCGGCAGCCCACCCAGCCAGGCTTTGTACCGGGGCCTTAGTCCTTCACCCCTCACACACAGGAGAATTGGCCAGCGGCTGGGGAGGGGTTTGACAGGTCCCGGGCCCTGGCCATGACACTGCTGTGACATCCAGCCACCCCCCTGGGTAGGGCCAGGGGACCCTGGGGCAAACCCTGCTCCCCTTTGCATGCATCACTTCTGCCAGGGAGGCTGGCACGGAGGTGAGGGCGCCCCCATCCTGCCTTTCCCAGAGGGGCCCGGCTGGGTCATCTGGGGGAGCTGACTGAGCCACCCCACCTGCCCTGTCTGGCTGGGTCAGGGGCCCACAGCTCCCTGCCGGCGTCTGCGCAGCTCCTGGCCATCCTTTGCCCGGCTGAGGGTCCCGCGGCAGTTCCCCTTCTCTCCCAGTCGGGATGACAGCCCGGGGCACGGTGGGGGAGGGCGGACCTGCAGGCCCCAGGTGGGCAGGCTTTCCTTTTCCAGCTGTGACTGCCTCCTGCCCATGCGCCCTCAGCTGGTCTCCAACATCACCTTCGGGCCCTCAGCCCGGTGCTAAGCCAGGGCAGGGACACACAGGCACACCCCCTGCCACTGGGCCTTGGCCTCTGGGCATAGGACTATCTCCAGCATGGGCGGACCACAGGTGGCAGAAACTTAAGACCGTGTCCAGCACTCAGCTGGCCGAAACTCTGCAGACCTGATCTGTTGTCCCTCCACCACACCCCACCCCCGGGCCCTTGGAGGCCTCCATGCCCCTTGTGGATGTACCAGGTGAGGCCCAGGGTCGCTCACAGGCTCAGGGATTATGTCAGGCTTTACAGCCCCTCCCCCACGGGTGGAACCTGCCTGGGCTTGGGAGAGTCACCCCAGGGCAGGTCAGCCTGTGTCAACCCTGGCCCAGGCTCCACTGGCCCCACTGATAGCTCGCTGTTGTCCAGGCCAGCCGGAGTCCCAGGCGCGCCCCGTACCCCAGGGGCAGGCAGGACTGGTGCTGGACTTGGGGCAGCCTGGGGCAGGTGACCTGGCACTTCTGAAGCCCCCCTGCCCTGGGGACTTCTCTGGGTGGAGGGCCCCATGGACCGGGGAGTTTTTGTCCCCCAATATCTGCCCTCAGCCACCGCTGGCTTACAGGAGGAGGGCCAGGGTGCTGGTGCCTCTCCCACACTCTGGGGGTCCAGACCCACCCACCTGTGCCCCCCCAGGGCACCGTAACCCACTGACCCAAACCTCGAGGGCAGCATGCCTGGGAGGGCTCCTGGCTTGAGTGCGGTCGCCTGTCCCTGCCATGCTGCCCACCACCAGCACATCGGTAGTGGCCACCCAGGCTACCTCCTGCCACGGTCTGCTCATGTGTCTGTCCATCTGTCTGTCCGCAGGCACGCACAGTGCTGTGCCGGGGTCTGGACAGGTGCACTTTGGCCCAGGGCGGACAGGGGAGGATGGCCAAGGCCGGGAGGGTACTGGACACAGCCGGGGAGAGCAGGCAGCAGCCTGCGGGTGGTAGCCTGGGTGTTGACCAAAGGGCACAGGGAGAGTCCTGACCTCAGCCCATGGCCAGTGCACTGAGCACATGCCCACACCCACCCACAGAGCATCCCTCGGGCCCCGTCCTCAGACGAGGAGTGCTTCTTCGACCTGCTGAGCAAGTTCCAGAGCAGCCGCATGGATGACCAGCGCTGCCCACTGGAGGAGGGCCCAACAGGTGCTGCCGAGGCCACGGCTGCCACACTGAAAGAGCGGGTCGGTGAGTCAGGGCCCAGACCATGTCCCCAGGTCTCCCTCCAGGTCCATGGGACCCTGTAAGCCCATGAGCGGCCACCGTGAGGGGCAGCAGGCCAGCTGCAAAGGACCCTCATCACCAAGCGCTGGCCCCGCCATACTTGTCCCCAGAGTGCAGCTGGGCAGCAGGTGATCACCCCACCCCTTGAAACATGCACGTCAGGAGTGTCAGTGGTCTCTGCGGCCAGGTCCCTGGGAGCACAGTGAATCCCCGCCCAGGTCTCATGCTTTGCCCCCTGCAGCCCAGCCCTCTGTGACGGCCTCCCCGCAGACCGAGGAGTTCTTCGACCTTATTGCCAGCTCCCAGAGCCGCCGGCTAGACGACCAACGGGCCAGTGTGGGCAGCCTGCCTGGCCTGCGCATCACCCACAATAACGTGGGCCACCTCCGCAGTGACGGGGACCCCCAGGAGCCAGGGGACGAGTTCTTCAACATGCTCATCAAGTATCAGGTGGGCCTGTAGCCGGGAGACCCAGGGCTTGGGGGCTCTGCCAGCTGCAGGGGAGGTGCCTGGCGGGCCACAGTGGCCCTGGTCCTTGTCTCAGGGCGTGTTCCAGGACCCCTTACATCCAGGGAACGGGACTACAGGCTGGCAGAGGGCTGGCATGGCCAGTGACACTGATGCCTATGGGGGCCAGGCCTGGGGCCCTCCAGCCTCGGGACCCTCATGCTGGCCGTTGTCTCTGCTGTGCCCAGCCAAATGTGAAACCTGCTCCCTGCCCAGGCCCCACACACAGGTCTGGGAAGACTTCCGGCCGCCGGCAATACAAGCACCCTGACAGCGGGCAGGGAGCAGAGCTGGGGTTTGGGGTCAGGAGACTGGATGGCTGGGGGTGGGAGCTGCGGTGCCACCCTGAGCAAGACCCACGTTTCCAGAGTTGACATTCGTTCCCACAGAGGAGGCGGAAGTGGGGCCGTGAGCCAGGTGTCTCAGCAGCCACCCTTAAGCCAGCCCCTTCTGAGAAACCCAGAACCCCCCATCCTCTCACATGCACGCGCCAGCAGCTGCAGCGGCTCCGATCCCTCCTGCTCCAGGCCCTGCAGAGAAGCCTGGGAGCCCCCCAGGCCACACCTCATCCCTGCCCAGCCAGCAGGTCTCGAAGCCTTGGCCACCCGGCCGGAGGGGAAGCCCCGGGAAGCTCGTCAGCATGGGCTCCAGAGCTGTGTGCTCCAGGCCTCCCGGGGCCCCTCCAGGCCAGTGCCAAGGGATGGCCACACCCCAGCCAGCGCCTAGGAGGCAGCAGGCCCTGGGAGCAGGCCCTAGGGTGGCCCCAGCAGCCATGTCCCGGGCCTGGCTCACTCCCCGCCCAGCAGGTATCACTCAACCCATTCTGGCTAGGGGGCACATGGCTCCAGGAGACAGCGCCAGGGCTGGGGCACACAGGGAGTGAATCCCCGCCAGCCAGGGCTGGGGCACACAGGGAGTGAATCCCCGCCAGCCAGCCCTCCCGAGCCAGGCCTCCTGGGAGAGGCCCTTCGAGGGCCAGGGCCAGGCAACCGCAACCTGCCATGTCTGCTCAGTCTTCCAGGATTGATGACCAGCGGTGCCCGCCACCCGACGTGCTGCCCCGGGGCCCTACCATGCCGGATGAGGACTTCTTCAGCCTCATTCAGAGGGTGCAGGCCAAGCGCATGGATGAACAGCGCGTGGCTCTCACTGGGAGCCCGGAGCAGGAGGCCGGCGAGCTGCCCAAGCCCCCGCAGCAGTGCCAGCCCGGTGCCAGCTAAGGCTGTGCACCCTGCCTCTGGATGCTGGGGGAGCTCAATACCCACAATGGCCAGGCCCCCAGGAAGCCACGGCTGAGGGCCAGCTCTGAGTCCCCCAGCCCTTCCCACTGAGCTGACACCGGGCGCACAGCCCCCCACCCAGCACCCCTTGCCTGGGCCGCTCAGCCTGGAGCTGCCCACGAGGGAAGGCGTGCTCCTGTCCCTGCTCGGTCCCTGGCTTCCTGCAGGCCCCGCCCCGCCCTGCTCTGGGCCCTCAGCACGTGGCCCCAGCCCTGGTGCTGTCCAGACCCCCTCCCAGGCTCCACTGTGCCCAGCCAAATGTGAAACCCACTGTCTCCCTGGGCCCCATGAGGAGCCCTGGGAAGACTGCCTGGGGCTGCCAGCATCACAGGCAGCTACTGTCCCCAGCTGGTCCTGGAGGACAGCGGTCATCCAGGCTCCGGCCTTCCGCCTCCCACCCAGCTACTGGAGGCAGAGTCCGGCAGTGCAGAGCCCCCAGCACAAGCAGCCTGGCCCAGAGGCAGGGCAGGCAGGTCCTGCCCGGCCCCGTCCACACAGAAGACGAACAGGGCAGCAACTCCAATCCTCCACACCCCCTGGAGCAGACAGACCGGGTCACAGGGTGCTGGTTGACAGCAAGTGCCACATTGAGTTGGGGTGGTGATGGCTCACCATGACCCTGGGACCCCCCATGCGCACCTGCCCCTCACCAGCTGGGCAATGACCACCTTCTCCCACACAGAAGGGCCCAGCCTGCAGCACCATGCTGGGGACCCCAAGATTTGGGCGGGCCCCACTTTGAGGACTGTGGCTGTCTGCTCCCGTGCAGACCCCTGCCTGCAGGCTCTGGGGTACACACAGCCCCTTGGTCCCCACGGCGTGTGGCAGCCACAAGGTCCCCGCCCAGGGGGACAGCGAGGCTAGAAGACCAGCCGGGTCATCAGCATGGTGACCTTGCTTCCAAGAGGGGGCAACCTTGGGCGATGGGGAGACCCAGAAGCAGGGGTTGGGGCTGGGTGCCTGATACTTGAATGTACATGTGTATTTATTGCTCACTCGCGTGTGCCATGTCGCCCATGGGTCCCCACCACCACCAAGAGGTATGTCTGCTTTTGTTTCTCCTGAAAAATAAAGTTTGCCAAGTGACTGTGCCCCCTGCTGGCATTACGGCATTGGGGGGACTGGTCCCCCAGAGGTGCCAGCCTGACATAGCACTTGTCACACGCCCACTGCCATCCAAGCCTACCTTGAATGCTGCTGTCAAACATGGTCGTTGGGAGGCCTCCGGTTTGGCCTTCCTGCTTGGTTACCGGGGACTGGGCTCAGCCCACCCGCATGAGCGTGTGTGTGCTCCACGCCAGGCCTCTACCGACCTCCATCGCCCCAGCCTCCCATGGAGAGGTGGCAGAAGCCAGATGCTCACAGCAGCCTGGCCTGCTGTTGCCACCCAGGACAAGGGGTGCAACCCAGAGCCCAGCTCCATGGGGATCCAGATGGGGCTGGTCCAGGAGCATTAGCGCAGCTCTAGGTGCATGGGGTGGGTGACACCCTGCGGGTGCAGGCTGGGGGACAAGCACCCGGACGTCCCAGTAAGGCAGCCCCTCTGCCACGGCCATCCTGTGCCCCGGCTCTGACCACACCCCTCCCAGGAGGGGCTGAGGCAACATGTGTGACCCCTCACCCGCAGTCCAGACCAGAACCACTGAGCCCTCTTCCCTGAGAAGAGTGCCCCCAGGAGGCCAGCTGAGACACGGCCAGGGCTCCCCTGGGTTGAAGAGCAGCTGACCCTGGACGAGGGGTCCAGTGAGGACAGCAGGTACCAAAGATGAGAGGGAGGGTGCCGGCAGCGAGGACGCTAGACAGAGGGTCACGCCAGTGACCACTGTGCTGGGCCCGATCACGAGGACTGGACCCCAAGCACTCATCTGGACCCCAAGAAGTCAGACGAGCTGTGGGGAAGCCGGGGATGCAGCCCTCTCCGGCAGACTGACATGTTGCGCACAAGGCGGGGAAGGCCGGGCAGCTCAGAGGTGGTGTCCACCGTCCCTCTCAAGGGGAGAATCGGGAGAAAAGGTGAGGTGGGTGAGGGGGACGCGGCCACTGAGGTTCCTAGTGGGTCACGGCAGCCTGACGACAGACTCTGCCACCCTGTCCCACTGGTCTCCGCATCCCACAAGGCCCAGCTCCCTGGGGGTGAGGTGTCCCGCAGGGGACACTGTGTGGGCCCCATCTCACCGGCCTCCGGGCCTGACCTGGCCTAGGCCTGTGGACCCAGAGCACCGTCTAGCAACACTCTGCTGCTGCCTGGACAGGGACAGGGACACGCAGGGGCTGCGGTGGGCATGCTGCCTTCAGACAGGATGGAGCGGGGGGTGCTGGGGATTTAGCTCAGGGGCACGGCACCAGCCTGGCAAGCGCAAGGTTGGAGTTCGATTCCTGGTACCAGAAAAAAAAAAAAAGGCACAGGGAGGCCAGTAGTGGAAGCGGCCGCTGCACGCCTGGGACCCTGCCAGGGGGCACGGTGGTATGGCCAGGCCTTTACTGTGGTTTCCACAGGTGAGCAGGGACCAGGGGGCTGAGGGCTTGGTGCTGGCCGGCCTGAACAATGCCAGGCTCCGGGCCGCAGGTGGGCTGGCTCAGGTGTCTGGTACCTCGCCCTAGGTGAGGCGTGCAGGGCACAGTGGCCCAGTGTAAGTCTGAGGCGGACAGGGTGGGTGTGGGCTCCACACTCACAGTCAGCAGAGGAAGAGGCTGTCAGACCCTGGAATATGGAAAAGACAGGGTGAGTACCCACATCTGCGTCGTGGGCCTCAGTTTCCCCATTCATAAGCTCAGGATCCAGCCTGCCTTTCCAGGTCTGGCCAGCAACTGACTGTCCTGAGTCCAGACCCTTGCAGGCACAGAGAAGCCCAGGCCCAGCCCAGCTGGGCCACCTCACCCACTCCAGGGCCCCCGGAAGCCCCAGCTCATCCCTCATGACCTTGGGCCTCCATGAGGAGCAGGCTGGAGGCGGGGGGCAGGCCCAGCCTTGAGGCTGACAACGGTTCCCACAGGCAGGAGGCTCCGGGTGGGGCTAATAGCAGGCTGCTAGCAGAGGAAAGGACAGGGGGTAATCGAACCAGGGCACACGCTGTACCCACACCCAGCCGCCCACGACGGCATGAGCTGGTAATCACTAGCTGGGTCCCTCGGGACGGCGCATTGTGTCCCTCTCTCGCTTGGCTCAGCCGCCACCCACCTCTCTCCCCTTTTAGGTCCCTCCCTGCCAGACAGGGCTGGTGATTAATGATGAAGGTCACACAGCAGAGAATACTTCTGGAAACCACGCCTGCAGTCACTCACTTCCCTAAACACAGAAACATCCTGAGCCTCAGTCAAACAAAGCCGGGAGACGAACCACACGCAAGGGGCGGGGCCGGGGCCAAGTGGCTTGGGGACCCTCTGCCAGCTCAGGCTCCCCTCCCAAGCTCTGGCATGTCCATCCCGTCCCGGGAGTTGCAGGAGACACAGGAGGAAGGCAGGTAAGCATGCCCTGCCCAAGGCCATACAGGTTCCCACGCCCAGGCCCTGCTCACCTGGATGCGGGCAGCCTAGCTGCAAACAGGGAAAGAGAGTGTGGCAGAAGTTGAGCCCAGGCCCGGTGCTCAGGGAAAGGGTTCTGAGCCCAGAACGGACAGACCAGAGAGCCGGGCCCCAGGCGCAGAGGTGAGGTTTACTGACTGGAAGAGGCTATGTCCAAGAGACCCAGACCAACCAAACGTCCCCGTCAAAGGCAGCCCTCAGCAGCGGGCAGGAACGTGGAGTCAGCTCGGCTCTGTCTTGTGAGGGTGGGCGGCATCCTCATTGTCACCCACTTCTGGGCCCACAGGGGACTTGGGGGGCCCTGCAGTCTCCAAAATCAGTTCCAGAGCCCCTTCGCTGGCCACCCGGTGCACCTTCTCCCCTCTGGCAGCCAGGATCTCTTCAATGTTCCTGCAAGACAAGGAGGCGATGCTACCCATGCACACGGCTCCCTCAAGGGCACCCACGGCCAGCTTCGGCCAGGAGTGTGGTACCAGTGTGATGTGGCAGCAAGACCAGTGAGGTACAGCACGGCAGGGGACTGCATCCCATTCCCAGGGGCAGAAGAAAGAGTCCCCACCGGGGTCTGCCCAAACCATGGGGCCACGGCCCAGCACCACGCCAGTGCCTGGCACACGGCTCTCATGGGACCTCTGCCACAGCTCTGCCGGGCACTGCTGTCCGTGCCCATACCCAGGGGAGAACGCAGCTCTGAAGCCATGGACAAGGCCGCATGGAGGGAGCAGCCCAGGCTGGCCAGGTCCACAGCTGCCACTTGGGGCAGCACTGATACCACACCTCAAAACCAGTCAGGTTTGGATGGACAGGAGCCCTGGCTGCCCAGTTGGGTCGGGCAGCCGCCCAGGCAAGCGCTGCTGTGCCAGGGCCACCAGGTCTGCCAGCCCATCCTGGGGCCCAAGCCGTCCTCATCCCCTCTCCCCTCCCTCGCGGGGGAGGGGGGCTCACCTTTTCCCGTCCAGGTCGGAGAACCATCCCAGGTTGTCTGCGATGATGTGATGGTTCTGGCAGCCTGGGCAGGTCACAATGACCACGCCCTGGTGATAGGCCAGCTTCGAGATGCGCTTAGACGACCGAGTCCCACACACCTGGCTGGGGCAAACAGGTGAGACTCCCGGAAGTATCCTCGCGAGGACCAGTCGGGCTCGCCAGGACCACTCCGCCCCTCTTAGGAAGGCCCCGCCCCAGAGACCGCCACACCCCGGAAGGCCCCGCCCCCGAGACCATCTTTGGGAAGGCTCCGCCCCCAAAGCACCGCCTTCAGGAAGTCCCCGCCCCTGAGACAGTCGGCCCCGCCCCTGAGACGGGCCTTCCCACCGGAGAGCCTGGCGAGACCTCTTCCTGCGCTGCTAGGGAGGCCCCGCCCAGGCCACGTCCCCTTGCAGCGCCCTCCAGCGCCCTCCAGCGCCCTCCAGCGCCGGGCACGGCCCGTCCCCGCCCCCGTGCGCACCTTGCAGGTGTAGACGAGTTGGTAGTGCGCCGCCTCCACACGTCCCAGCCCTGTTGCGGCCTCCGCCCCCGAGCTTAAGTGCCGCCAGCCCTGGACCCAGGCCCAGGCCCGCCGTCTCTCCGCGACCTCCGGGTGGGATCGGGGGACCCACAACCGCCTCAGGCCGGGTCCCCAAGGCTGCACGCAGCCCCGCAATGCGGGCACGCGGCCCAGTGCGGTCCGCAGCATTCTGCCTGCCTAACTGGGCCACCCAGGCCGCTCCCTCGGCCCCGCCCTGCGCGCCCGACGCTATTCCAGCCATCTTGGAAGTGGGCACCGCCGGCGGAAGCGGCCCTCCAGGCTTCCGTCCGCCGGCCCCGGCGCGCCGCACCGTCCCGCCCCCTGCGATACTGCGCGCTCTTCCCCCGCAGGTTGTTTTTATTTACTCGGTCCCATGCTCCAGACCCCTACAAAGCACGTGTAGCAGATGCAGATAGGACGCCATGGCCATGGCCAGGGGCGCGCGCCGCGGCTGGGTGGAGCCCAGGCGTTCCTGGCGCGCTAGGAGCCCTCCGTGTCCGTGTTGTCGCTGCCGGTGGTGTTCCCGCGGTCGCCCTCGGCCTGCTGCCAGCCGCTCTGCACCTTCCTGAGCGCTCGCTTCCTGCGGGAGCCGTGGCAGGTGTGGGCAGGTGTCGTCGCTGTGGCCCCAGCCCGCGCCCGCGCCCGCGCCCCACCTGCGGTAGTTCTCGAAGCTCTCCTTGAGGCGCCGCCGCTCCTTCTCTGGGGGCTCCCCGCCCACGCTCGGGCCCGCGTCCTGCGAGAGCGAGCAGTGTTGCGGCCGCGCGCCTTTCCCGCCCGGGATCCCTGCGCCCCTCTTCCCGGCCGCTCCGCCAGGTCCCCAGATCTGCAGGACAGGAGGGTGCTGCTCTTGTTCTAAACGCTGCACCCCAAGAACGTCCGGGGGGCGGGAATCTTGGGATCGCTCCCCGAGATGAGCGACCAGGGCCAGTAGATCACCGGACTGCGGGGAGCCCGGAAGCCTTACCTGGGTGCTCAGCGAGAGCGGCTCCTTCTGCAGAGACACAAAGGGCTGCTCCGCGTTGTCCTGCTCGGCCACGCCGCCTGGAAAAGAGCAGAGTCTGTGGGTGCGGCCGCTGCCCTCTGCCAAGCCGGCTCTGCCCAGGCCAGTCAGGAGGTCTCCTGAAGACTTCCCACCTCCCAGGCAAGGGTCAGGAGGAGGCCCTGGATCAGGAGCCAGCGCTGCCACCGCAGGCGGCCTGCTCCCCCTAGCTGGCTCCCCTAAATGACCAAGGGTACACAGGCAGGAAAGACCTCCGACCTTGGGATATTTTGCCCACGTGTGCCCCAGGCAGTGTCCCCAGCCGCTGGGCATTTTGGGGCAAGGTGGTGCCCAGAGGTGGGCACGGGGATGATGAACTGTCTAGGTTGCACAAGTGCCACAGTCCACCAAGGCCTCGCAGACCAGGCCTCCGACCCCTTGGGCAGAAGGTGCAGGGGGGTGCAGGCAGGGATGCACTGTTGGGCCCCTTGGGTCTGCGACGGCTGACCCCTTTCCCACCCCTCCCACTTTCATGCTGCCTGGAGGCTCCCAAGTCCTGCTCGCCTCTGCCCACGTCGGCTCAGTAGCCTCAAGTTCACCGTCTCCGGGGCTGTGGCGGGCAGCCTGACCCCACTTCTCCATTTGCTGCTGTTTCTTCCCCCTTTTGCCTTGCTTGGAGGCTGGGTCAGGCAGATCGGGGAAGTCTGTCTGACTTCCCACACAACCTCCAGCCCCAGCTCCTCCTCCCTCTGCCACTCCCCAAATTCCCCGCAACCCCCCAGCCACAGCTTCTCCCCACCTCCAGGTCCCTCCAGGGACACCACGGTGTCCCAGTCCTGTCTCTGAGATGAACGGCTCAATTTTAAAAGCAGAGGCAGCGGGGTACTCCCCAGCTGCCTAAAGCCTGCACTGCCCCTGCACTGTAGATGGCACACAGTCATGTCCCTGGCCCGCTGCCCGGGGACACAGTGGGCCCTCACTTCTTAGCCTTGTGCACCTGGACACTGGCCTACTGCAGCTTCCTTCTGCAGGGAAGCTGGGTGAGGTGGGACGGGCAGCCCAGGGCCTGCACAGGGAGGGGTGTCCGCAGCCAGTGTCCCATGGACAACATGCTTGCCATAGGCCACAGGCCCCGCAACTGGGTCCCAGGTCCCAGTCCCTCTCTGCTTCTCTCTGGGTGTCCTTGACCTGACAGCTTTGACCCCAAGCCCCAGTTTTTCCATCTTCACAGTGGGGATGTGGCAGCCGATGAAGCGGGGGGTGTTATGTCAGGGCTGTGCCTACTAAGAGGTGGAGAGCTGTCCAGGAGCCTGCCCAGGGGCACACTGTGTACCCTCGCCTCCTCACCTTTGTCTGAGAGCTGTCTGTTGTCCTCCAGGTCCTGGGGCAGCAAGACCTTCCAGAGAGAAGCAGGTTGTCCCGTTAGGCCACCTAGCAAGCCACCACTGGCCCTCCAGCCCTGGACCTGGCCCACCCCACAGCCCATGCTGTCAACTTCTGTGGAGCTTCACAGCGCCTCAGGCTGCCCGGCCAGGGGGGATGGGGCCGAGGAGGCAGCCCTGCGCTCGCCCCTCTGACCCGTGAGTCCACAGAGGCCCTGGTGGCCCGGAGCAGAGGGGTAGGAGCCGCTCACCTCCTGGGAGTTCCTGGGTGAGCTTTCCTCCAGGTCCGAGCTCTGTAGTCCCAGACAAGAAGCCATTCAGCAGATCGTGAGGTCCTTTCCCCTCCAACTACCCCTCCCCGCTGAGCTGCCTGAGGGCTGCCGCTCAGTCTCAGCCACCGTCCTGCAGCCCCACTTCCCACGTGGGTGGAAGCCATGGCTATGCCCTTGCCCCACCGAAAAGGAAGGGGCTGGCAGTGGGGCAGTGGCCGGGCCGGGCCCCAGCACCCTGCCCAGCTCCCTCGCTGCACAGACACCCGGCTGCCCCGACCCAGGCCCACCAGGACCAGTGTGTCCAGCTGCTGCTGCTTGAGCCGGGCCTCGGCAGCCAGCAGCCGGCCCTCGCACTGGAACAGTTGCAGCTGCAGCTCGTCGGCCTTCTCGCCCAGCTCTCGGACCTGCTTGCGTAGCTCGTCCTTTTCCTGCAGGCCCCGGGCACACTGCGCATGCAGCTCCTCCCGCGAGGCCATGGCCTGGGGACACCAGGGCACAGCTCAGCAGGCCGGCCATGGGCGGCACAACCCGCTCCGGCAATCCTCTTCCCCTCAGACATCACCGGCTTTCCAGCAATTGTGAGAGCAGCGTCAGGAGGCTCCCGATGGAAAGTATGGAGGTGACAGAGGTAAAGAAGCAGACAGAACTCTCCAGTTCATTGCTGAGCACAGCCCGGGGGAGCGCATCCCCAACCGAGCCCTCCCCACAACAGTGGACAGGCAGCACATCTGTGCCCTACCCACAGGCACACGTGCTGTAAATTTGGGAGGTAACTGATATCAAGAGTGTGATCACCCATGCTGCCTCAGGTCCTTTAACGTGGATGTCAGGCTCTTTCATGCCCGTCCCTCCAGGGGCCCAGGTGGAGGCCAGTCTCCAAGCTGAGGAGGGCCAGACCATGCCGCAGGAGAGAACACAGCCCCTTCGATGACAGTCCAGAGGCCATGGAGTGCCTCAGTGCAGCAGGAGGGAGAGCAAGGGCACCCAAATAACGGGCAGTGTGGGGCAGAAACGGAGAAGGCAGACAGAGCAAGGACAGCTCTGTGTCAGAATACCAGAAAATCAGCCAGACATGGTGGCACATGCCTGTCATCCCCACACTTGGGAGGCTGAAGCAGGAGGATCACTGAGCCTGGGCTACATAGAGAGACCTTGTCTCAAAAAACAAATCACAGGGGGCTGGGGATTTAGCTCAGTGGCACAGCGCCTGCCTAGCAAGCACAAGGTCTTGAGTTCGATTCCCGGTACCGGAAAAACAACAACAACAACAACAAATAAAATCAGAAAACAAATCACAGCCGGCATGGTGGCATAAATTTGTAATCCCAGCACTCTGGAGGCTGAGGCAGGAGGATTGCCATGAGTTCAAGCCCAGCATGGGGTACTAGTGAGTTCAGCGCCAGCTTGGACTACATACTGAGAATTTATCTCAAAAATAAAAAGAAAATCAGAATACAAATAAAGATCACCATGGCCCCCAACCCCCCCCCGGGCATGTGCAAACCAGGCCTGCTGCAGCCTCATTTGTATTGTGGTTTTGACCCCCCTCCCAGTGGGCTTTGGATGCTGGGACACTTCCTCTGAAAACCTTGTGTGGTCAAAAACTGCCCTCAGGACAGGCGGGTGAGCCAGGTACCCCACCCGCCAGGCCAGGCCGAGACTCCTGTCCTCCCCGTTGCAGGCAGTCCCAGAGTCGTAAGAGACCCGGAACCTGTCCCACCGGGCAGTGAGCTCTTCTGGCCGCTTGCACTGCGCAGGGGGCTTCACCGCCTCCTCTTGCTGACCCTGCTCCTTCTGAACAAATCTTACTCCTGCTGCTTGTTCTGCGTGTCCTGCTCAGGTCTTTGTTTGGGACACCAAGAACCTGGAAGCCATTCCTCTGACCCGCCCCATCTGCGGATAACACGGGGGCACCCAGCCCCGCTGGCCAGGACCCGGCCCATCTGCGGATAACACTGGGGCACCCAGCCCCGCTGGCCAGGACCCGGCCGGGCACTGGCAGCTGCCCCACTTCTCATCGCTGCTCTGACCTAGAACCACTTGGAAGGGGCCGCACTTGCTCCCCGGGAAGCCTGGGGAGGAGGGGGCGTGTTCGGGAGCTGCCACCAGCAGCCCCACCCAGGAAGCAGACAGAGCCTTGCCCACCGAGGAGACTGCCCCGCGCCATCTCTGCCCCACACAGGGGATGTGGCCAACTTGTTGCAGGGGGATCGCTAGCTGGTTTCAAGGCTGCTGGGCCATGGTGCCAGGGGTTCCGTAGGCAATGTGCCCGTGGCTGAGTTAACTAAAGCTACTGCAGAACAAGACAGGTCGGAAGCTCCTGTTTTTGTGTAACAAACAGAGAAAGCAAAACTGCCCATATGTGGCGCTGAGAGAAGCTGGGCCAGAAGAAAGGGCTGAAGGTGACCCTGAGCCCAGGAAGGGCTCGGTGGGGAGAAGGGGGAATGGACATCACTACTATCTACGTGTTTTGTTCTTTTTCCAGTACTGGGCACTGAACCCAGGGCCTGCGCCCTGAGCTACGTCCCCAGCCCTTTTTAAATTCCAAGACAGGATCTCACTAAGTCTCTATAGTTGCCCAGGTGGGACTGCAATTTCACTCCTCCTGACTCAGCCTCCCGGAGAGCTGGGATCCTGGGGGAGCACCACCATGGCAACCCACCCCTCCCCGCCCCCTCCGTGCCCACCTGGTCCCGCTCAAAGGCGACCTCCTCCATCTGTTGCAGGATGGCCTCGATGCGCTCCTTGTACATCTTGGAGTCCTTGCGCAGGGCCAGGCACTGCAGCTCGACCATCTCCCTCTCCTCCGAGCACTGCAGGAGTGGCAGCGGTGTTAGCCACACCCCCACCCCCAGTGCCCATCTGGCCCCCACGTTGGTGGCCTCAGGGTGGAAGTTGGGGATACACGGATCAGGCCATGCAGGAGCCTCGAAGCACAGCAGGCCAGGCCTGTGAGAGACCATGGCCATGACCAGCATTTGGCCACAGGCAAAATGAGCCCAAAGGACGGTCCCCCTGGGGGGACATAGGCACAGCTTGGGCGCCAAAAGGCTGCATCTTTTTTTTTTTTTTGTACCAGAAATGAAACTCAGGACCTCGCACTTGCCAGGTGGGCGCTGTGCCACTGAGCTGCATCTCCGGCCCAAGGCTGCATCTTAGAAACGGGCACACAGAGACGTTTTGCCGAGGTCCCAGCACCCCGCACGGCCGCTTGGCTGTCCCCGCCCGTGTCGCCGCTGGTACCCGGGCTCGGAGGGCCTCGGCCTGGCGGAGGTCCTTGCGCAGGGTGAAGATGGTGGCGGCTTGCTCCTGGTGGTCGAGCAGCGCCTGGCGCCAGTCCTCCTCCAGCACTTGGACGTAGGGGCTGCTCCGCTCCAGCTTCCCCTCCTGCAGGGAGGATGGGCTTGTAGGAACCCGCCTCCGGCCGCGCCCACCCAGCGTGCACTCGTCCTCGCGCCTACCTGTGCAGCAGCCTCGAGCTCCTGCACCCGCGCCTGCAGCAGGGCCTTCTCCTGCTGCAGCTCCCACAGTCGCTCCTGGCTGGGCCGCTGCTCCATGGCGTGCCGCAGCTTCAGCGTGTGCTTGCGCTCCACCTTGCAGTCGTCCTCCGCCTTCATGAGGCTGTGCCGCAGCCGGTCCACCTCCAGCTGCAGGTCGCGGTTGCGCATGAGCGCGGCGCCCTTCTCCTCACTCACGCGGGCCAGCCTCATGGCCAGGTCGTAGTTCTCCTCCTTGCAGCGCTTGAGGTCGAGCACGCCGGCCTCGCACTCCTCTTTGAGCCGCCGCACGCGCTCCTGGTGCTTGCGCAGCAGGCTGTCCTTCACGCGCAGCTCCTTGATGAAATCATCCTTGGAGCTCAGCAGCGCTGTCAGGTCCTGCACCTTCTTCTGTAGCTTCATGACCTCGGTCATCAGCAGCTGCGTCAGGCCCGACTCCCCCGACGCGTCTGGGGCCAAGAGGCAGCAGGCCGAATCAGGACAGCCGCTCCTGGGTGGGCTCAGGCAGAGACTTGGAGATCCCGGCGGGCTCACCACCCGCCGCCCACCCCGACTGAGAGCCCTCTCGTCCAGGCGGAAACATGTCTGAACAGGCCCAGGAGACACTGGCCCAACAGCCACATGCCTGTGGGCATGTGGAGGCCAAGAGGCCCACACTGCCACAGATACCCTGCCCGTCCCCTCTGCAGGACAGCAGAACCCTCATACCCTGAGGGGTGGGACGCTCCCAGGGACAAACCCTTGAGCTCTAAGATGCCCTTCCCACGAGGCGAGGCGCTCAAACCAAGGTGTGAAGGGGGTGGGGCCTGCCTCAGCTCCGCCCCACCCTCGGTAAGGCCCCACCCTACCCAATGCATAGGTGCGGCCCCCAGCGCGGGCCTGCCCCCGCCCACATCATAGGCCCTGACCCATCCCTGCGTCTTGCTCCGCCCACAGGAGCCGGCTTGCCCCGCCCTCCATCCAGGCTCCTCCCCACCCCTCACCGATGATCGTGGAGAAGACGCGTGCTGGTTCCTTGCCCGTGACCTTCTTGTACAGCTGTGGGTAGTAGAGCTCCAGGCTCTCCAGGAAGGCCACGTAGCCCTTGTGGCCCGTCCGCTGCAGTATGTCCAGGAGCAAACCTACAGACCGCAGAGCAGGTGGAGGGAGGCCACAGGCCCGGGCACTCTGAGCTAGCGTGGACCCCAGCCTGCTGGTGTCCCCTCTACCATTGGGCCTCAACACACAGGGCCCAGCAGGCAGAGGACAAGTGCTCCCCACCCATGCACGATAGGGCAGGCCTGGGCCTCTCCCTCAACCCCCTCCTCTGGGCGGCTCCCAGGGTGCTGGGCGAGGCACTGACCCACTTTGCGCTTGCGGATGACCAAGTTGGGGTCGCTGAGCACCTGCTCCTCATCGTCGGGGTTCAGGACCTTGCACTGCCTCAGGTAGGGCGTGATGCGCGAGGGGTCGATGACGGAGATGAGCTTCACGCGGAAGCCCTCCAGCGTGCTCCAGCACTCGTCCTCATTCTCATAGTCCGACATGGTGGGGGCTGGGGTTGGGGCAGCTGCTGAGGTGGACGTGGCGCTGTGGCATGGAGGGACAGTGGAGCGCAGTGACCGCCACCCCTCAGGCCACCCAGCCAGCACCCTTCACTTCCATTGCCACCTCAGCTTTCTCTCTGAGCCTTGGGGCAGGGGCGGGTGGATCTGGGGGAGAACGCTCCCTAGCGCCAGGACCCCCTCAGCCTCTGCCTCTGTACCCCAGAGAGCCCTGCCGCAGCATCTGTGCAGGGGCACCCACCCCCTGGTGTCCAGGCTGGGGTGAGAGGCTGGTTGGTGGTGGCCCCCCAACTTCCTCATTCCCGACAGGCCGGTGCTCTCTGATCCTTCCTCAAGTCGGCCTGTGATGCAACAACCTCAGAGCTGCCTGTCACTGAGCCGCCCCAGGCAGCCGGCCCGGTGGAGCGTGCCTGTCACCCCATCAGGCGCAGGGCATTGGGAGAGGCTGCCTCTGTCACCCACGCAGGGAAGCTGCTGTGGTAGCTTCTCAAGGTTTTCACTATGCCTGGCTCTGCTGCCCTGAGGCCTGGCTCTGGCCCCGGCCCCATGCTGGGGGTCTGTCACGACTGCCCTAGATACCACTGGGACCAGCACACCGGGACCCCCGATTGCAGCACACAGGCGAAGCTGCTCCCTATAGGATGGGCCAAGGCAGGGCCTGCACCTCTGACTCTGGGTCCCTGCCCCAGACATGAGGTGCCAGCAGTATGGTCCTCTGAGGGATTTCTCAGTTCTCTGTGCCCTCTGCCACCCTGCGCAGAGAACCAGTGACAGTCTGCGGGCTGTAGGGCATTGCCGTGTGTCTGTCCAGTCCCAAACACCCCGCAGCCCCACGCCTAACTCCCAGCATTTATCCCACTGAAATGAACAAGAATCTACCAAGTGGCTGTGAAGAACAGTGTGGGGGATGTGGGGACCCCAGCCAGCCTGTGGGAACGGAAGGCTGCTCTAGAGCACTTGCCCAAGACCCAAGTGGAGCCCACTCGGGTCCCCTCAGCCACCTCTCAGAAGGGCACCAGCCTGGCCTACCTCAGGGTCCTGCGGAGCCACCTGCCTGCGGGCCCTGGCTGCAGCTGCCGGGATGTCTGAGATGCTGCTGGTCTGGGGTGGGAGGAGTGTGGAGGCCGGGGAGGGAGGCTATGCACTTCCTGATGGGTTCCGGGTCCTCCCGCAGGGGGACAGTCCCTGCTGGCCTGCATTGATTGGCCAGCCCAGGGGCTCTAGGGCGGGGACAGGAAAGTGGAAGTCCTCTGGGGAGCTAGGAGCCTTCCCTCCTTGTCCAGGGCTGGGGTCCTAGGTCCTGGGCCACCTGGAGTCCCTGCCTGCCTGGTACCTTGTAACACAGAAGGGGGCAAAGGCACCCCTGGAGCTGGAGAAGGCCAACCCTTCAACCCCCCTCCAACCTACTGTGGCCTGGACACTTCTGGGAGGCTTTCCCATCAAGGTGCCCTGTGCCTGACACCCCCACCTACTGACGGGGGTCCTGGCACAGGGATCAGGCCTGCAGGGTATGGGCTGGGTAGCAAGATGCGAGAGCCGGCAGCCCTGTGTGCAACCCCAGAGGGTAGTCTACGGCACAGGACATGGGGCTCAGGAGGCCGCTGCGGCTGACTGGAGGTCAGGGCCCCAGCCTGCAGGCTTCCCATTGCTGCCAGCCCAGAGCACCCTGACCTCCTCCCGGCCCTCGTCATGTGGGTACCCTCGGGACACATGCAGGGGAGAGCCGGCCCCAGGAGGTGCTGATGGCAGAACACGGTGTCCTTTGTGGAACCTGGGCCTCTGTCCCCACCTCGGGTGGCCCTGGAGCCTCGGCCCCGATATGGGCGAGGGGAACCCCGAGCCGCGCCTCAGCCGGTGTAGCTGGTTGGACAGTGCTGCCATCGGGCCTGCTAGGCTGGGTTGAGGCAACAGCGACCAAGGAGGCAGCAGGCGGGAAAGTGGGACGCTGGCACACAGCAGAACCCCAATAGCCCCCTCCTGCAGCCTTGGACCCTTGAACAGCCCAGCCCCCTGCTGGACTCCACAGCTGTGGCAGTGCAGGGTCCTGCCAGCCTCATGGCCGCACTGCTGGAGTTCCTGCCCACCCAGGTCTCTCACTGCCAGCACAGGGATGCAGGGGGTTCCCGGTTATGACAGAAGGATAATGGTGTCTTCCTCGGGGCGTCTGCGCCTAAAAACATTACCTTCTCTGACCATCACAGAACGAAGGTACAGATCAGTAACAGAAAGACAGCTGAAAACTCCCAAGTGTTTGAAATGGAGAAGGCTCTGAACAATCCATAGGCAGAGGAAGTCCCAAGGCAAAGCAGATGCAGGGAGAGGGCGTGGGCCTGGAGGCACACCAGGTTAGGGCCTGTGTCCTGCGTGTGCAGCAGCTGGCACAGCTGAAGTGCGGGGAGTCGTCGAAAGGTGCTGGGACCACATAGGCACTAGCGTCACCGGGGAGAGGGAGGGACAGGGGCCGGGCTTCCTGGGGCAGGAAGGGATCTGGAGATCACTCTCCCTGCACTCCTGGCTACCCTGCCCCCCAGTGGTGTCCCCACTACCCTCATGTGGCGCGAGCACAGAAGGGATCTGGAGAGGGAAACCGCGCTGGCTCTGGGAAGCCAGGTGATCACGCATTCTGGGGTCCCTGCCCCAGCAGGGTGTAGGCAGAGCCACAGCTTCTCTGAATGGCCAAGGACCACTCATGACTTCTCCCCGAGGCCAGGGTGTGTGGGCACAAGGCCCAGGAGGGTGGCCAGGGTGCGAGAGGCTCTGAAGATCCCATGGGGGAGCCAGGGACACCCCGAGGGCCGACTGCTGTGACCACAGAGGCCTTGGTTGGCGGCCTGAGATGGGCACACTGCCCAGTGCTCAAAACAAAGAACCACATCCTGTGTCTTGCTTTTAATTAAAAAACGGCACTTAGTCTGTTCCAGCCTGAGACCCCTGGCTTTGTGGGGGCTCATGGTGCGCAGCCCGGGATAACTCCATTACGGACTCCCATTAAGGCTCGGCTGTGAAGGCTTGGTCACCATGCGGAGGTCAGTCTGGCCAGCAGCTTCTGGCCTCCAGCCGTGCTCTCTGTAGACCAGGGAAGCCTTCCCTCTGCTGGCGGTGGGAGTGGGCTTCTGGACCCCAGGAATACTTGTCCTGAAACGGAGAAGCACCCTGGTGTGTGTGAGCACCCTGACCCCAGCAGGCCTGGCTCCCCAGCCAGACCCCCTGGCCGGCTGTACCTTCTGGCTGCCTCCTCGACGCCCCTCAGGGTTCTGCCACCTCTCCTGGCTCTGCCCACTCCAGGACCACCTGCCGCCTTCTGGTCTCAGCTGGGATGCACTAGGGACCCCCAGGCACCTGCCAAGCAGGCCCTGGGTCCCAGTGACAGCAAAGTGCTGTGTGGGTTGGTGGTCACAGAGGGGCAGTGCAGACTGCGTGTGTGGGTGGCAGACACCATCAGAGGGACATCAGAACAGAAGCCCGGCTAATGGTGCTGCCTTTGGAGAATGGCCAGGAGGGCGTTTCTGAGGTGCTGAGACCTGGGGACAGAGGGAGGGAGGGACGGGTCTCACAGTAGGAGCGCTGGGCAGAGGGGACAGTGTGGCACGGACCGAGGCCATGGGGCTGCAGGAAGAGGTGCAGGAGCTGGGTGCAGAGCCCTGGGTGGGGAAGACAAAGGGCAGGATGGGTAAGTGTCCCAGGAGGGCCTCCGTGACTGGTCCAGCTGTCCACTGAACCCCACTGCCCATGCTCCAGGTACCGCTCCTCCTGGGTGCAAGCTGCCTCCGAGGGCCTCACCTGTGGCTCACAGCTGCCGCCTTCGCTTCCGGACGTGGCGGCCGTGCCGCGTCCTGAGCACATCCAGGTCAGAGGCATCCAGGCAGGAGACCGAGCCCTTGCCAGAGTCTGGGGCTCCCTGAAATAAAACCTCAGGTGAGGTGAGATGTGAGGCCTCTAGGCACAGGACAGGGAGAACCTGCGGACAGTGCCCTACCCAGACGCCAGGGACAGCGAAGCCCAGCAGCAGGGCTGAGCCAGGCCTTCCTGGGTCCATGCTGCCCCAGCTTTCTGTGGTCTTCTCCCCAAGTGGCGGGCCTTATACTCTGAGGGTGGGCCACTGGCAGAGGAAGAGGGCTGGGCAGCTGCATGTGGGCTCAGGAGCCTCCTTCCCTGGCCACAGGGGCCCACAATCTGGGACGGCAGCACCTTGCACTGGCCTTGGACACCTGGGGATAGAGGCCAGGCTGCTAGCTGGGCACAAGTGCCTGAGACCCCTGGCTTTGTGGGGGCTCATGGTGCACAGCCGGGGATAACTCCATAGCCGTTCTGTTACAGGTTCTTGTGGGGAAATAAGAAAAATGGTCTCAAAAACACAGCTGAGACCTCAGGAGCAGAAGGGATGTTGGGAGGCTACTCCTGCTACCCCAGGCCCTGCGCCAGGCAGGCTGCTTTCTCCCCAGAACTTGCAGCCAGTGCAGGTGCCCTGTTGTCAGGCCCAGTGCCCTTACCTGCACGGGGCTCCCAGGCTCTGGCCCAGCCTGTGTCCCGTGGGCCGTGCAGCCCAGCCACTCGTGCCTGTCCCCATCCTCAGACTCCAGCTCGCTTGAGAAGTCCTCGTCCGTGGTCTCGGGGCTTGGCCTTGGGGCTGCCGAGACGGTAGTGGGGACACCACTGGGGGGCAGGGTAGCCAGGAGTGCAGGGAGAGTGAAGACCGCCAGGAACCGGGCCTTCAGCAAGAGGTAGGCTGGATTGTCCTGTAGCTGCCTCCGCACCAGCTCTAGAGAGGCCCGCCAGGCTCCAGGCCCAGCTGCCCTGTCGGCCACCAGTGAGGCAGCCTTGTGCTCCAGGGCCGCCCTGCGGAGCAGGAGGCTGGACAGGGTCCGCAGGCTGCATAGGGCAGGGGGCTGGTAGGGCAGCCTGGTCTGCAGTGGGGGCACGCACACACCTTGCCGGCCCCGCACCCACTCCCACGTGGCCGCCTCACTCTCCAGGCAAAGCAGGCCCAGGTCCAAAGCCCTCTTCTCAGACCCAGGTAGGGATGACCTCTCTAGACCCAGAGGCCTGCTGGGCACTTCTGTCCCTCCTAGATCACTGCTGGGGCTGGGGCCACCACAGGCAGGCAGCTTCGAAGCCCCTGTGTCAGGGCTGTCAGCCGGGATGGAGGTCCTGGGCACTGGCGCCTGCCTGGCCACCTGCGCCTCTTCACCACTTACTTCTGTAGAACTCAGCGGTGTGCAGCATGTTGGGGGGCCTGAGGGGTCTGTCCTGGACTCGGGGGCTGCCTCTGTGTCCACGGTTGCTGGGGGCTGGGAGTCATGGTGGGGGGGCACGGGAGTCATGGTGGGAGAAGGTGGCAGCAGCGTTGGCATCTTGGGGGGGTTGAGCATCTCTCGCTGAGTGGGTAGGCCCAGCACAGCTGGCACCTGCACTGGAAGCAGCCCCTGGGCTGTGAGCACCCAGCTGACAGGCAAGGGGATGCTGGTGGCCAGGGTGGGGGTCAGGCTGAGGGGCTGTGTGGGCAGTAGAGCGGGGCTGGGGGCTGCGGGCAGGAAGGCTGGCGCCTCAGGCAGCCCTTGTTTCCGCATTGTGGCGGGGGCCTGCGACTGTCCCAGACTGCTCGAAGGGCAGCCTGTGGGGGCCTGGCCGGAGCCCAGGGTCGGGGCAAGTTGCAGGGCTTGCAATGTGGGCGGGCACTGGGCCTTGGCTGAAGCCCCCACCTCCTGCTGGGAGCCAGAAGCGTTTGTGCCAGCTGCTGTGGGGGTCATCGGCCCAGAGAGTCCTGGACTAGAGCGGACAGGACCTGCTGCTGGGGGGCCCTGGCGGGCTGGTGGGAGGGGCTGCTGGAGGACCACGGGTGAGATCAGCAGCTGGGGGGCGAGAGCCACAGGGCCCAGGGTGGCCTTCCTGGCAGGGGCCTCATGGAGTCGCTTCTCTCGGAGCAGCTGAGACACTGTCTTGGGCCTGGGCCGGGGGCCCTGTGGGGCAGGTGCGGGTGCTCGGGCTGAGGTGGACTTGGCCTGGCTGGACTTCAGTTCTGTGCTCCCTGAGCACAGGCTCTTTGTGGCATCCTGAGATGACACGTGTTGAGGTTGGCAGCCTGCAGAGGACGGACGGATACCACCTGATGGGGACTCAGCAGGCCCCTACAGCAGGAGTGGCTGGACACAAGGCGCAGGTGCCTGATGCAGCCAGCTGGGGCTCCAGCCGCCTGTTCCCAGGTCTCCTCCCCCGCAGCCCCCAAGAGGCTGAGCACAGCCCGGAACCCTGACTGTGGACTTGGTGAGCTGCTCTCCCCTGTGTGATGGCTTTGTACCCTCAGGACCCAGCCCCCAGCGGCTCTGCAGCCTGGGGGACCACGGCAGCCAGCAGGGCTGGCCCTTGCGGAGGTGGCCTCTGGCCCTGGGACTAGCAGGAAGCCCACGGTGACCATACCAAGGCCCAAATACGTGGCAGATACAGCACCCCGCCCACAGAAACACAGAGCCGATACCTGGGGGCGCCGGTGCTCCAGAGGGAACCTGAAAGGAAGCGGGGTCAGTCAGCCAGCACGGTCCTCCCTGGGCCCCACTGCCCCCTAATCCCAGAGTGCTGAGCCGGGTGCTTTGGGCTTTCTGGGTTCAGCGCCACCCACAGGCACCTGCATGGAGCACACGGGGTGGTTGGGCGTGGTGGGTTTGTGGCCTGCGGGGACCAGAGCTGCATGTGGTCCTCAGACACTAGTGATGCAATTTTGCCGTCCCCCAGGAGACGGGGCTCCAGGGCAAGGTCTCCCGCTGACTGCATGTGTGTGTCTGGCACCCCAGCTCCAGACCACTGTGTCGTGGGGACACAGGCTCAGCATCACCCCAGCATGTTCAGCAGAGCCAGAGCCAGACCCGGGGCTGTATCGGCCCTCACCCTTCACCCCAAGTGCCCGCTACCTGCAGAGGACGTGGCTGGGGGCCAGGCGGGGGCAGCTGGGCCTTCCTCTCCCGAACAACCTCCATGCAGCCAGCAGTGTCAATCTGCAGCAGCTAGGGCACAGGTGACATGTGGAGGTGTGCAGCGGACAGAGGGCAGCCCTATGCTGGCTGCTCTGGCCGGAGCCCGGGCAGCGCCTTGCGACCAGGACGGCTTCACACACTTGCCTGGCTCTGGGTCCGTGGACCACTCAGTCCTTGGCTGGCTCCTGTCCTTCCGACAGGGCCGACTCCTCCGGGTCCCCACGCCCTTCTCTCCCCTCCCCTCCAACCTCCTCCCCAGGACGTCATTTCACCATGGGGCCGGATGGGCTCAACAGCCCGCTGCCCCTGCCTAGCCCAGAAGACAGTGGGAGCGACAGCCATGGTTCTGTTCTCCAGGCCTGAAAACCATAGATAACCAAACCACGAGGAAGAAGTCTGCTGTGAACTTTAAATCTCCAAAAACACAGCAGCCGTCACCACGCCAGGGCGCTCACCTGCAGGCACAGGGTGAACACCGGGGTGCTGGCCAGACGGACTTGCTCCAGCTGCGTCCTGACTCCATCGGCTGGGGACAAGGGCATGTATGGGAAGGGGTTCCTCCCCACAGCCAGCTGCCCCTGCCTGGCCTAGGAAGGCAGTGAGGGTGGAGAGGGCCCGGACTGCTCCCCCTGCCTTTGGGATGGGTGCAGGCTGGGCATGACCCGCAACTTAGACTCCCCCTTGGACCACGTGTGCTGGTCAGGATGTACCCCTTTTCTCCACCCCAGGCCCCGGGGCAGGTTGGCACCTCGAGTCCTCGCCACCACGGGCCTCTGGGGAGCCTGTGTGCAGGGCAGGGTGACATCGCCCACCCAGGGTGTCATGGCCAACAGCAGCCTGTGTTCTAGGAGCCGCCGGTGCAGAATGCGTCTGTGGTGTTGGTGCCTGTTCCGGAAGGTTCCACGCCATAGCTGCCGCAGGTGGGGCCCAGCCTCACTGTCACCAGGGCCAGGCCCGGGAGGTGAGCCAGGCAGTGGTGGCTGCCTCAGCCTCTCCTTCTGCGGGCAGGAGACAGAAGTGTAGGCTCCCAGGCATGGAGGTGCTTAGTGCCCCCTGCCGCCTCAGGCCACGGTGGACAGGACAGGACAGCACCACTGGTGGTGTCACATGGGAGGGAGTGTGCACCCAGGCCCTCACCAGCTTGTGTCTCCAGGCGGTCGTATTTGTCCTGAGCACCCTTCGCACCGTCTCCAGGGGCACTTTCAGCAGATGCTGTTCACCCTGAAAAGACCACAGGCCCAAGGCCTGCTGTTGTGCATACCACCTTGCGCAGGCCCTAGGCGCAGGTGTGGGTGGTCAGGCAGGGCCTCCTCGGGGAAGGTGGCAGGTCCCTGAGGCCTGGCTCCAGGACAGCAGGGGGTAGGGTGCTCTGCCTGCCAGGGGCTACACTGGCCCTGCAGGCAGCCCAGGGTACCAGGGCTGTGCCTCCACCCAGGGCCCAAGTCCTTGAAGACAGAGAGGCAGGCAGATGCACTGGGCTGGCCATACCTGGTCGGTCACAAGGAGCACATGGACAGGGTCCTGTGCAGGGAGGCCACGGGCCCACCCAAGGGCCACCGCTCCTCCTGTGCTGTCCCCTCTTCCAGCTCAGAGGCCAAACATTTCAGAGACCCTTCTAGCCCAAGTGTGTCCCAGAGGCAGCTTGCCCTTGAGGCTGCCAAAGCAAACATGTTGGCAAAGCAAAGGCTGCCAGTTGCCAGGCCACTGTCTCACACAACTGCCATCAATCAGAAGCAGGAGTCTAAACTGGGCATGGCTGGTGGCCAGGCCAGGGACCAGGCTGCCCTACCGCCCGAGCACCATCTCCGTGACCCAAGCCCAGGCACCCCCTCCTCTCCCGTGCACACATGCAGGATGCCCCTGTGCCCACCTCACAGGATGGCTCCTCCAGGCTTGTGAGCTGTGTGTCTGCTGCGTGGGTGCCATAGACCCTGGAGGACCCCTGTGCCTGTCTTATCTCCACCCTAGGAGCCAGGGCTGTGCGGGCGGCCTCAGGCTTCTGGGTTGCACTCTGCCGGGCAGGAACCCACAGGTCCATGTTGGGTACCACGTACTGCGGGGACGGTGGCATGCTGCCTGCCTGCTGGGGCTCCTCCAGCTCCCCCTCAGAGTCCTCACTACTGCTACTGCTGGGGCCCCCATCGCTGTCCCCGCTGCTGCCGCTGCCGCTGCCGCTGCTGCTGCTGCCGCCGCCGCTGCTGCTGCTGGAACTCCACTGGACCCTAGGGCGTGGCCGCCGCCTCCGCACCCTCTGTTTCTTCTGGGGAAAATGGGCCACTTGGGGACAACAGGTAGGCAGCCCAGCCGGGCAGCTTCAGGGTGGAGGGCTGCTGCGGACAGGGCAGGGTCCCCAGGAAGGGGCCCAAGGCCAGGAACCATGTGCCCGTCCCTCCTTCCCCTCATCCCACCCAGCAGGTCCCCAGGTGACAGGGCCCTGCCTAACTTCCCTCAAACCCTGACTCGGGAGAGCGCCTCACCCCAGCCATGATCTTCCACTTGCTCAGACACTGGGAGCCAGACCGGTGGGGGAGCTCAGAGGCAATTTTTGCCCAGTGACCTAAAAAGCAAAACCATGTGGGAACTGCTGACCCAGTGGCCCACGTGGGGAGAAGGACTGCTGCGTCCCGGGCCGGGGCCTGTCCATGGGCTTCCTGCCCTCCTCAGGCTAGCAGACGTGCAGTGCACCTGCACCATGGCAGCGGCTGAGCCCAGGGTGAGGAGCCCCTCACAGTAGCTCTGGCACAGCACCACTGAGACTGAAACCATCCGTCCAGTCCCAACCTACCCATGCACACAGCCCACGGGGACCATCGCCACGATCTGTCTGCCAGACAGCACCGGGGCGGAATGTGGCGTCTCGCTTCCTCAGTGTGGTGGAACAGCAGGGGACAAAGGCCTCCGTATTTTGTACATCACCCTTAAACCTAGCGACTTCATAACTAGGGCTTATTTGAAGCCAACACTACAAACGTATGCAAAGGCTGGGCTAAAAGTAGCCGCTCACTCCTCCTTAGTAGCAAAAATATGGGAAATATTTGAGTATCCACAGAGAAGGCTGGCTGCATAACCTAGCACTACTCTTTAGGGAAATGCCCTGCGGCCCCTGAAACTGGGCATGGGACACGGAACTCATGGACACACGGGGCACTGGTGGGCAGCCCTGCAGGAGTCGCTGTTAGGCCAAAGCTGCTGGCTACCCACGGGGGGCAATATGGAGGATCCTGCCCTTCCTGGGGAAGCATCTGCACAGAGCAAGGAGGGGGTGCACTTGGTGAGGCTGGCCGGGGAAGGAGCCTGCTCCCTAGTTCCTTCCCGTCCACCTGAACATCTGAGTTCCCTGGGGTGAACATACAAGCGTCTCTCAAGGGTGCGGGCTGGTGGCAGAGCACTTGCCTGGCACGTGTGAGCGAGGCCCTGGTTCCACCCCAGCCCTGAAAACACGAGTCTGTACCAGGGAGCCCAGCAGTCGTCAGGACAGTGACAGAGCTGACCTCAGGCAGCAGCCCGGGCCCCAGAAGCCCCTGCACATCTGCACATCTGCCCCACGAGCGTGACCTGCACAAAGCCACAGCACACGACCCACACTCACCAACACCGTGCTTTTCTATTAGCTCGATCAGCTGCTCCTCCTCCTCCGCGTTCCAGCGCCCCTTCTTCAGGCTGACGTGTAATCTTCTGAGATATCTGAAAGCGACACGGAGACAAAGGGACATCTGAGACACTAAGATGCCTTCCACCGCTGTCCGGCTTCTGGGGTGACTTTAGACACAACATCCAAAGCACTGGGACAACACAGATTCACGGGACTTCACCGAAAATCCACACTTTTCTGCTTTAGAGGACACTGTTGAGAAAGACCAGCCCCAGGTGGGCACAGTATCTGCTGGGCACCTGGGTATGGAATAAATAAGGACCCTAGCGGCCACAACACAGGAATTTTGCAAATGGCAAAGGATTTGAACAGCTGTCTTGCCAGAGATGGTCACAGAGGCGTGTGCGAAGATGCCCTCCTGTCAGCCCCGGGAAACACCGGCCACACTGAGGTACTGCTTCACCCCGAGGCCTTAAGGCTGGGCGCCGTCACAACAAAGCTAAGAGCAGGCGTTGGAGTGCATGTGAAAAACAGCCCTCCATGCACTGCCATGGAAATGAGGCAGTCCGGCTACTTTGCCAGAGTTCTCTGGATCCTCGAAGGCTCATTGCGGGCCCTGCTGGACCTGGCCACTCCACCTGGGCTGCACGTCCACGGGGACTTGCACGCACATGCTCGGAATGCACTCGGGTCATGCACGATGCCCGAGTCCCTCCTGTGAGGCTGAGCAACACCGCACTACACTCTACACCACCGTCCTGTCCACCCTGCAGATCACGCTGTGAGCGTGTAGAGCAGCGGCTGTGCATGGCTGGGCTTCTGTTACCCTGGGCTTCACCCGGGGGCGTTGTCCTCTGCTTAACACTTTGAGGAACTGTCTGTCTTCCACACGCTGCCAGATGTGGCTGCCACAGTATGTGAGGGATCCAACCTCTCCACACCCATGGCTTTCCTTTCACCTCACGCTGCGCTTAGGTAGTGAAGTGGACTCGCTGTGGCCCTGTATTTCTGAGATGCTGGGCATGTTTCCACGAGCCCGACCACCTGCCTCAGAGAAGTTTCTGTTTGAGACCTTGGCCTTGGCCTCATTGACTTGAGATCTGCGTTACTGTGGAGTGGAATTCCTTTTGGGGATGGTCAAAATGTCTCAAAATTGATAAAAAATGGTGCACACTTGTCAACCCAGGACTCTGGGAGGACTGCTGTCTGAGACCAGCCCAGGCAACTTAAGTGAGACCTTGTCTCAAAATAAAACATTAACAGGTTGGGCACGGTAGCATATGCCTGTAATCCTAGCACTCAGGAGGCTGATGCAGGATGACTGCCATGAGTTCGAGGCTAGCCTGGGTTACATAGTGAGTTCAAGGATAGCTTGGACTACACAGCAAGATTCTGTCTCAAAAAAAATTAACAAAGGGTTGGGGGTGGAGCTCAGTGCAAAGCCCCTGGGTTCAATGCCTAGTACTGTGAAAATTTTTTTTTTTTCTTTGAGACAGGGTCTTGCTACACAGTTCAGGCTGGACTTAACCTCACTTTGTAGCCCAGGCTGGTCTCGAATTCGCAACAATGTTTTTGCCTCAGCCTCCTGAGTGTTGGGATTACAGGCGTGCACCACCACGCCCAGCCTGTGAAGTTTTAAAATTAGCTGTGGCGATGTTCACACAACTCAATGAACAGGTTAAAAACCGCTGACCCACACACTTTAATGAGGGCTGCAGCTGCTGCCTGGGGACCCTGCCCCCCAGAGACCTTGAGGACTCAACAGCCAGGCTCAGGAAAACTGTAACCGGGGGCAGCCCAGCAGCCAGCATCTTGCTCTTGGTGACAAGTGGCACAAACACAAAATACTGGAGAAAAACAGTGGGCTCTGTAACCCGCTTTCCAGCTGGGTGGACGACGATAGTGAAGCTCCCTCCAGGCACACTCCCAGTGCAACCAAACCTGGCCTGTCACCCCCCCCCTCAGTCACCCAGACAAGCCCCTATGCCACTCACCGATCTCTGCACTGGGCATCACTCCTGCCTGGCACCTCTTCCCGGATCTTAAACCAGTCCTGCTCCCCATACTTGGCAACTGCTCGCAGCAGCTTCTGTAGGCATGACGGGCAGATGAGGGTCGCCTCCCCAGCCCAGCTGCACCCCCAGGCCTGCTGCCCACGAAGTCACTCAGGACAGCAGGCAGGCCTCCCAGGGGGCAGTTCTCCCCGGGCCCCGAACTCACAGCATCCTCATCCGGGGCCCAGAGCCCCTTCTTCAGGTTGGGATCCAAGCTCTTGGTCCACCGGTAGATTAGCTGCATGGAGTCTCTCCCCTCCATGTAGTAGACAACTAGGGACAGAGGCTCAGCTGGGGGCAACTCGGGACAGAGGGGTCTGCGGGGCCGAGTCGCACCTCCCGCATAGCAGACAACAGGCAAAGGGGGACTCACGGTGGCCGAGAGGCCACCACCCCGAAGGGCAGGAAGAGGCATCTCTGGTCTGCAGGGACTGAGCTGTGCAGACCTGGGCTGCACAGCAGAACAGTGCCCTGTACGCCCCACGTGCGCCCGCACTTACTCCTGCGGTAAGGGACGTGGCTCCCCACGCGCATCTGCTGCACCAGCTGCGTGAGCATGCGGTCCTCCTCCTCTGTCCACTCCCTACGCTTCAGGGCTTTGTTGTGCTGCTGGAACTTTTGCAGGCACTGGAAGGCGCTGCGGCCAGTCTTCACGAAGCCAAGAGAGACAGGTATACTGGGTCTGGCCTCACACCAGAGGGACGCGGGAGCAGCTGGGGTGCTCCAGGGGGCAGGAGGGCACCTCCGTAACTGCACCCCCATCCCACCCCCCCAGACCCCACCCAGGCCCAGGAAGGCCAGCAAGAGACGGTGTGATTGTTCACGCGAAGAAAAACTGCAAGACCAACTCAGATGACACTCGAGACGTACTGTGACTCCACGTGGGGGGAGCACCTGCAGGAGGCCTCCTGGCACCACGCGCCCGCCCTCCTGCCCCACCTCCAAGGCTAGCTCTTGGAGCTTCCCCGAGGCAGCTGCGCCACAGGGTGCTGGGACAGTCCTGGGTGTGGAGTCCCCAGCTCTGGAGATGCCCTCAGGTGGGTGCACCCAGCAAATAGACCTCAGCCACACCAGTGTCCTGCCCGTTCTGCATCCTGGTCTCCTTGTGCAAAGGTGCTTCCCAGGGACTAATCCAACCCTCACCTCACCCTGTCCTCCCAGGCATGGGGCTGCCCAGCAGAGGGCTCTGAGTTAAGTCCACTCCCCGAGGAGTACAGTGCAGGTCCCCAGGATTCTGGCCACCAGCCCAGCACGTCCACACAGGGCGACCTTCCCTGCTCGGGACATGCCAACATCCTCCCATTTGGCCAGTGCTGCAGGCACCAATGCACGTGGCCCAGCCCCCAGGAGCCTGTGCTCTCCCATACGCAGGAAATCTAAGACCCCAGCTCGCAAGCCCCCAGGTGGTCAGTGGCCTGGCGCCCTTGGAGGACAAAGGGTTGGGCTTCGGTGAGGCTCCTATCCTGGAACTGGTGTGGGGAGCCACGCGCAATGACCTGGGCAGCTGCGGCCCACCCGCACCTTAGGTCGGCCTGGATGGTGCCTGAAGTGGTTCTCTGGGAGGCAGAATCCCAGAGGGAAGCTGCAAACCAGCAGAAGCAAGGCTGACCGAGCAGCTCTAGTGCTGGATAGAGTGGACAGTCCACTGCAGCGCCAGGGCTGGGGGAGGAGGAGGAGGGCACGGGTGCCCCACGCTGCAGTGGACCGCGAAGGCCTGAAGCAGTCGGGACCACATGTCTGCCCAGCCCCAGACTGCTTTCACAAAACACTGGGAAGGTGCAGGTGGTCACAAGGTGGCAGCAAGCAGTGGCAAAGAGCAGCAGGAGGGGGCGGAGAGCTAAGGTGGGGTTTAGAGCTAAGAGACCTAGGACAGCAGTAAGAGTACCCACCCACCAAATAAAACACTAAGATCCCAGCAGCAGGCTGGGGAGATAGCTCAGTGGCACAAG